TACTTGGCGATATACAATACGGAAAGTATTTGATGTGATAACATAAATATATGCTGATATTCGCTATTTTTATATGTGTAGAGTTGTAACGTGACGCTGTTTTCTAGCATCTGGATGCTGGAAATCGGGTCTCTGGTTAACACATTGAATTACTGGATTACTTCCTTCCTCGTTAGCAGTAGAAACAAAAATAGCTCATTTATTTTAGTCAGTTTTGTATTTCTGATTTTTATTTCAAAATTTTGGATTTGAAATACCATGTCAAAGGCACATTTACCTCGTGTGACAGTGGACTTAGCTTGATGATTCACAAAAAAATACACGCGTCTCATTATATCTAAATATCCAATAAAGTAAAGTCCCTATAATATTTTAGATGTTGCGAATTCCCACCTAGATAGCGTGATTAATTCAGCATGGTGATTTCTAGCTGACATTCTCATTGCTGTCCATAACCAACAAACTAATCGCAGCAAACTATGCCGAGTTAATACCCCCCGACTTGCTATTCTTTCGAAGCAAAATTCTAAGATTAACAAATATTTCTCCTTTCTTTGCAACTCGCATTTTGAAAAAGATACATTTTCAATTCACAGTCATATCTTCGATAATTCTAAACACAGAAATATATTTTCCCATAGTTGCTACCAAATGAGACAAAGAAATTTCAATCGTTTATATATCTAAGTGTATAACAAACAGCTGAGAAACAATCTACGTGCTTCTTACACAAAGTAGTGAGTTGAAAGAAATCGTATCGAAATAAAAGTAAAAACGAAAATACGTTCCAATCATGATTAATAGCAAAAGCCCCGCATTTCCGTTTCATCGTCAGGCAAAATTTGTGTATATATTTGAAATGAAAAAAAAAAAAAACGAATTCGATGCATTAGTAGATGACTATCACTCTGTGGAAATTCATGCTATGATGCATCACAAAAGGCATGGAGTCAAACAGACAAAATTTCAATTTACAACGGAAACTGACGTTATTATGTATGTACATTCGAGCTGCATCCAATTCAAAATCGAAATTGAAATCTTTCTATTGTCCAGAACACCGATATCATGATGCTATTTTGGATCTAATAGACTGGTAGTATATAATAATAAGACAAACAAGAAAAAAATCTAATATCTATCTATTGGACTTACATTAATGAAGTGATTGTTACCAATACATTTGAATCAAGGGTGCAATGCTCAGATATACGACACGCATCGTTATGCCAGTAAGGACTTAGCTGAGCATCGAGTTGACTAAAAAGATCGGCGAACAAGATTCACGGAATAAAAAATTACCGTTTTCTACAAAAATTGAGTATGACATAGAAAATTTCTGTGTACAAACTTGACATCATACGTCATAAAAGATGTTCTCGGGAATTAAATAAGAAATCAAAAACTTTGGGGTGAAATATCGGGTTCCGTGGAAGTCAAAGGAAATTTAGAAAAAATAAAAGTTGGCTCTTAGTGACTTCTTCCTCTGAAAATTAAAACTTAAAATGGATTCGTCCATTTCTTTTGAAAAGAGCGAATTTTTGACAACAACCCAAACGAAAAAAAAACGAAAATTTGGCTCAAAGACCCATCGACTCACGTGCATAAAATGAAGTGTGAGTTTTAGGTGATTGATACCGTAATATATTTAAAATATAAAGTAAAGGGAGTTAATGAAGTATAATGAGTTATTTGTTGAACGTTGAACGTCTTACGTCAGCACTAGATAACCTCAAAAAAACTGAACTTTGGAGGATGATTAATGCTAAAGTGTCAAAAGTATTGAAAGAAACTATTTTTGTTTCAGTGTTCGTTGGAACTTCGCTACTGTTTTCAAAGCTCGGTCTTGGTATTTTTCTTTTTCGTTTCGGTGAATTCGATATCGTTGTATACCATAGCTTGATCTTCATTGATTGCCTCTTCCATCTATAATCCAGATGAAGATTAATAATTGTGTAATATAAATACAAATCTTTGAATGGGGTGTTATATCTCACTTATACTTATTTGTATTATTACTTATCGATTTTAATCGGTAAGTATGTTGATAGGTATTTGTCTGTTTGTCTGTCTGTAGGTCTGTTTGTCTGTCTGTTTGATGCACGCTATATCTCACGAAAGCGAGATTGAATCTGCTCCAGATTTTGCATGTGCATTTATCATATGTCGGACCAGAAGCCTATTGATTTTGGATGATTTATGTCGTATAATTAGCGAGTTATGGATTATTTAGTGATGGGACACAAGGTGTCACTATGGAGTAAGAGCGCTGTTTTGGGTAATCCCCTAACTTTCGATCGATAAGTCTTCGGTCTCTGACCGATATTCTCGTTTTCTATATTCATATAACGTTGAAACACAAGAGCTTGTTTCTTGTCCCATAGATATCATTGTTAAATGAAGTCTCATCTACACTGGCGGGTACTACCGTAGTGTAAGTACCAGTATAGGGTTGAGGCAAAATTTTATTTTGATTTTCCTTATTTTAGTTCTATTACGAATTCGGGAACTTTCTGTGTTAGTCAGGTGAATATACCTCCCTGCCCATAGGCTTTCGTCCCTTTACGCAATTTGATGTAAAGTAGGCGTATTAGTTACCTCCATATTGGTACACACACTTCTAGCGCCCATCGGAATACAACAGTTATACACTGTATAATTCAATTTAGTTTTCGAATAAATACCACAAAATATGACAGGCTTCGAAAAAACTGTTGAACTTATGATTTATCAATTATAAATTCTCAATTTACATTTGGTCCGTGTTGTTGTTGTACATAAGGTCAAATTAATTTCCAGCTGGCCACTGAGATTTAGAATGAAAGGCAAACGCCATGATTAAAAAAACTTAACATACAGTGCAATATTTTGCTATTTCGCTTATTTTCATATAGTTAAAGTTTTGGGATAACGTTTGCTTTTTATGTGAAATAAAATGCTTGATAACCAAACTGGACGTATTGAACAATTTTCTACCGAGAAATATATTTTCCAACAGTAATGGTATTTTGAGTTTATTTTGGCAACTCACAGTCGCTGCTTTACTAATGCTCTATTATTTTAAATGCAGTTTGCTTTCTTGGAACACTTACCGAGATATTATTGATTACAATAAATTGTGTCCGAAACAATAAATTAATATTTTAAGCATGAAATTTGAAAATTTACCTGGAAACGAATCTTTGGGCAACCTTTAATGTTTCTACAGACGAGATCTTCCAACGTAGTTGTTTTTACTATATCGAATCCTACTTTCCCACCAAATGTTGATTCCCTCCAGTACGAGGGAGAGCCGATAGTGTTGGAAAATATACTGAAAATATACAAATAAGCACAAGGTTAATAATGTTGAATGTTTTGTACATATTACCACCGCCGAATGAGATATCTCGAGATATTGAAATATTTATGTGCAGTCAGTTACTAGTTATTGTCCGGTAGAGAAGTGAAAATTATATCGACAAATTTCGAATTTTCTGAAATGTTCAATAGAGCAGCCTTAGAGTTAGTTTTACGACATAAAAGAGAACAATATTCAAATACATGGACACCTAAATTGTATGTCTACCGCAATTCCAGTCAAATAAGCAAACAATTGGCCCGCGAGTGATGAAAATGTAGCAAAATATTATATGAAATATTAGGCCCTGTAGGAATTAAAAAATGGAAAAAACTAATAGCATCCTAGCGATTGCTGTGCGTACAATACATGTTAAATAAAACGGTAAACGTACCTTCTCATAGAGTAGCTGGATATTGCTTCGTTCAGTGTTAAACCCCATACTTTTGAATCATGTCGTTTTTCAACCATGACCCCGACAAAAAATTCCACTCCATCAATGTCGCCTTCGTACAATTCACTCAATACACGAGCAAGTTTTGTTTCCCCTGTAAATAAACAGAAACAACAAAACTGAAAAATTCAGCAATAGAAGTATACGCATTTTTAAAGCAATGCTCTAGTCTAATGTTTTAGCGTTCATGGTTGAATTAGGTTATGTTTGCTGAAAAATCGTTTTAAATTACATCTCCATTTTTGTGGATAATTATTAACATGAGGACAGAAACACAGCGCTATTGAGTGAGTGTTTTTTGATCTCTTGGGCCTACTGTAGCAAACTAGTAAGACATGCATTTATGGTCCGTTCGCGAGTTATAGCCGCTAAACTAGGGTTACCATATTTGAAAAAGCAAAATTCCGGACAGTGCATGAGTATGTCGCACAACCTTAGTCCTAACCGGTACACAAAAACTATGTTCAGGTTGTGCGCCATCTTGGTGCGCATACTTCTTTCTGGAGGTCCCTATTTTCATGAGACCATATATATGCGCTACCGAAATGCTAAGACCGTACGATACTCATGCTAACGTTGTACGATACTCATGCTAAAGCGCCAGCTACCGAAATGAAAAGTATTGTCTTCAGTCACAAGCAGAATCTCACACCAGGCAGGTAAGCACACTCTAAATGTAGCTACGGGCCGTCGACTGAACAAATCTCAACTTCAGAGTGAAAAATAAGAATGAGAATTAGATTGTGCCGAAACGGAAGAACAGCAATTACATGCTTAAAACAAATTAAAGACAATCACTACAAATTTACTCTTCTGACCATGCATATTTTTCTGAAGATCTAATTCTCTTCTTGTCTGATTTCAAAAATGAAAACAATTCACTACAGTGCATATCTTTGAAATTATATTGGAGAGTCAACATGCCTTTTATAGTCGCAACTTGTTTCTCTCTTTAGTCCACTGACTTTGCATCAGTCAAAAGACTCTCTCAACATTGACATTGTGGGATGTAACAGCAAAGAAAAACAGTTCAATCCTTAAAATTTCGGAGTGGCATGTGATGTTCGTAGACTGATCGAAATATTTGCACCATTTCTTATGCGTTGGCAGTTTAATAAATTCTTCGTCTTGTAGGTAACTTTCTACAAACAGCTTCAAGTTACAGAATTGGTCAAAGCATTTATCATCGTCCACATCAACCCGTTTACTAATCAGATGTTCCAGGCAAGGCTTTACATCAGGGGTCGGCAACTTTTTGTCGCTCGCGGGCCAAAACCAAAGGTTGCAAGTCATTGGCGGGCCTCATATTTTTAGAATGTTGAAAACCGAACGGATAACCAATGAATCACACTTTTTCACACAGATCAGAAGTTAAATTTAGAGCAGCGCACGAAGACTGACCATTTGAATATTTTCTGCACCATTAAACCATTTGCGCTAAGCATCAACTTTTCTGCGTTTTGTTGCCATTTGTGTAATTATAATTACATTATAGGGTCATTAAACGCGCAATTGTGAGTTATAACATAATTTAGCCTACGCGTGTCGCAAAATTAATTCTGTTACGTAAAGAATATAATCGTTAAAACAGCTATTTTGTTACTATAATCCAGTGAAGCGTTACGGGCCGGATTATATTGCTCCGCGGACCGGATCTGGCCCGCGGGCCGTAGGATGCCAACCCCTGCTTTACATCCTTCCAACTTGGTATCTCGTTCAAGGTTATCCATCCATCCATCCATGAAACAAGTAAACTCTTCCATTGGTTTCATCCATTTGCACAGGTACTCCAAGCATCTCTCATAGACGTTTGCAACTCTAACACCATTGATAAGGAAAACGCTCTGTTATATTAAAATTCCATACAACCTCGTAGTAAAAATATGCGCACGGTACGAAATAAAAATGTTTTGTATTAGCAGTGTGCACATTACGATTGCAGATGCAGTAAAATTCCGGACATTTGAGCATTTATCAAAATTCCTCCCGGACGCAAAATTTAACCCTAAATTCCGGACATGTCCGGAATTTTCCGGACGGTATGGCAACCCTACGCTAAACTATATACCATTCTTGACTGCAGAATACAGCGGGAACTTGAACTGTAACCAAAGACAGTCCTGTTTATTGGCATTTTGCACGGCTCATTGGAAGCGCGCATGGAGCTTGATGAAAAAATAATTATGAACGTCTCGTAAACTGCATTACAAATGAGTAAAAATTACCTGTCAGTTCTTCAAATGTTTTGTATGGAGGCAGATGTAAAGATTGCCGGTATCGATTGAAAGGTTGAAGTCGAACCTTCCTGTTCATTTCCAAGACTCTGATCGCGACTGGATGCAATGATTTATGCATGTTTCGACCTCCAGCACCCTAGGTAGAAGTGGAATCAGTGAAAAAATGATAATTGATAATGGTTATGAGTTACAATGCTATAAATTAAAGTATGAAACAGATATTTCAATTTTTTTCTGATTTTTATCCCAATGAATAACAAAATTTGCCTAAAATTTGACGTGTAATTTGGGGAAGAACAAATAAAAAAAATAAAAAAAAATATTGGCTCTCTCTCTATTGGGCGCATTATTTTGTTTCCAGATGATCCAGTAGGTAAAGAGAAAGGCATTTTTATCTCCCAACTTCTACATTTCATTCTATTTGTTTACCATATGTACAATACAAATATAGGACTGAAGTTATTTTTAACAAAATTGTGGACCAAGTCGATGTTTTGAAAATGTTATTTGCAGACTCGCATAACGGACTTGAATTCACGTACTGTTCAAATTAAAATATACTTGGTGCATTTTAAACAGTTTGATCATTTTTAACTTACACGTCCAGCTAATTGATTTGATAGAGAAGTTGTGAAAACGTTCATTCCATGATCAAGCAGAGGATCCATGTTGTAATATGTTTCGACAATGCTATAATTTTTATCTAGAAAATATAAAAGATGGTATTGGACATTAATAAAAGTGACAAATGTGTAGTTTGCATATTACTTCGCAACCTTTGTCAAAAATTTATTTGCTTTTGTGGACAGAATGGATTGCTTGAGTATGACCCACAAATTTGCAGATATCATCAAACAATAGTGTAAATGATTAGACAGACTACTTCAAATTGGTATATTCTGAAGTATTAGAATGTCAGGAGCAACCTGAAAAACGTATATTTTGTGTACTCTTGCTATGCAAATTTTCACACTCAATTTTCAGAACGTCTTACCTCCAATTTTGAAATAATCAGGCATCATATTATGCCAATGATATACAGTATTAAACTCAACATGAATTCGATTGCTTGACCATGGCATGGGTGTCTCGTGCAATAGATTGGGTTCATAGGTCAACTGCAAATGCATTCCTCCAAAGTGTTGTACGTAAGATTCCACAGTTACTTTTAAAATTTCACCAATTATGATCAGTCGAGTTGTTTGAAACAAGCGTTCGTCGTCCCAATCTGGATGTTGTTCGGCTAGTATACCACATACTCTGTTGTGTTCACGCAACCATAAGGTGGTATAATACAACAGACTAGGTATCTTTGCAAAAAACGGATGAGCCATGGCAAATTTGTGTTTTTCGTCAACTTCAGGTGGATATTTAATTTTAATTCCAGGGCATTGTTTCAGCGGCGGTGGATATTCCTAAAAATTTTGGATAGAGTATGTTATACAAACTCAGTCATTACATAAATATTGTCGGGCGGTCATACAAAAACCAAAATTTATAAGGCGATTTGACATTAATATGACATAAAAATCATGTTAATATTGTATAAAACATAAAGATATTTTTTTGGTGAAATTTTTTGGAAACGATTTTTGGGGAGGAATATCAGAAAAACAAAAGTAAGTGTAACAGTTGGCTGTTAATAACTAAAACGTGTCAATACCAATCAAATACAGTTTTAGAACGTAGATGAAATCGATTCGTAATTCATGGCTCTCTACAGCACACACATATTCATATATTATTAAGTACTAATCAAACCTCTCCATTAATCATTTGCATTTTCATTTTTCCTCCTTTCATTGTTCTCAATGAAAACTGTTTTTCTAATGTTTCTCCATAAATGTGAGCACCATCAATCTGAAATTTGAATTAAGATACGATCACACTAAGCAAGAAAGCCAAACGAGCAGGTATGGCGAAACGGGTGCGATGTGTAGTATAAAAGCTTTACGGGATGAACTCGACCGAGACGATCGTACTCAATTTTATGACATTCATATGTGAAAACATGGATCGCATGAATATTCATAACTGAAAAATTCTTCACACTATCATTGTATTTTTATGTCATAAACGTCGTAAATTACATTTTCTCTAGAACTAGATGCTGCGTATTGGTATACTGACACTCTCTAAATTTACTTCCCACAAACTTTTTCCCAGCCCAAATGTGATTTTTTTTTCAAAAACTTGTGATTTGACGGGCCGCCGATAAACTATGACGGGTTAGTTTGTAAACCGGGAATTAGAGTTAAGCGATCATTAAACCAGAGCAGGGGTTAGCAACCTGCGGCCCGCGAGCCAAATGCGTCCCACAAGAAAAATTATGCGGCCCACGCAGAAGTGCCAATTTGGAATGGTGTTTGGCCCGCAAAACAAATTTTTAATTTAGTTTAATTTTGTACATGCCAGTAACTCAAATCCCTTTGCGTTGCAAATACTATACACATGGGTCCATTTTATTATCAATGCTTATGGCGTAGCAGTTAGCAGCTAGCTTGTGCGAAGCCAGCAGCACATGTTATATTGTTAATAAAGGTGCGGCCAGCGGTTTCCCCTGGTTATTTGTATCAGGTTTTCCTAAATTGAAAGGTTTTACACTTCATAATAGAGCATCGTTGCCGGGTCAAATGCAGTAACAATGGAAACCATTTGGGTTAAAATATACAGCATTTTTGAATTTAGTTTTCACTGTGGGTACGAGACAAAGTTGTCTGTTTTCTTTCACTTTTTATCAAAATTCAATTATCTCAGATTCATCAGAATAATGTTGACGGCAAATAATATCTCACCGAGTGCTCACTCCATGAGAGAGTGTGATCCGAATGAAGACTCTTGAATCCCTGATGAGTGAAATGCTGTCCGTAAAGTGGAGTTAGCACAGTTGTACCACGTGGACAAGGTTTAAATTCAGTTCTTGTGAATATTTTTTCGACAACCTTTTTTGTATCTGGAAGTACTTTCGGCCCTGTCAAAGTGTTGTAAATGGTTGTAGAAAGAACTACAATAAGAACAGTTAAGAGCTATCTGAATACATTAGGCTATAACTAGCCTATTCCAAATGAGTACTATTTTCAGTCTGTGTACCAGACAAAATAAGTTTATGCTGAAACTTTTCAAAGAACTTCAATCATGTGTAACCCATTACTCTATATCTGTTTTTCCGATCGTATTTAGTGGTCGCCCATAATTCTAAGTGAGTGCGCATCCTCTTGCTTTGAGCAAAATTTAATTAAAAAAAAATGTATGTTGAATAAGGTCGGCATGTCGGAATGTGCCCACTTTATCATGCATTTGAAGGGCCAGAACTCGAACTGACATTTGGACATGTCAGGAAAAGACGGGTCTTCATTATCCTAGGTTTACAAAATATTTTAACAGAAAAATATGAAATGAGTCGGAAATCATTTAGGTTCTAAACGCTACACTTGTGGTAAGCATCCTACCTGCAATTCCAAGCGGAGTCGGGCAGTTTTTTGGCACAGGAGGTAGAGTTAGTGCATAATAAGTTTTATTAGCGTATCCATCCCATGTTGTATAGTCGACAAAAGTATTGTGTGCTTCAGGCCATGGTGGTCTCAATGCTTTTACTAGAAAAATATAAATATGAATAGATGCAGTAGTAATATTTGACTATATTGAATACGACTTCAAGTAAATAAATATGCTTCGATGAAACATACACGTTGAGGGATAAAACTTACATAATGTTCTACCAGAATAATACGACACTTGTCTAGATTTTGAAGTAGGAACAAAACAGGAGTGAAAACACATTGTGTTGAGTAATGTTATTTTGAAAAATAGATTATTCCCAGGTTTTCGTTTTGCCATGACAAATAATAGTTGAATGGTGTATCATTATGCAGTCCAGGTAAATTCTTTGGTACAACTCTGTAACTGAGTATAAGGCATTTGAGGTTTTGTCGAGGACCATTGTCTGATTCAATTCAAAACTCTCGTAAGCGTTAGTAAAAGAGTTTTCCAACCAAGTATGTAAATATCGCAGACAGTGATAGTTCTCAATCCCCCGATGTGACTCATCGAGCACTGGTATGTTCCGCCCCAGTTGCAATTCTAACTCCTGCCGCACTTGGCTATCAATATTTAGTTTTAGCTGTAAACTTTACGCCATTTCAGGGTATGAAATCTTGGAATAATTGCAACTCAGCGAACAAACAATACAACAATACAAAAGCAAAGCGTGATGTTGTTTTTTCTATACACATTCTCTCCGTGGCGAAGTGTTCTATGAATTCCAAATAGACCATAAACAACCAATATAAGATACATTTTGAAAAACAGGAAGACTCATATGAAATATATGAATATACTGATTTATTTTCTTCCATCGAAAGTCGAACTAAGCATTTTGCGAACAATCGGCGTGAATAAAGAACAGAATAGCGATGAAAATTCCCAATTGTAATATGCAACTTAATAATCAATTAATGCTGTCTCAGCTTTGTGTCTCACAAATTAAAGTAAAAGGGAACCCAAGAACTCAACCCAAGAACTATTTAACCGAAATAGGCTTTCCGATTTGAGAAAGACTAGTTCACAACGGCACTGCAGATATTTTCTAGGGTAGTTCCAAAGACAGAATAACATGTAAAACTGGGTTATTTTTTAGATTTTTCGTTGATATATTCCGGTTCTATTCATAAAAAGAGTAACGTTATCACATTCGTGATCCCGAGTATGAATAGGCCTAAGCACCGTAATATGTCAATGGATTGCGGATCTTCATTTCATTCACCTACAGATCAAAATATCAATGCGAGCGCTGGTTGATTTATTTGAATAAGTGTATAGTAACTTCACTTACGGGATTGTTAGTAAATAGATCTTATGGTAGATTAATGATTTGCAGACATATATATCTGGAATTGCACATTTTTGAACATTATGTCTTTCATTCTGATCGGAGAATCAATCCCACTTGCAAAAAATACTCAACAGGAAGAGCGAAGAATATATTACTTTGTAAAATCTTTGCCATAAGTGAAGAATGCAGGAATCCAACACTGTTTATAAATTTCCAAAAATATTTGTAGTATGTCGTCAGTTTATTGACTGTGTAGGGAGATGGCTGTATCAAGTCAGCTATCCATGAACTCCAATATTCTAAAAAGCAAAAAATCAAATCAATTTTTAAAATCTTCAAGTTAATTCAAATTAATTGTTAACTTAAGAATTTGAAACATGCGACTGTGAGTGTAAAAACCGTGGGTCGCTTCAAGTTTGCGTTACAAGCTTGGCGAAATTGTGGTTTGCTGTTTGGCAAACATGGCGAATATGACTAAAATGTCGCGCTTCAGCGATGCGCGACAGCCGAACCTGACTGCGAGTGAGTTGTTATTTTAAACAGTCGATTAATAAAAATGATTCACGTTTCTTGAAATTCTGAGACTTGATCAATATTATTCTTTCCATGATGAAGTATTTCAGTCAAAGATCATTGTACGGGATACAAAACATAGCAAACTGTTTTTACCATAAATCGTACGCCTGAAACCACAAATACTCAATACAATAAGTACTTAGTATTAGTTCGGTAGATAAGGGGACCTTTTTGGCCCAAGTTTGATTTCAGACATAAAGTTTTTTTTATTTGTGATTATTCATCTTGGGGTCATTGCCCATCATTTCTACATGGGTGTGGAGTTTACAGCCTTGAGCAATTTTTTTTACGGCTCTATAATTGTATTAGGGGTTTTCGTCAAATCTGTGCATTATAATGACGCACAACCTGAACCATAACCTGTTACGATACTATGTTCAGGTTGTGCGCAATCTTGGTGCACAAACTACGAAAGCACCAAATTTACTAGGAAATAAAATCAATGACTCTTAGGTATTTGTTGAGCCAGTTTTGGGTCGCGACCCCTATACAATATATGGAAATACTGTCGAAACATACGCGTAAAATAAAGAGTACTATTTTAAAATACCCGTTTTCGTTGCAATTAACAATACAAGCCTGCTAATGCAGTCGCCAGTGGTTCAAGTGGATATACACCCGGTAGAGAACAGTCAATTATTTGTTAGCGAGAATTGTTATGCAGCGGGATGATCACGACGACGCAGTGAAAGATAATGATATCACGAGAACAAGAATGAGAAAATTGCTACATTTTATAGTACATCCTTGGGAAAGAATGTAGTTCATTCCTATGCTCCATGCCAATGCTTTTCAATCTACCAAAGACTCTCAACACTTTTGCTTTCTCTTGTATAAAAATACATTGTTATTATATATTGGCATTTCCATCTGTTTGTTCGTGCTCCAAGATAACCGATCAGCGGCCTCCAAGGAGGACGGGGTCCACTTTTAAGAAACCATGTCATAAACCAAAAGAGGCAAACAGATTTTGATATATTCTCAACAATGAATGAAATACGGGTGGTAAAATGCCAAGTTATTCCAACAACATGATCATGTTTTGCAATTTACAACCGATATTTTGTATGTAGCTTTGTTTGACAGAGCCCCAAGAGCTCTAACTACAAATATCAAAAATGTGAGGCCAAAAAATTCACACTACAACATTGTCAAATGTGCTGTATTTACGATAGATAACAGGTTTACCAAAAAGAATTACATGAAAAATGTTAAAATAAAGATCAATTCAGCAATATCTACTTGGTGATATGCATCTGTTGATAATTTTATGTGTTGGTTTCGGAAGTTTAATAACAGAATTAATTGTGGTTGTTGGGATGTTTTAAAAAAAGGTTGCATGGAAAAAAGTTTTCACAAAATGTCAAGGTTTGATAGTAGTAGAGAAGTAGAAAAAATACTCCCATGTTTTTTTTTTCATTTGATAACCACGCCACAGAACTTCCCCGATAAGTATACGCAGCAATTGCGAGAGGCAGAAATGCCGAGATGGGATTTCATCGCATTGCAAACCAATATTAGCAATTTTTATATATATTCGCGCATTCCCATCTGAACAGCGTTGAAAAGATTATACCCATCTACACACTTTAAGAACTATGTCAGATGAGCGTCATATTATCGAATATCAGTAAAGGAATAGTGCAATGGGAAAAGACATATAAGGCGGAACTTTCAGTAGTATGCAGTAGAATATATATTTAAAAACATTTCGTCACTCCAACTGCAGTCCGAAACTTTTTAGATACCAATTGGCACTCATGTAAGACTGTAAGAGGCACGCGATGGAGTAGATACTAAGAGTATCCATCCCCCAGCTGTCATTTGAGTGGGTACTGCTGTTTTTATTGCAGATGTTACTGATCTTTTTGTATTAAAGATTTACTGGCATCACCGATTTAAGGATGTTGGAAACCAACACGCAGAACAGCATACAACTTCTATGGAATGAAATCATACACAAAAGCTCGTCAAAAACATATAGCTCAATAATCAAGTGGAATTTGATGCATGTGCGCAAAAATGTTACTACGTACAACCGAAGCACGCAGGAATAGGTGTGTGATGTACTAGTATTCAAAACGTTTGACTCAACTATGTTGGCATAACAGGTGAACATCTCGGTTTCGCATACGCATACCTCCTATCTCCACAAGGATATATTAATTTTACCAAAGTCAATGCAGCACTGAAAGGTTGCGGTTCTTCCAAAAGAAAACAGGTTACACATCTTTAGATACCAGTGGATGGTTTTACATGGCCTTGTTCGGAGTGAAAGACGAGGTCAAATATTCCAATCGAATTCAACTAATGAAATGTTTCCCAAGTCCCTAAGCTTAAACGAGAAAAACAAAATGCGCGTGGCAACGCAAAAATAGTTTGAAAAGCGCAATAGAAAGTGGCTAGATGCTGTCGATGGATCATGGCTTCTATTAGTGAAATAAACTACCATTTATTCTACTAAAATTGAATTTCTGGCATTGTAAGGAGATTCAATGTTACTATGTATGCAAACTAAACCATGTAGTTATGAAATAATTGTTTTTAACAAAAAGGCGCTCCTGAAGTATTCGTACCAAGATGGCGCACAACCTGGACATTGTATGTTCACCAGGTCAGGGTTCAGGATGTGCGTCATCTTGGACCGGATGCTTTGAATCCACTTAAAAAATTTGCTCAACATTATATACTCCACACCCACCTGGGTATCATTATATATGTCATATACATTATATCTAAACAATAAAAAAAAACTTTATGTCCCAAAACAATGTTAAGGCCCGATTCTGCCGGACTATATTGAGAATCGAAGAGTTGAGCAGAGGTGACCGTGGCCATTTTGTCAACGAGGCACAAAAGACAGGGATACTACTTTACTTACGTTTTTCACAGTTGTCTCCATAGCGTCCCGTATTGTAACAGTCACAAGTATATCTGTCGGAAAAGCCTATTCTGGTGCATATCCCAAAATTTTGACAAGGAAAGGAACAACATGGATCATCTAAAAATAATGACGTCATACATCAATATTACTTCATGCATGTAGCATTCATTATGGTCATCCATTTTCTGACATCTATGATATACATTCTAAATGTTTTATCAACGTTTAATTACCTGAATGTCGAATATTACAAGATAAATTGACGAACATGAAACAAAGCCATAACTCTACCCGGTCAAAGTATACTTTTCAAATTTAAGTTGCTGCCAATGGTATTAGACTTTAAAATAAATAAATACTGATGACTTATGATCCAAATACATACTGTTCAGCACCTTCCATAATTTGTCTTTTGAATACTTTATATTGTGTTTACTTTTCACTGTGAAAGTTATTGCGAATATAGGGTAGAGATGATTATCCTGAGTAAGGTACTTGAATGAACTAAACTTACATCCTTTCTTTTCCTGTCCTTTGGCGTTCACGAAATGAAGCACAGAGAACAATATACACTCTGAAATGTAAAATGAAAAATGAAGTATTTCATTAGTTTTATATGATATGAAATCCTGATAATTAATTTTCCTTATTGAAACATTTTGACCTCAATCACTAGAATAATGAGATAGTTAATCTTGCTTCTGGTCAAATCATGATTGAGAGGAATTTTGGTACATGACGTAAATAGCGAAAACGCGAGTGAGACAAATTTTAAGCGAAAAGAAACGACTTTTGGGATAAACTAAGTACGAATTAGTCACTTGGTTATACTTATTAATATGAATATATGTAAATAACCTGGTGGATGGCTTCGTAGCTAAAGCGTTGGACTTAGCTATGTTAGCATCGCAGTAAAAATCATGCTTTTGAATGCCATGTCCACCAACTCACACAGGGTGTAATAAATTCGACAAGCAACGCCAAACAGGAAGATATATACATAGAGTAGCTTCGTGTACAAGTGACTGATTGTACAAAAAATCGGTCGGAGTGAAACGCATATAAAGGTTGTAAAATCATCAGACAAAACATTGGACTCACTCGCATCGGCTATATGTTTTCATCAGGACTGCGTCCTTGTTACTTTTACTAACGTCACAGCTAGCCACATGATGGGTTAACAGTCTCGGTTCAACGGAATTCTCAAGGGTACACCAAACTGTGCGTACCTTGCACGCACGAGCGGTTCAAGGGTAGGTCATGCAGTCGAGACGAAAGTGATCAACAACATTATTGCATGCTGACGACTACATTGAATATCCCGTAATTTAAAACATCTTCTACCCCTACAGTTCATTGATCTTTGGTAGCATTATATTCACAACCTTCAAGATACTATATCGAATGGATTATTGGAAACATGTAATACCCACCTATTAGAATGGTTGTAATGTTCAGAATGCCTGTAATATGTGACATGTTCAAACATTAAAAGCTGCGATAGCAATTTAAAAATTAGGTTGAAAATTGTTGTTTAAAATTATATATTTTTTAATCGATCGAATTGTCGGTATAATCTATATGAGAAATACTACTTACCTAACACAAGGAGATGATAGTTCAACACCTTCATAATCTTTTTAAACTAAGATGCTCTGTAACGCAAGTATACAACACCAATGAAAAAACAAAACCAGACCAAGCGTTTATGTACGCGTCGGCTAACTCTTCAATCGCCAGAAAAACGTCACGTGCAAACCGTAAACATGCTTTCTCTATACTTCAAAAACTTTTTCTTTTACTGATCTACTTGTTACATACTTCATCGGCAAAATAGGAGTGAAATAATAAGGAACGTATTAACCCGTTTCTGATAACGAACGCGATGAAAATGCAACATGTAGGGTGCTCGTGCTATATCAAATCCATCATTTTTTGCGAAAATATTTTCAGATGCGGATTCAAGATATTTGAATGCATTGCTATTCTCATTACACAATTAGTTTTATTTTTCAGAATTTTTTTGATATTCTGCATGTTTCTGAGATATACGTATAGAAAGAAAATTAGGTTGTAGAAATAGCCGGCTGATCTGATCTTTACGTATATGGAAATGGAGGGAAATAGTTTGATCTAACTGTTACCAGTGCGGATAAATTGGCAGGAATCATAATGATTTTCATCCACTATATTATGAAAGAATATCTTTACTGACCAGTCACGTACACTAAAAGGTAGGTAGGCTTGAACTCATCATTTTATACTAATACCAACGAAATCAATTACAAACTGTTTGCTGTCTGCGACTGGGTTACTGGAACAATGACATTCCTTTTGTGTCTTAGAAAACTATAGAATACGCCCAGAGCGTAAAACTAAAATACGCATTCAGGGTTTATTACTTGACGCGCTCCTGACTCACGTTCGCTCATGGAGATAACATCTATTGCAGTGTTTCCCAACTCGAATCCGCGGTCTCAAATAAGTCCGCGAAGCGTTTGAATGAGTACGCAACGACCCAGAAATTCACTGCGGGTAACAAACGTTTTTGCAGAAGTTAACTATCAGCCAAGTTACGATTTACGTTAAAATTCACATAAAACATAAAAAGCAAGTTTATTCACATAACATTAATCCAGTCAATTATTATTAGTTACTGAGTATGGGCATATATTCGAATATTCTACTATCAGAATAGCAATTCACTATTCGAAAATTTGGTAACAGGTAACACGACAAGGTCAATACGATTGGATTTCACAACTCACTTGCGAATTTCCGACGAAAACCCGAGCACACGCGTGGTGTTTCTTGCGAGTTCGAAAAACGAGAATTTTTTTTTTATCAGGTGTCAATGGTGGCAACCCAAATTTTCCTAAATAAAAAAGCGGCAATACAACAAAACTGAAAATAAAACGAAGAACACAATAACTTTTGTTTTATGATTGTACGCGACCAGTGGCGTAGCATCCACCCCCGCAACCCCCGCGGTCGCGGGAGGACCCACAGCGCAAATGGGCCCAAGCGGTTAGAATTTAGAAAAATAAAGCCGCAAAACCAAAAGCTGCATTGCAAAACCAGTAATGCACATCTTATAACGTTGATGTTAGTTCTGCTCAAATCAAATCGTTTTGTTATGCCAGGGAGTCGTCTATTTTCGGCGTCTTGTAGTTTATCGCACGGGAAAAATTACGAAGGCTGTCAGAATGATGTCGAAAGCAAAACCTCTCAGTGGCACACAGAAACATGGCAGAAGAGGAAGCACGTAAGAAAAAATAAAGCAATCAAGATAGACGGCAAATTTTAGGTCACCATTGCCTTTTAATAGCGACATGTTATGCTTTTTGACAAAATAACAAAAGCGTTGTTTTAGCTTATGTCCGAGAGTTTTTAGGGTCATTTCCACAAAATATTTTTGCGGGGGGGCCCACGAGAGTCTTGCTACGCCACTGTACGCGACCGATTAAAAACGCTTCTTTAGACATTGCAAATCGCAAAATTTCGGGTGATACTGTAGTATATGTACCAGGGCTTTCCCCCTTAGGCCTCCTCATTGGTACGTACAGTACTGGAGCGCCGTAAGTGTTGTACGAACAGCTCAGATTTGTTGAATTCACAAAAATACGAATCAAAACAAAATATATTCGGGCACATTACCACGCATTTTTGTGTAGTCTATTCGTTTCATCGGTCAAATGGTTTTTGATTGAAGTTCAGGCATTTGTGTGCATGTTCATATTAGTAGTTCATAAGTTTCTCATTTGTACGTGCCTCAAGCAGTATAATCTATTTTTTACACATTCAACACGAAGAATATCAGTGGCATATTATCCTATGTGTTCGCTTATCACTGCTGTCCATATGATGGCTAACTAGTTCTGTTTGGACAAGAGTATTCAAATGACCATTTACATTGTTATTCTATACGAAAATTGGAAATATGTCAAAACGAAAAAGCTAAAGTCATTAATATATTCCCATGTCGGGATAATTATATATGTGCGAGATTGCTAACTGCCACTGCCTTCTAACCTATGAGATTCAAAGATATATGTAAAATTTGTTTAATCAGAAAAGCCTAGACGTCTAGTGAACCTTCTGGAGCATCCATGTCTAACCCAAAAGCTTTTTTGGGCCTCAAATTATGTTTCAGTTTTGCCCCCATTTACACATCAAAAATGCATTGCCATTTATCCTAAAATGGGAAACTCATCCCCAACAACGTACGTTTGGTATAAATTTTCTACTTCTCAATAATAAGTGCCATAAATCTGTAGTTGCTTGGAGGTCACCTTAATGTAGAATGAACACATTAAAATTATGAATAAGGGTGGATTGTTTGTTTCAAGCTAAAGTGACATTCCCGACGACATTCTCGTTAGGTTCAACAAAAAATATCTCCTGCGCAAATTTGTCTGCCGGGCCGCGGATTGGCCACCGCTCCACTAGAAAATTTCTGCTCGTTGAACCCTTGGGTGTAAGAAGATGCCTACTAAATACAATTTTAAAGTAATTCATATATAGACATAGAGTCTTTGCAATGTCAAGAAGTCATATATATATATATAATGAACAAGATTATCAAATCGAACCCAAAAATTGAAATTAACGAAAAAAATGAGACAGCAAAAAACTGGTTGAAAGTTTGCTCTTGGTACATAACATAATAAATGAAATGTTTTGTCTGAAGACATTTATAAAGTGCGTAATTTCATGCCCGGCAATGCATATTTCTGCTCCTAAATATGATCAAGCTTAGTTAAAAAAATTTACTCTCCACCCATTACATTATAAACTTAAAAATGTTAAATTCAGATCAGAATTACAGAGGGTACGCCCGTAGTATGTGTACCAGATTAGGGTTAAGGCCATGATTTTATTCCGATATTCCTTAATTTAGTTCTGTTACGCGTTCGGAGACTGTCTGTGTTAGCCAAATGAATATACCATCTGTCCATAGGCTTCCATTCCTTTACAAAACTTGATGTAAAGAAGGCGAACAAAATTAGTTACCTCCACATTGGTACACATACCTATGGAGAGCCTTACAGAGTTGGATATCAATTTCAAATTTATCACCTTTTTTTCAGGTTTCGTTCAATTGCATTGTTTTGAGAGAAACGAGACAATTTATAGTGGAATTAAACCTGATATAGCGTCATTAGAGCAAGATTTACTGTCTGTTTTGCAGTGCAATGGCGCCGATGGGTCACATTCCGCCAATTTTAAAAAATTCAAAATTAAGACAACCTTCAATTTTCTACCTTCTAAAAAGAGAGGATAGCTGATCGTCGCCCAGCAATTATCCACTACGTCCACATCGACTGACAAATCATTCCATAAGCCTCAGCGATAATTCGTACTCAAATATACTCAATCACTATCACCATATATCTATGATCACATGCTTTATAGTGAAAAACAATATAATTTGATTTGTTGCATAAAAATTGCCATCAAATTTTTGAAGTATAATTATTAATGTAAAATCAATAAGACAACGAATATATTCACAATTCCTTTTTCGACAATATATCGACGTCTTTCAATTCGGCGTAGTTCATTTCATGATTTTGTTGTGTGCTCTTCTTATCGCTTACCTGATGAAGAAGACAATATTAAAATACACATTTAGAAAAACAAACAATCAACAATATCAATCAATGCAGGAAAGTTTTAAATGGAAGTAAAACATTAGATATATATTGTATATTATGTTAGTATAAGATTTTTATGGCGTAAAATAGCCCTGATGTTATAAGTGCCATAAAACATATAACAGCAACAACAATCTTTTGCGCGATGTTATGCATTGTTTGCAGTCGTTTGCTAAAGAGATACTTAGGGCCATGCTTGGCTTACTCTTCTTATCCTGTTTATCAGAACAAGCAAAAGTACCAGAATACGAAAACGGTATTTTCTTACAAGAATTTACTCACAGCATGGTCACGCGCACTCACTCAGAAGTAAAGTTACACATCTCTGACCAAACTTACAGGCATTTACTGAAATGCCAAGATCTAGTAAAACATTAAAGAAACAGTTAAACTTATAACGCAGACTTTCTTCACCGCATTGTCAGTAGGCTTGCACGTAATTTACGGATTTACGGAATTACGGAATTATTTCGAGTTACGGAAGCGAAGTTACGAATTACGTAAAGTCGTAATTATTGGTTGAGCGCTTTGGCAATTGAAACGAGCTCTTTTCAGAGCAGTCAATTCCGTCGATTGTAAAAAATTAAAGTTTAATAAGTAGAAGAAGTTAGAGTTCCGGTATTCGCAGCCGTTTTTCTCTCTCTTGTCACGCAGGTGGGGAAGGCATAACGCGTTGCCATTTACTAATCCATTATCAACTTATCTAGCATGGCCAATGTACATATTAACCGTAGATAATGCCGTGATAATTAATGATGCGCTTATCAAACAGCAATATGACGACGGAAGTGAAATTGCGTAATGAACCAACGCAACTTAGTCTTTTCGGCATCGGTAAAGCCATTGAGCCGGCAGAGAAACGACGGGATTTCCCGTGTTTATTCTGCGCGAGAACCATTTTCTATTACAGAATCTTGATGTTCTGTTACCGGTTTTATCGTTAAATATCTCTTCAGACTTGGCCTTGCTCAATATGTTTTTCACAATGCCTCGCAATATTTCGGCCAAATATGAATAAATGTCTTTACCAAATGCGGCAACTTATTTTGATTTATCATCGTATCGAATACCGCCAGCATTCGACCAAACTTGTGTCAATCTTGGCCGATAGGATTGTCGACTTGAGTTAGAAAAATAAATTAATATTTTCGTGAGTGCAAAATAAATGTCACAAAATGCATTGTTTTGCGATATAACTTTGTATTTCCGGAAAAGGCATGTCATATAAGTACGGTATTTAAATTATGCGCAAATAATTAGTATTTGATCTGAATTATCGCAAATAATGTTATAATATTTAGGCCGCGAAATGATTTAATGTAAAATGAAGCATGGTAATCGGAATATCGTCAATAAGTCGGCATCAATAATTATTATAACATGCTAACTAAGTAGTAAAGTCGGATATTGTATAAAAACGGTGAAATAACAAGTCTGATTAATAAATTAGAAACCCGAAATTTTTATTTAATACGAAAGTCTTATTAATACGCTAATACGATTTTAAAAAAGTCAACTATCGTTTCATAAATATCCGTATACCAGTGTCGGTAATGATAAAATTGATCGCATAAAACTGGGTGATAAATGTGATAAAGGAAAATCAAAGCTAACACAAAAGATAAAAATCAGAATAAAATTAATTTGAATTCACTCCTTGATATTTGTCTTTAACACCCGTCGCCGGCGTGTAGTACTGCCGGGAATATGAAAACCAAACTTCGATGTCCCATTCGGAATAGAAGTGGATTCAATTGGATGTTATGATAGGTTTAAATGCGTGAAAAAAATATCGAAATTACGGGGTCATTACGTAATCGATTTGGCCGTAATTACGGAATTGATTTTTGTCAATTACGTGCAAGCCTAATTGTCAGTGGGGTAAAAAACAATACATACAGAAAAATGTACACTTTTATTTACATCAAAAAAAGTCAAACCTTAAAACTAATCCTTGGACATTCTTTTATATTTCGACAGACAAGTTTTTGCAATGTGGTAGATTTTGCCATTTTAAACATTTTTTCCCCCCCAAAAGTCGATTCTCTCCAGAATTGCGGGGAGCCAATGGTATTGGAAAATACACTGAAGTAAAAGGTTTCAAAAATAAGAAAATCAGTATTTCTACAAGCTTTCTAATAAAAATAAAAATTTGTTTGTTGTTTGGTAACGGGGTGGGAATGATCTCTAACTACAAATGCCCATATGAACTGATGTAAGCGGGTTTACTTGCGAAAAGCATATTGTCCGATAATTTCAATGAGACCAATTCCTGCTATCGCTGTGGGATGCCTTTGTTCAACGATCATTCCGATAAGAAATTCAACGGCATCGATATCATTTGCATAGATTTCTTTTAATATATTTGCTGTTTGGGCATCCCCTAAACAAAAACAAAAAACGATTATTGCATATCGTAAAGATAAAACTATTTGTGGTCGTTGCAGAAACTAAAACTCGACGTGGTATCGATTTCCACATTAAATTAAAAGTTGCTTCGCTTCAAATTATGAGGTTATTAATCGTCTTCGATGCGTCCCCCAAGGTTTTATAGCTCCCTAGTGACTCTTAGTGGTTGATTTAATATTGTACTTGTTTATATACGGAAGCGACATACATGATTTTTAGCTTATTGGCTAAAAGGAAATGCTTATCTTTTACTTATGTAATAGCCTGCTTACTACGTCAGAATTCAACAAGCATGTCCAACCAGAAAAAGTAAAACCCACATTGTCCAACAAGTTCTGATATGTTGCACTTAAGTTGCATGATTTATTTAGGTTAAATTCCTCGCGCTGAGGAATACCTCATAGATACCTCAATGAACTCTAACATGATTTTTATCTAGTTTGTTTCGAGTAGTGACAAATATAAAAATTTCGAATGCCTGTAAGCTCTTCAAATGTGTTGATCCGTGGTAATCTGAAATATTGTCTGTATCTATTATATGATTGCAGTCGAACTTCGCGGTTTAATTCTAATGCTCTCGCGATGGCTTTAATCAGAAATGCAGGCACGATGTTCCCGCCAGACGCCTAGAAATTCAAAACCTGTTACCTTGTTATATAAGAGCGAAATGTACAAGGTTAAAAATCTAGAAGAATAGAAGACGAAAACTTCAGTATAATGTCAAACCACTTCAAACTTACTTGTCCCATCGGTTGATTAGATAGTGAAGTTGTGAATGTTGCCATTCCGACTTGAGTGAGAGATTTCGTGTTGTACATCATATCCGGCAGAGTGTAATTTTTACCTAAATAAAATATTGCATTAGAAGGAGCCTCAGGTATAGGTAAACAGTTTGACAAAAAATCACCCAGCAGTTGTGTTGTTTGCTGAATTCACAGTATTGGATTGGTATAAGTTGCCATGTGGCACTATTTGAGGAAATAAAAAACTAATGGCTAATGTGTTTTAAGAAGAACGACATCCCGATAAGTCTACTTAACTCTGACAGTCCTATGTGAAGCTTGGATTTATCGACGGTGAGGCTCAAAATTTGTGCCCAATGCTCGCGCTGTAGAGCCAATATGCTAACCAATGCATCAGATCTGCTCGTGAAATTGACACCAAACCTCATGTCAACCGATACTTCCTGTGTTATGCCAAGTATGCCAGTTTGTAGTTGTTATTGCAGATTGTGTTAGACACATCGAAAACCACGGGGTCATATTTCACAAATGGTACTGACTTATATCAGAAACAGTTTTAAAAAAAGGTGATACAAATGTTGGCAACAGTATGGCACTTCACTGTTGTATTCATAGTTGCGGTGTCGTGTTGTATGTTTTGATAACTGGTTACAGATAACGAAACGAATATGCATTACTGCACAGAATGAGAATAAGTCCCGGATTTATTACGAAAATGCTACTGTTGTTTGCAAAACAAAGTGAAGTATTGAGCTCTGTATTATATTACTGTGGTTTAGGCCTTGCATCCAATACAATTTTCCCACCAATTTAAGAACATTTAATTTTATTAATCAAGCTTTAAATTTATAAAACAATCTTTCTATGCTTGGGGATATTGTTTCATAATGACCATTTTTTTAATATATGGTAGTTTTTTTTATATTTATGCCAGGAGATTGGAAAGTCGATAAGCCGGCTTAGTCATATGGCGAGTTACGGCCTCTCGTCCGGTTACTAGTCCTTGTCGAGTACGAGAATAATTAGCCGATTATTTGTTTTAGATGCGTGGACTTATATTACCTCCGATGTTGAATACATCTGGAACAGTGCCGTGCCAATGGTACATACTGTTAAATTCGACATGTATTCGTCCGCTAGACCAAGCCATTGTTGAGCCATGGATCAGTTCTGGCTTGTAGTCTAACTTCAAATGAGTGGCCGATATCTGTTGTGCGTAGTCTCCGATAGTTACGACCATCGTTTGAGCTGAAATTGAATTTATATAAGAATTATATATATTCATTGTGTATGTAAAAAAGCAAAATATCGTCGATGTACATAATCGCACATTGCGCTATTTAGGATAGGACGTATAGTCATATTATATTTATATGAATTTCAATATTTCTCCGGAAAGAATTTTTTTACTATAACATATAAACTTCTCCAATCTAAAAGTATTCATTTGCCACGGTTAATATGTATATACTCTGTAAGTCAAAGAGTTTTACTTTAGGAAATATTATTGAGTAATGAGAAAACTAAAATTTTCAAAGCTAATCGTTAATGGACAATTGACACTGAAAGTTTCGTAGTAAATAAAATCTGTTGTCAGAGTTGGGATCACTTAACGTTCAAATGAGAAGCGTCCAAGCTAAGTGCTTCAGTGCTGGTAACTGGTAATTATTCTCTTTATCCCTAAGGCTGCTTCAGTTATTTCTACTCCCACCACACCAAATCATTAAAAATTATTCGGCTTATTGCTTACCATGGATATTGTGCCTTGCTGTTTGAAAAATTCTTTCATCGTCCCAGTTTGGATACTCCTGTGCTAGAATGTCGCATACTCTATTGTGCTCTCGCAACCATAATGTGTTGAAATATAATAGAGAAGGGAATGAGCCAAAGAACGGATGCCCAAGTCCAAACTTGTGATCATCGGTAATTTCGGCTGGATACCACATGTTCAATCCAGGGCAATCTTTTAACTTTGGCGGATAAGTCTGTAAGATTGAAAAAAGTAATGTACAAGAAATGATTTTTATCACGTCGATAGCAATAACATATTGCAACCATTAAAAAGGCAGATGTCCAAAACGATTTTCTACCAGACACATATCATATATATACCACTAACTAAATTGTAAAAATTGATTACAAAATTGTGATATGAATAGAAAAGGAGAGGGATTCACCTCGACCTTTGGGCGGACAAAAATAAACAAGATGGCGGCGATTCGAAATTCCCGTCTGAACCGATTCAAATAATTTACTATCCGGTTCGATATGCCCAGCTCTATATAATGTAACGAATTGGAGTTTGTCATATAGATATTACGCTACAATTGAACTTGTGCTCGATTTTCAAAATTATTAGGTTGATGTCATACTATTCGCTCTAAACAAGGTTCAAACACCTCAACAAGGGCTCCAGAAGTGTGTGCACCAATATGGAGGTAACGAATTTTGTTCACCTACTTTGTATCATGTTGTGCAAATGGACTGGAACCCATGACCAGGGAATTGGTTATTCACTTGGCTAACACAGACAGTCCCCGAACTCGTAATAGAACTAAAATGAGGAAAATCGGAATAAAATAATGGCCTAACCCTAACCTGGTACACATACTACGGGATTACCCACAAAAGTATACTAATAAAATACGCACTATGGAATTCATATTGTGTAGATTTTATTTCATAAAATTACCTCTCCATTAATTTTTTGCATTTTCATCTTACCGCCTTCCAAAGTTCTCAACAATAATTGTTTTTCCTTTGTTTCACCGTACAAATGAGATAAATCCATCTGAAAATTCAGAAAAAAATCATACATAGAAATTTTTATTGCAATTTAGAAGTAATTCGTCCGCACATTCTCCATATATATATTTACCTCGTGACTTCCCCACGTCAATTTGGGATCGTCTTGATATGATTTGAACGATTGATGAGTAAAATGTTGTGCGTAAAGAGGAAGAAGTACAGAGGTTCCCATCGGACAAGGTTTGAATTTTGTTCTGGTGAAAATTTTCTGTAAAGTCTCCATTACTCCAGGGAAAACTTCAGGACCTATAGTGTAGAATTTTGTTGCAAAAACTTGTAATATCGATGCTAAGCAAATGGTGCATAGCGAAAATTGAGATTTATTTAGCGAGCGCCTACCGTGTTTCCCCAAAAATACGAGAGGGTCTTACTTCAATTTTCTTTCTAAAAATTACTTTAGGTAATTGAATTGAAATCATTTTAAACGAGTAGGAGAGATCTCTTGCTATCGAATACGTAAAAAAGAAATTCGTCTTATTTTCGGGGAAACACGGAAGTGTTAACAGTCCTGCTTTAAATACGAGTGTATAACCAGATCCCATGACCTGTTATTCAACATAGTTAGAGAAAGCACTAGGCCAGGGTGCAGAACGCATAAATATTTTACAAATAAATATTTCCCAGGTTCGAGGGTGTGCCTACCTGCGACTCCCATAGGTGTTGGACAATCTTTCGGAACTGGTGGCAGAGTTCTTCCATAAAATGTCTTGTTTGCATATCCTTCATATGTGGGAAAATCTGCGCCTAAACTAGTCGATTCAGGCCAGGGTGGTTGGTCGCTTTTTACTGTAACAAGTTATGGCATTGAGAGAGAAAATGGGTTATCTCACATTTATATTCAAAGTATATAAATAACATACATATGATTATAATTTTAAGAAGAAAATCGTGTAAGAATTCTACTTTGTTAATCAAATTCCAGAATAATTTCCCGTGTGTTGTTAGCCATCTCACAAGAGCAGGTGAAGGTTTGATGGTGTCTCCAATCCAAGTGCTGATGTAGGCTAAAAATAAAACATATTGTATAGTTTTACAATCTACAATACAAACTATTTATGATATATAAAAAATAACAAAGCTATGCTCGAATATATGGACACGAAACCCAACACGAAGTCGTACGGGTATGCAATCCGCCACAGTAGACTACCGTCATAAGGTTCAATTTTGACGACGTATTGCACACAATAAACAAATTTTATAGAGTCCACTAAATTTTTGAAATGAATATGCGTTACAATCTTTTAGCGAAAAATACAAAGTTTAACCAAATTTGAAAGCAATTGGTCCAGGTAATAAAACAGCTATTTTTTGATTAACAAAACCATCTATATGTACATTTCGTGTTCTCTGAAAGCTTTGTCCAAAAACGTTGCAGTTTTCATTTTTGCAAAATTGCGTTTTTTTTCGATTACCTCCAATTTTCGACCGGCTAAAAACGGGAGTGTTTCCCGAAAAGTCATTTTTTCATAACACTTTTTCTTTTTTCGGCATTTATTGATTCGGCCCAAATTTCATTTGATTTTTAAAAAAGACGAAATGTACAAGAATTTTGCCCATGATTGATTTGGGTAATCAACAAACAACGTCTATTTTGTTTACATCAAACTAGGTGATGATTGATGCCAGCTATAGAAGTTCTGGAGACAGTGATGCTCTAGTTTACTTTGGAAACTGTGTTTATGCGGACAAAGTAATCAAATTATCTACATCTACCATTCTGTTATTTTCGAAGTTTACTTTATGACTTCCCAGATGTACACTTATTTTTTTTTTGAAATTACCGATAGATGAGCAACGTAGTATTTCCAATAAATCGTTATTTTGAGCGCCCATTGCATTGCTATTTAGCAAACAAATCCGCGAGACTTTCTAGCGTTATTAACCCATGCCACATGCCAAACGACAATTGCTGTGTTTTATCCAAGTACCCCATTTTTAAGTTGTTTTTGCAAGTTGTGTTCGAGTGAATACACATTCAAGAAGACGGGATCATGTTTCATAAAAGGTATTGGATAACATAAAATATCGTTGCAAGAAATAAGGATTTAGATGTGGGATATTGTATGGTACTCAGTGGTGTATATGCTTGAAATGGCTTCCATGGCGAAGTTAAAAAGGGCGTTCCTTTATTATTTGGTTGACGATTTATAATGAATAATGACTGTTATTGAAATTAGGTAGCCTACTTGTACGTTACTATTTGAATAAAAATTCGAGTTTCAGTTATTTTCAATCTGGAATTAATTTATTGAAGCACTTTACGATTAAAACCTTTGCCGTTTTTGCGCACCTGTCCAAACGGCAACCATGGCATGAGCCAAGACTGCCACACCATAGATACGGCATTGATGGTACTTCATTGTTCATGGTTTTGACATTTGGAGTAGGTATATATTTGGTTACAACTAATTAACAAAACTAATATGCATTACCTCGCAGAATGAATAGATGGAAAGAAATTTCCCTCAAGCTTATTTTGAAAACTGTACAAAGTATTTTTTATTGTATTTATTTATTTCATAATTATATATACTTCTCAGTGTTGTCTTATTTTTTTCAAAATAACCAATTGATATAAAAAAAAAAGAAAAATCTACATTGAATCGTATTAACGTTAACTCACGAGTTTGACAATTGTCTCCATAATATCCCGTTCCATAACAATCACAGTGATATTGGTCAGTGAATCCAATCCTATTGCAAATCCCGAAATTTTGACAAGGAAAGGAGCAACATGGATCGTCTAATTGAAAATATAAAACATACAGGGTCACAGTATAAATATAGTACAATTTATGTGTGTGTATGGGTGTGCAATTTGTCACAGTAGACTGCTGGTACCAGCCGTCACGATGTCATAAAAGCGTGTGAGACAGCAATCACGATGTCATAAAAACGTGTTTCTACAATTACAATTTAGATAAAATATCAGAATTCACAGAAATATTCGGATCAAATAAAAGTAATAGCTTTTTATCAATAAATACAATCTTTTACCACTGAAAATTTTGAATCAATTGGTCCAGTAATTAATTAATTAATTAAAGAGAAAGGCGTTTTTTTTCATAATGATGGTATGAAAATATCTAACAACAAGAACGATCCATAGGGCCATTTCGTTTCCAATAAAGGCGGTTTGGCCACTCCTTTGTTGAGGAGGAAGCGAGGACACCTGGTAGCCTACTGGTAAATCTTTATTATCTGTATACTTTGTTGAGTTTGGTCAATACGTGATTGACATCAAGGCCCTCTATTCGCGACAATACACGTGCAAGGCGTGAAATTTTACAGTTTACTGATTTTACACCATATGTGAATTGTGTTGCTCATAATATATATATTTTTGAAAGTACTGTATATTTCGATGTACGGTACAGAAATATTATTACATAAAAACACTACTTACATTTTTCAGCAAAAGTTGACCTCACTAGCAGCAAAATAAGAATATACAATTTCATAGTAAATGCATTGACTTGATTACGCTAAAACGATCATTGTTGACTACATATGATATATATAGAGTGTTATATCGTTATGAATTAGCAAAAATCGATCGAGTATGACAATAATGTGACGAAAAAGGGTAGGGGTTTATACATTTCAGGGATTTCTCAAGTACATGAAACTTTGATATGTTGAACCAATAATATCTAAATAAAACTGATCGCGGACCTGATTTAAAAGGTTACAATGTAGCATTATTAAATATCTGTATTCTCGTTAATCTGTGCTGATTTTAACCTTTAACTTTGACTTTGGAATACCTTAGCCTATCCTGTCTGTTAGATACCAAATACCATATCGTAGTCGTGATTAATTTTCAATCATATGTCGTGCTATTTTATGAATGAATTTAAAATACGAAGTTGTAGGATTGCTTATTCTTGACTTAACTTGGCAAGCGTTTATAGGAAACTATAAACTAATTGTTATAGCCTGCTACCATACTCTATTCTATACTTAAAAGCGAATATGTTTCAAAGTCAACAACTCGACATTGATCGTTGGCAGTTATGTGAAAGAATTATCGTTTTCAACAGACATAATAACCTAACCTAAAATTGATTCAAGTCTGTGAAAGCAGATGAGTACTACTGATAAAGAGAGTTAGAATCGATTATAGTGTTGAGACCGATATTTGGTTGATACTTGGCAAATATTGAAAATTCTGCTTGAGTTGATTTAATCAAATTTGAGTAAAATTATCACAGTATTATTACCTGCAGGACAAGACCAACGCCGTACCTAGCGGCCTTCTTATAAATTTGAATAGCAATTTGACTCAATCTCAATTACACCCACGAAAGAATTTTTTTAATGTTAGGCAATTCAGGAATTCGGGCTTTCTATCAAAACGTACTTTTAATAGGTAACCGCTATTTAATAACAAATAAATAAATAAATACATCATTGCTCAAGGCGTAAAATTTGAACAACAACTAAAACATTATATATTGGTCAGTTTGTAATAAACTATATAATATGTTCCTATCTCAGAAACTTTACCCTTCTTTTTCCAACTAAAAGTACTTCTAAACAAATAGTATTTATATTTTTAAACTGATTAATTAGGTACCTCAGGCAATTTCAATGTCGCCTCTATGAATTAATATTTAGCTGACCACCGCTGTATGGAACATACTCCCCTTCATTTTAAAATTTATCCGGCTCGAAATGCGACAAAATTATTCATATACGATAAAAAAGTTTTAAAACCTGACAGCAGTAATAGTTTTCGTGCTAAGGTCATATACACATTAGTCACTTCTTAAATGCGTAACGCCCGATATCGATATTAGCTTCACATTATTTTGTCTACTACGTTATAGCGGTTTCACTGTCTCGAACGTCTGAAGATAACATCTATGTAATACGTCGTTATGTAATGAAGAAATGCGCAACGTTTTGACAAAACAAAATATTAGGAATCGCTATTCTTAGCAATTAATATACCAAAACATCGGTTTTACAGAATCTGAACTTTCTCGACAAGTATCAGACGACCGTTCTACGACGTGGCTCTGTGTAGCCCACATTCATAAAGCTATGGGTAACAGCTGGATAATTCGATAAACAAGGTTGAAAGTTTACAACGTGGTCCAGTATATCATCCCAAACCTAAATTATAACTATGATAAATCTAAAATCATTTCGACTTTGCTAAATTATAGATATTTCGATTCTTTCAGATCTGATAGATTTTACCTGCCTCTATGCGAGTAAACGATACAGTAATTCAAAAAAAAAAATTTTTGCTTAGATATAAACTACATTCCTGTCGCTTTGCCGTGGTTATAGCTCACGAAGGCGAAGCGTCAATTTCCTACAACTCATTATTACAATAGATTCATATTTTTTAGTCTGCCGTCTTGACTGCATGGTGCGTAGTTGATTTATAGGCGGAAACGGTTCAGTTTAATTGATTAGACGTTTTAAATCATCGTACGTGACTCGAAGCTTCACGAAGAAGGACGCAGGAAAGCATTGTGATATGAAACAAGAAAGCAATGATCAAATATATAAATACGAAGGCTTAATGAGTAGCACATAGTCGAAAAAATTCTAACCCGGAATCAAAAGAATTTTACCGATTGTCATGTGAAAGTGTGCCCGTAAATTATATAAGAATAGCAAAATTTGAGGTAACATATCGGGTCCGTGGTAAGAACCTAAAAAAATTTATAAAAGCGATATCCTGTTAGCGAAAAATACAATCTTTCAGCCACTGAAAATTTAAAAGTAATGGTTCCTAAAGTTAATGAGGAAATACTCTCATAACAACAAGAACGAGAATCAAAAGGATTCTAGCAGCATAATAACAGAACGATCTATATGTACATTTCGTTTCTTATAAAGTAATAGCCCTTTAGAGCCTTTTCTATCTCAGAGAATTGAAAATTGGAATTGATTAGTTCGTTAGGAAGAGAAAAGCGATTTCATAAACCCAACTACAAAAACAATAATTTAGCTGAACAATCCAGAAATTCACTCTGTGTCCAACAATGAATTCTCTCTTTTCGCTTTTAAATTGTCATTAAAGTAGAGCACTAATTCTACCACATTTTCTGCTATTCAGTAAAAGTTTCTCAAATAAAAGCACCACGGTGTTACATTGGAATATATATATTTCTAAAATGAGTGGTGAAAAATTTAGTTATTTCTTACAAACACTGAAAGTTATTTTTCTCTCCCAGCACATCAAATTGAAACAAAATGTTTTCTTTTCAGCTACAGATGACTTAATGAATGTGAGAGAATATAATATGCTCTACGTTAGATGCGTCTGTGAGTTATAACACGTCGAGTTTCATAGTGAAATCTTTACGACGCTACAAGATTTCAGCCAAATATGTGTAAGTAAACGCATTAGTAAGTAAACGCAATAAACGGACTAGCCTCCTTATTACAGTATAACGTACTGTATATATAGTTCATAACAATTGCAAATGAAAACTAAACATCTGCATTATTTTTACTGCAAGGGTAGACAACAATCGCGCATTGAATGAACGTGGGCCCGGTTTCGAATATATTTGATAACAGTTGAAATCCGTATTATACTATTTTTACGTCTAGACTGTTACAATCAATAAATCATAATAGGTGAAAATGGATTGATCATACGAGTACCGTGAAGAAAATTTGACTGTGTAAAAAACAGTGAGTTTCTATACAGTTTTACAGTAAAATTTAAATCTTTCAATACACCTGTACAATGTATGTTTCATTCCAGGCATTTTCTGAAAGATACTCAAAATAAAATGAATATGGATGAGCAAAAATTGATACTGTACAGTGTACATTCATTCTACTTTTATTCAAAAATCTAAAAATAAAAAAAATTCATTAGAAAATCATCTTAGGCAGTTTATGCAAGCATTCTAACTACTACGTGTGCAAAGAGCCATCAAATTTTCGAATATGTACAAATATGTGAAATCCCGAAGTAAAGCGGCAATGTTCCGAAAGTAAGATTTTTATCCATCATATCATCATATCATATCCATCACCTGAAATCTGTTTTACACAAATTGGGACCCTGACACGAATGCAGACTTTGAAAATTTTGGCGCAAATCAAAACATTGTGGTTTCTTCTCCGTCACCTAGAAAATATAAACCCATTAAGTATCATATGAATTTTTGTTATAAATAATATTATGAAGAAGTTTAAAATAGTATTGAAAATAAATTATAGAACAGGTCGACATTGACTACATGTTTACGTTATGCAATTTTATGCAATACAAATAGCAAATCATTTTAACTCGGAATAAATGAGATACATTCACGCATAAACATTTATATGAAGCTCGATCATTGTATAGTATATCTGTGACCTATTTCTGCCTTTGAAACCTATGTATGGCCTATTTGTGGCCTATTTTCCGCCTTTGAGATGTGGCAGTTATCACCCTATACGACGTATGATTTCGTATTATAGTCTCAAAAGCACGGATACTGCATAATGGGCTCACCAGTGGGAGATCTCACAGAAGACTTTTCCGAAGATACGCTTGTCAAAACGTACGCCAGACAACGATGCAGAAATGAGTATTCAGCCTGTTGTAAAAAATATTCATTTTTTGAATAAAGTACAAAATAGCGTAACATCGTATGAATTTTGACATTTGCCTGTGTGAAAATTGTCGTGTGACATATTCAAAAACTTGAATTTATTTAGGAATATGAAAAATATAATGTAGATCAATCGCGGTTCCCTAATTTCAATCAGATAAAGGCCCCATGTGAAAAGGTCACAACATGAGACAATAAATCTGCAAACTCACAGCCGTTTGAATCATATATGGACGATAATTTCTGAGATCAGCTACAACTCCACACGGATCGATGTTGATTTCTTTGTCGATAGTGTCCATTATGATGTCCAATGCAATGAATACCGCTGTGCGGCCGGATCCAGTACTAGATAATTAAGAAAGTTTTAATTGTTATATTACGCAGTTAGAACACAAGGAAAGCTCCTGTTGTAGTAATCGATGTTCTCCCCACGTATCGGACTTGTTTATTTTCATACCAATTACCGATCGCGGATAAATTACCTGCGATGTAACAATTGTTATATGTGCAGCGTTTCAGATACTAATTTTACACTGACAGGTTTCAAAGTCAGGTAAAAACAAATTAGACATCAACATTTAGCCATGGGCTAGTTACCGTTTATATTTAATACATTGGTGACGTGAGCTTATTTTGTTTACATATACAACGAAGTTCTAAAAATGTAACTTATCAAACTAAAATCAAGTCAAAAGTCTGATTCAACTTATTTTGGGGTACTCTTGAAGTATGCGCACCAAGATGTCTCACAACCTGAACCCTAACCTGGTACACAACCTGAGTTCAGGTTGTGCGTCATCTTGGTGCGCATACTTCTGGAGGTCCTATTTTATTTCACCGATAATTTAGAAGCAATAGTTACCTGCACATGACGACTGTAGGGCTATCACCCACTGGCTTCCCCATACGAAACGTTTGCAGAAACCTCACGAGCGGTTGGGGATTGTCTGGCACTCCTCTTACTGGCCACATTGTGAAGTGATATTGGGTCAATTGTCGTCTTTTGTCTCTCTGACAAGAATTGAGAATTAAATAAAGTTAAAGTAACTAATAAGTTTCACATCTGGAGGCTCTTAAGTGAAGGAAACTTAACATGGGCGCTTCGCTATGATTTTAACAATACGGCCCGTTTTCGGTAATCAACAGTGTTTAATAATTCATTATTGCACACGAAGTGCACATATGTATCGTTTTTCTAAATTGTTGTTGTTGTTGGTTGTTTGTTGTTGTTAGAAAATAATCGCTTATACTTCGCAACTAATATATCTATATAGTTATGAATATCATATATTCAAATACCTTTGAAATTGTAAAGTTTCTGATCGTCCATTCGGGCTGTCTTTCTTCATGCAACGACTGTACAGACAAGTTGCCATAATATGTTGTCTGCGAAGTATTCGGCCAGTACTTTGTACAATGATCCTGTAACGAATTATTTTAAATAAAAATTCGAAAGTATTATCTCAATTTGAATAGGTTACAAATCTTACGTTTCCTTCGAGATCCACATTTCCAAGCATTATTATTCTTTTTGCTCCTGTTTCCCAGATCATTCTCCACAAATCATTCTTGGTATGTCCCAGTGGTGACTGAGTAGCAATGTATTGTTCCGGTGTACTTGAACCCTATAATTAGGTATTTTGAAAATATAGGTAAAAACCGAATGTATAGAAAAGTCCAATTAATAGATCCGTTGTATCTATAAGAGCGTTCGTCAGACGCACAAGCATGCAATCAGGCTGTTTACAAACAGAGCACCTCAATTTATGTCTCTTCTTCATAACCACATCGGCTACGAACAATGAAATTATTGCTTACGGATTTTGCCTTGATTTTGGTATGTACTTTAAATTGCAAATTTTACCAATTGGTACACTTTCACTACGTAGCAATAGCAAATTGAACGTAGGCTTATGCTAGTGTTACAAGAGCATATTGATATATATTTGTCAACAACAACAACACAACACAGTTGCTTTTAAGTTCATACTCACGGGAATATAACTTGCGTTGATGTATCCAGAACTTTCTGTCGATCCCAGATTTTCAATTTTCACTCTGTAATGATCGTCTGAAAAGTAGGGTTTTGTTTTTTATCAATTCCAAAAAAACATCGTGTTTTAAAACAAGGGCTTGTTTTAAATCAAATTTTTTTTGTATTTTTTATTGAAATATCCCTTGCGTGGCCGCGAAACTACGCCAAAACGTTGCATTCTGGCAGCTGCACACGCACCCGGAATTATAATTTCAGAAATGTAAGTGAAATTTTTTATTTTGACTTTTGCTTCTATTGCGTACATTTATCGCCACGTTTGTATTTCCACCAAAGTCATAAAATTTTACCCGGAATGTTTAGCCGAGATATCAGAGAGACGTTTTGAGTAGGAAAAATCATGAAAATTAGCTCACGAGCCTACTACAAATGCAATTAGATCAAGTGCAGCCCTTCGGCAAAACGAGTGGGTTGCGATAATGAAGAATATGTTTATATCTCTGTAATCTACTAATATAAACGATGGGACACCCTAGCCTAGCCTATGTTAATTGTAGAATTCCTCTGATGTAAAGACGCCACAACTAATCTGTTATGACGCCATAATATGGATTTCGAGTAAATGTATTGACATTTTTCTCATAAAATGAAGGCATTATTACGGTTAATACTGTTCGGTCTATTTATGCTTAGCAAACTTTGTTTTTAAAGTTGAAGTGTGGAGTTTTTCAAGGTTATACAAACTCATTTATTCGATCGCATTTCAATTTTCGCAAGGTGGTTTCATCGCAGCAGGGTCTTTCACGTAATGGCTTATCGGTTGCGTCCTACTGGGCCAACTACTAAACTACAGCTTGAGAAGGTGTGCATGAGCTATCGATAGTTGTGGCGTTTTGAAAGATTTATTGTAAATAAGAAGCGCTTCGCAAGTTTTTACATCCATTTTTCTTCAACCTATTTAATACAAAAAAATCAAATAGTACAGCCATTACAAAACAGGCAAAAAAAACTTGATTTAAAACAATTGTTTTAAAACAATTCCGTTTGAACAAATCCCTACTGAAAAGAATATCAAATGTTTCAATTGAACGATGCTTATTTAGGCTAATTTCTGGGAGAAAGGAACAATCCTGATAACGTATTAGTTGTCTTTTTTTTTTCAAAATTTATACAGTTATTGGAAATACCTCAACGTATTTTCAGAGATTTATTACGAAAACACGAGAGAGAGTTACCAATAGTAAAATATAAGATTTTTTCGAAACTACTTTGAACACAATTTGCCATGTTCTAGGCCCTGGCCGAAACCCTCACCATGTTTGATTTAATTTTTTTCAACACCAACTTAGATTGACGTTACGAATAAAACTCGTCATTAACCACTATAATTCCTTATAGTCTCGATAGCTCTTGGCTCTTTATTGATCGTCGGTAACATTAATCATCCTATTTTGCGTCTGAGTGACTGCGTATGCTCTTTGTGAGCGATTTAAGCACGTTTTCGTTGGAAAAATATGTTTCTGTTTCGACTAGAGAAATTGCATTGGAACTTCTACTTACATGGTATAATCTCAGCAAATCTATTCTTCGATTTGTTACACGCCTGACTGCCAATGGTTTTTGGTCCAAACGGTGTGACCGATTCAATTTCTTCAAATTCTGAGGCAAATCCTTTATCATTGTGAGCAGACATTCTTGTCACGTGATTGGGAAAGTGTGCTTTCGACACTGGCCTGTTGAAACGTAAATAGGGATTTTTTTCTGTCTCACTCTCTTTATATATATAAATATATACTTGATCGCGAAAAGTTCGAAGGTTGTATTAAAAAGATATAACTGACAAGGTAAATATTATTTCCAATATATAAAAATATAATTCACGATCACTCACATTACTTCTTATATTGTACTGACAATTTTATATTTCTGTTTTCATTTAGTTATTCATTCTAGACTCAGGAAATATTCACGTAGAATAAAAAAAAAATACCATGAAATAATCATTTTTGATATCGTTATCTGGGGCCTTTCTGGGCACTTTTTTTTAAAATAATCCAAGAATAATTTTGTACACCTCAAAATTACACGAATTGACCAATCCAAACAGTTGCTTCAAACAAAAACATAAATTCAATGATATGCACATTTTATATATTGACGTACAATCTATTACGAACCGTGTTATTGACTTCTTTCTTTTGACATTGGTCGGTTCCATCACGAAGGACATATTGTGAGGAGAAGCAGGTAAAGATGAAGTTGCTCGTTTATTTAATGATCCTGATGATCGATCACTTCTTTGAGATTCGTTCAGACTTTGCTGGGTCAATCTTTTCCTGGCAATCAGAGAAGGATATGATTGGATTCAAAAAATCAAAACATGTACAGGGTTCTTGCAATATCTCGTTTGACATTTTCATATTCACAATATAGGCTACCTAATTCTTCACATTTTTGGAAAGTGATTTTTAATGAAAACTACAAAATATGGCAAAGTGGAAGTTCATATTTAGCTAGACCGACATGTAGGCCTTTCAACCAGGGGCAGGACCAGCACACTGAAGAACTGTGGACCGGTTCAAAACTGAATTTTTTGAAGGGTGGCGTTCTGAAGATCTTTAGCACTGAAATCAGCGTCGAATAACGTTACAAAATTGTTTCCAAGCATTTAACATAAAATTATACAACGAGCATATATGTGCATTGCAATATAATTACACTTAATGCCTGAACTCCGTTGTAATATCAATCTATGTGCTTTAGGAGAAGAATTTCTACATACCTTATCACACAAACCAGTATGATTACAAATAGAACAAAAACTACTATTCCAACGACAAGTCCAACAATCAGATACATATTTGCTTCCAGAAATGATGAACGAGTACGAACGGGATCGGAAAACTCTGTTTCTGTATATTCTCCATTTGTGGTCGTGCCTCTTAGTTTGAGTCTAAAATGAATAATGAATGTTACAAAGGTAGGAAGTTTCTCATTTTATTTAATACGCGAATTTATGAATCATGAAGTTGTTAAGTTGAGTTTAAGACCTGACCTTAAAATTTACTTTAAGTTAACGTAGCAATCGCAAATGCTACCTTATTCGTGGCCACAGAAAACAGCTCCGCGGCTAACTGGAGGCTGAGGACCAGTTTCACAAACGCCGGTCTAAGCCGTTTATATTTCGTGTAAAATATAACATCAAATTCACTATATACTGTACGGTGTGTTGGATTTCAGTGGACCGTTACAATACGGTTTCTTCGTTGTTTCACAAGTTTGATCATTACCTAACACAAATTTTGGAGCCTCGGCTATCGAACGTCGTTTTCTGGTTGACTTCGAGATTTGACCATCTGCATATGAACAAAAACACACTTTTTTCAGACGTAATTTGATTTGATAATACTACCCAGAGCACTGTAGTTGGAGTAGAAGTTTGACATGTTTTTATTGAAGCCGGAGCCGCATGTTTGAACTTCTCAGAATCGGGAGTCAAAATTATCAACGCCGTCTAGTCAAAATTTCAGACTGTGAGTGATGATAAACAAGTCAAAATTTTCCACAGACACCCAAACAACAAGTTTACTAAGCGTTCCTAGAGAAGGGTTGTATGCGCCAAAGCTTTTGTCATAAAAATTTGAGTTCGAATCTGGAGTCAAAGTAGAAATTCATATTTGTTTTCAACTTGGAGTTGTGTAGTTGTCACACTTACCAGGACTACAAAACTCAACAGGATTGCTGGTGGCTCTAACCATATAGGGAGGAGACGGTTTCATATAGTAAGCTTCAAACCAATGTGTTGGATCTTTGTCTATTTTGCCTGAATAAGACATTTAAAGGATTAAGCACAAACACACACTTTTGAAAAGTACAAAAACAAGTTATTGATGTTCTTTGATATATTTTGCAAATAATTTCGATAATTTTTATTCTAGATATAGGACACTTTTAGAAAGTTTGCAATGTAATGCAATTTTACTTTCATTCTCAATATTTATCTGAAAACATAATCCGATATGGGAATGAATCCATTATCAACAATCCAGTATGCCAGTGTCCAATTTCACGAACGTATAATACAAAAACTAAGAACATATACACTTTCATTTAGCCTACCTTCATCTTCGGCAACAATTATAGTGATGTTTTCTAAAGGTCCATTTTCATCCGAAAACACTCCACAAATATCAACAAGTAGCTTTGACGAAGAGGCTTTATTTTTCTCCCCAAATGATGTAATCACTAGAGTAACGTTGGGAACCGGTGGTGCTATAAAGTAAATCACAACTCATTGTTAAATTGTTTTAGTGTTCAAAAAAACACATTTTACCAAAACAAGTACTTACAGTTTACGGGTAGAAGAATCGGGCCAGACCAGTCAGACCACGGTCCAGTTCCTTCTTGAGTCGCAGAATTCATTCGGAAATAATAATTCCGGCCACCGAGAAGACCAGTCACAATCATCCAGTGTGGAGATGTGTTAGTAACTGGTTCTCCCGTATAAGGGAGATCCGCATCAAGAATGTGAATTGTCATGTTATGATTAGCCTGTTTGAATTCAAACAAAAAATGTAAAGACATTATAGGAAATTGTGTAATTACATGTCGGTACATACTTTTTCACTTTTGTATTGCAGATTGTATTCGTAAATTGCTCCGTTTGGATCTCCGGGCGGCAGAAATTCAACGAGTACTGTTGATGTGTTACCGTCAGTGGTATTCACTCGCAACAAGACAGGGGGATCAGAAGGTGCTAGAATTCAATAATAATTATTAATTTTATGCAACAAATTCATTTAGAGGATATTCACAAATGGAAGAAAGATTATGGGAAGTAATTTTTCGTTTAATGGTGACAAATGTCTGAAAAGGGTTCATTTCGCATTCGTGTTTGTTTTACAGTACGGCATAGTGGCCGTATGACGCTAAAATACTTTAACTACTTGCTATGTGTACACATAAGAGTATGGGATGGCATTCCCTTCATACACCGAGTTGAACGTCAAGTCGAGCCACGGATTACTCTAGTTTTGATTCCGATGTCGATTCAATTACTCAGATGAGTTTCGTTGACGATGAGCTGAGTCATTTCATTCAGATGACTTTGAGTCTAGCTAGAGTTAATGATTCGAGTTTCCCCAACACTTACCGTCTTCGTCCGTTCTAATCATTGTGTTGCCTGAGCTCAGTTTCCCAGCAGATGTAATTGCAGATACAGACACAGCATATCTGGTATCTTTGTCCAAATCAGCGACTGTGACCTCTGAAATTTCCGACGGATATTCGTCGCTTTCTTTTATCTATGCGATACAATTGGAAAATATGAAATTTGTTTTTGTTAGGTATACAAAAGGAGGTATATTATGAATTTGGTTTCTTCTGTCTGCTTTTAGTAGTTTTTTAAAACTGTAATTTTCATAATTAGGTACACGAGTTTTGCTGTCACATTCTCTATCTTTGACATAGGGCTAGAATGACATAGTATATTAGCCCATCTCTTATCCAGTTCCTGAGATTTTAGGTACTTTTAAAAAATGTTCGATTATGCAAATATCTTACAGTTTTTTCTCCAAGTTTCACAACAATTTGGTAAGTAGTTGGTCCAGCCAGCACCAGTGGTTCTGTCCACGTTACATTTATTGCAGTCGAAGAAATTGCATGACCTTTGACATTACGAGGTGGGTATGATGGTGCTGAAAACAATGTTACTAAACTTTTATTTTTGGCTAAAATAAATAAGTTCATAAAAAATGAATGATGGAAAATAATAGTTTATTGAGAATGTTTAAGCAATGAGAACTTGGTGAACGATGATGACTTTTATATCCACCAGCTGCATGAGAAACAAGTTCATCCAAAACATCTTATTCTATATTCAGTTTTTCTCTATTATATCGAATCTCAATATTAATATTAGTAATTAAAGTTTTTTATATCACTAATGAATACTATACTATATCATTTCTCAAACAAAAATACCTGTTGATGAAATTTGTGATATACTAGTGTACTTTTTAAATTTATATACCGTAGTTATACTATGAATAATGAAAAAGAAAAGAATAGAAAAGGCAACGTATTATGGTACTACGTTTCTGTATCTACGAGACAAAACTATTATTGTTTATTCACAAATACATTACTACAACAAAAAATGTACTTTACTTACTTCCCGTTATGATAATGAATTTTAAAGCAAACATCTTTGGAGATTTTACAACTAACTTCAAAATAGAAATAAAGGGTATTTCACAATTCAAAAATTCCATTTTTTTATGTTACCTCCCACTAATGTTTTAAAAGTGCGTTCAAGACCAACTTTGCCCAGACCGGCACCAGTGACAGCTGCCACGCTGACAGTATATATAGAGTAATTTTCCAGGTAGAATATTGTTTTTGTTGTTTCTGCCGACTTCAAATTGCACACCTTAATAGAAATATAATAGAATACTTTTTGTGTATTATTGCTGTTACTTCTTCGTTCTATATAATCTCACAAACTTTGCTAAAGTTACTTAAGACATACGGTCGACTATATTTTGTACAAGTTCCGAGATAGATTTTAGGGTTTGGTATGTTTTTCAAGCAGATATTTATAAACTGAGAATGTACAGTTGACAAAAATGAAACGCATACAAATGGACAGATGGCCGTATATCCAAACGAAAAATCCAATGTATGATATGCAAATCCTAACAAGCATACTGGACCTCATATATTTATAAACTGGTATGCTACATTCATTGAAACTTTAGTAAAAATTCTGTTGAAAATTGAACCTCTTTCATACCTCTCTGTCAGACACTGTTACCACCGATCCCAAGTTTTTCCAACAGTAATGCGGCGGTCGGTATAAAACAGCATAATGCAAAAGTTGACCATTGAACTGATCTGGCTCCATCCAGTTCACTGATAGTGATGTGCTTGTTTTATTTGTAGTATGGATTGCTTTGGGTGGATCAGCAACTAAAATTATAAATATGTTCAATAATTCTGTAGTAGTAGTGAAATCAACATGAACACATTGAATTAAATTCCTACATGGTAAAATTGCAGTACATGTAGTCAAAACTGGGACAAACAAGCATAAAAGATTTTAAGTAAATTTAAGTAAACAGTAAGACAGTAAATGAAAAAGAAGCACAAAAAAAAACTAAAAAAGATTTTATATCACAACTAGTTTTGTCTTACATCCTTCGCCAGTTCTAACACGACATGACGCTGGTTCCCCAATTCCTGGCTTCGTTTCAGCTTGTAATTCAAATATGTAATACGAAAAAGGAAGCAATCCCGTTGCAATGTACGAATCTTCATCTCCATTTGTAACGTTATTCATTTTATCTGATGGTTTTGCTTCCAGATAATAGTTTATTTTGTAAGAAAGTATATTTCCATTTGGATTATTCGGAGGTTCCCAAGTCAAGATGATGTTGTTTTGATTCAAGGGATTACATTCGAGTATTGGTGCAGCGGGCACTGGAATGAGAAAGAACAATAAAACAATTGATCTGATATAAGTTAAAGTCCCATAATATTAAACAATTTTATAAATTGCCATCATCTTTCAACCTTAATATATATAGATATATATTCAAGGTTTTTGGTTTGTTGAAGACTGCGATTAGACCGATACTATGTAAAACAAGGGTACTGATTACATTGTACAAATGTGTCATCTATGGACTCTTTAATTGATATCAAAAAGTCTTATAAGTCGTGAAATCGTTGTTGAAAATGACTCCACTGTATATTAAATAATACTAACCGTCCTCAAGAGTTGTGAAAAATTCCGGAAGACTGTGAATTGGGCCAATTCCAGCCGAGTTAGCGCTGAAGATAATTAGCTTATACGTCGTGAAAGCTCGCAAATTTTCAAGTGTATAGTGGGTTTCGGGTGTTGGCAAAATAACAAATTTTTCCGTTTCATGATCTACTTTATTGTCGTCTGCAAGTTCGTAATACACTATTTTATATGTTACTATTCGTCCATTTGGCTTTGACGGAGGTTTCCAAGTTATACTTGCTTCATTTGAGGTGATTGTGTCAATCTGAAAAAAAAGGAATATGAATACTCGAAAAATATTACACTCGAAAAAAATTAATCAAGATGATATTGTTTCAATAGTTCGATAGTAAATGCGACCAAAGTACAATATAAGGATATATATATATATTGAATTAACAGTGTTTTTTTTATTGTTTAATACGAGTCGAAATTTTGAATTTTACTTCAACATTGGTCGCAAAATCTTCTGGTAGTCCTTCTGATGTTGTGAATTGAATTGATTCCTTTGGGCCTGTTCCGACTTTAGTCTTAGGAGCCACAAATGCAACGTATGATGTGTGCGGTAGCAAATTTTTAACAGTGAATTCATATCTTGAAGTTGGTTCTGGTGTTTCAGCTGCAATAAAAACAAAACAATCAAATGAATGAGCAAAGCGTTTGAAATTTACTAAACTTTGGCAAATATTAATTTGTTTTAAAAGGGTAGCAAAGTAATTTATCTACGTTTCAAGTTCAAAGTTGTTGGACCTCGTTTTAATTGTTAGAAGAAACATCAGGGAATAAGTATGCTCAAAAACTACAAAATATAAAAAAAAAATGAACCTGACAAAAATGTGAATACTTTTGAAAATTATCAACTAATAATTAATCATAACCAAAAATAACTCTCTCCCACAACTCAATTTGCACTCGTACGTTTCTGTTACCTGGTATTTCAAAATTGACTTTTTCTTTTGGTACGTCAATAATATGAAAGATCACAACTCCGTTTGGTTTTTCAGTCGCTTTCCAGGTTAAAACAGCAGAAGTACTTGTGATATTTACTGCATTTAAATCTGCTACTGGTAACCATGGTCGATCTTCTAAAGTTCGGAATTGTACTTCTGCAATTGGGCCAGTTTCGTTCACATTTTCTACAACAGGAGTGACGCTAACCATGTAATTTGTGTATGGCTATGAATATAAATAAATAAATTAAAATTATTGAACTAAATGTTCAACGAAATAAAATATGCTATTTTTGCAAATCAAATTAGTTTACTCTCCAAAATGTCGTCTCCCACTGTCACCTACTTGTTCCACACTTGTGCCACCTGTCCTAATTGCTTCACCCTTCCCCAATTGTATATGACTCTCTTTTCATATAAATATTCATCTACCCCAACTTGGCGAGTGGGACAAGTGTGACAGATGGGGACGAGTGCTTCAAAGAGTGACAAGTGTGTTAAAAGGGTGGACTTTTTGAAGACACTGAAATATTTATACCTCTTAATCGCAGGTAAAAACTTCATTATCACTTCATAAAAAGCCATCTACTCTAATTTGGCCTATGAGGCAGGTGTGGCAAATGACGACAAGCGTGACAAAGTGGAACAAGTGTGTTAAAAAGTGTGGATTTTTTGAGACACTAAAAAATTGGTACCTCTAAATAGTCGATGAAAACTTTATTATCAGGAATCACAGTATAAAATATTGGAGAGTCGTCAGCATTCTTCTTGTAAACGGCAACAACATAGGAAAGAATGCCTGTGACACGATCAGGTGGAGACCAAGAAATGGAAGCTGACGTTGAATTTACTGGCAACGCTTCCAAATTGTTTACCGATGTGTCTGGGACTACAGAATATTTAAACTGTTAATCTAGTAAATAATGTTTATTTTTTGCTGTAAATGAACGTATTACAAATACATTGTGTTATTGAATTCAGTGAATTTGTTACATGAAAACTTCTGTCACGTGAGGTACATATGAAGGTTAGTGCAACGATTGGTGAGAGTTAATTCAATTTATGTGAGAATTAGGATAAGTAATAATTATGACTAAACGAGCACTTTTTTATTTTTTAATCGGATATGGAGCTCGAACCAAAGCCCTTCATAAGAATCCACATATATCTAACAATGTTTGCAAATCTTAGCATTTTATTTGATTTTTCAAGTTATTTTTTCCACATATTACATCGAATAAAATTACATTTTAAGCAGTTCCGAACAAAACCACTAATAATAGTCACCTTCGTTTACGGACTTCGATGTACGTCTCTACGAAATCGATATCTGTAAAATCCTGAATATAATTAGAAACCATGCAAGGCATGAAGTTATAAGTACTAAGTAAACAACTACTAACCTTATAACGAATCACTAAAAATAACAGCATGCAGATTAACATCAAATTTCTAATGTTCTACGATTGTTCATTTTCACGATTCTGATCTTGCGTGCGACTACAACAATGATTATCTATATGATATTGTATGATGATGACATGTATAACTACAATCTACAAGGGAAATATTTAAGAAAAAAAGGCAAAGAGAAAATTTTTTCAATTTTAATTGTTGTGTGGTCAGTGTGTGATGTCATGCGTACCTCCTTCTTTTGTTCTGGATCTGATGACGTCACTCTTTTTACCGCCGTCACCTAGCGCTGTACTTGCAGTAACGTAAACGTTATACCAAGTATATATTTTCAAATTCTCAACAACTGTTGAAGTAGCATTAATTACCTGAGAAAAACAACATGTAATATACTATAAAACATTGTTTTAACCTCGCATTAATAATGCCTTTGAAAGTGAGGCGTTTGCGAGTTTGGTTAAATAAGGGTTTTATGATTCCACGATTAAAAGTTAATATATGATAAAAAGCAAAGTCTCTCTTATAAATCTTATCCGAAGTCTTATCTTCAGCAAAATAAACTGAATGTGTTTTCGGTATCCAAGAAGGTTCAAGTTAAAAAGCTAACATATTCAAATCGTAGTCAACCAGAAGAGAAAATAATATAGGCAAAAACGCTTCTGTTACTACCGTCATAAGTAGTGATTCTCAAACGGTAGGGTCCGCCCCACAAGGGGGTGTATACGATTTTTTGAGGGGGCGTGAAGCTAATTAAAAATAAAATCATTTATAGGATTTGATCTTGCCCGCCCTATTTTAAATATATACATTTCTTTATTGTTTAGAGATTGAGATTCCATCCACGTTTTCAACGTGTTTTTTGAATAAAACAGACTTTCGCCTTACTATATGTTATTTGTAGCTCATTGTTAGCTAGTTATTTTTGAGGTGTGGCGCAAGACTAGACAAATTCTAAAAAAGGAGCGTGACTTAAAAAGTTTAGGAACCACTGGTCTTAAACATAAAAGGAATAACTTTTTAATCTAAAGAATGACGTAACTTTTATTATACCTTTTTCTTGTGTATGTTTTCCCCGTCGCCAATGAGAACTGTGTAAAACTGAATGATTCCGTTTGGTTGCATTGGTGGTTCCCAAGACACAAACATTGATGTTGATTCCTCAGATATTGCTGTCACATTCCGCGGTGGATCACTTGGTGCTAAAACATTTACTCGAATTTTATAATCTTACATCAACTTTACTAATCTTTATTAACTTCAAATAATTTTTGATCAACGTTCACAGGCTTAAGAAGCAAATTAACAATAAAATTACATTCTTATTTGTACATTTGTTATACATTGAAAATCGCTATAAACTTATCTGAACAATATTTTCAACAATGGCTTCAGCATATTGAAAGCGTGTTATGAGCATGACAGAGCCATACGATTTTCAGTTAAATATAACGTTTAAAATTAGTTGTAACTTTTTTGAAACAACGACCGTGCTAACAGATAGAGTAATACTTCAACCAATGCTTTTCATATATATCATTATTACCGTCTTCAAGCGTCTGGAATATCACCGGAGAACTAGACGGCCCTTGTCCAACTCGAGTGAACGCTGTAACTGTGGCAAGATATGTGGCATATTTTTGTAGATCCGACAAGGTAACATTTGTTTCGTACGTAACAGAATCGAATACATTATCCTCGATTGAATATTCCACCAAATATTCAGTTACAATTCCGTTTGGTTTCCTGGGAGGTTTCCATGACAATGTTATTGCAGTTGACGACAACTGCACATATGTGACGTCTCGTGGAGCTGATGTGGGTGCTGAAGTAATACATAATAAACAATGAAAATGGGAGTCTACACTATATAAAAAACATTACTTCGCAAACAATTTCCTATAAAAATATCGCAAGCATTGTTGGATAGAAGACCTAGACCCCGAATCAAGTTGAGTCATGGGTCATCCGAGTATCGAGTCTAGTCGAAACGTCAAAACCATGTTAATCACTGAGTTAAATCATATTGGCGAGTAGTTGATTACGTGTAGTCTAACCCGAGTCGAGTAAATGACTCGATCTTTCCCAACACTGACATTTGACAACGTTTAGAATTGATTGTGTTTTAACTCAGCTCTGGAAAAAAGTAATCCTTGTCTTGCCAGAATGACTCCACAGATATCAGCACCATGCAAATTATTTTAATTCAACTATATTCCAATTATACAAAGATGGCCTATTTTTGAAAATTTGTAATCACAAAAACAATTATTGACTTACAGTCTTCATCAGTGTACACGGTAATAGATGTCGTTGGTCCTTCACCGGCTTTTGTACTCGCAGATACATTAAACTCGTATGTAGTATACGGTTCTAGGTCATCTACATTTATTTTCACCGAACTTCCACTTGCTAGAATTGAAGAATTGTATATAAAATTAAAAAATATACGATTCCGTTTCAAAAATACTAATACAATCCGATCTTTTTTGATGAAAGCAGAAATAAATTAAAAAAATAATATTATTGGGTCTTCTAAAATGTATCCGGTACTCCCGTAGTATGTGTACCAGATTAGGGTTAGGCCATAATTTCATTCCGATTTCCTTATTTCAGTTCTGTTACGAGTTCGGGCACTGCCTGTGGTAGCCAAGTAAATATACCTCTTGCCCATAGGTTTCAGTCTCTTTACACAACTTGCCGTAAAGTAGGCGAACAAAATTAGTTTCCTCCATATTGGTACACATACTTATCGAGCGTCATTTATTCGTTACAAATATAGATACCTTTTATTTATATTTAATATTCCTATTCTTATGCTGTGTTTGAAGTACAACAAAAATATTGATTTAAATGATACCTGTGACAGTAAGTATTTTATCGTTGTAATAAATAATATAATTTTCTATTTGTCCATTCGGTGTAGCAGGCTCGTTCCACGATAATTCAACAGAGGTCGAAGATAAGTTTTTATATGATAAGCTTTTGGGTGGTGATCCAGGGGCTGTCAAACAAAATAAACAAATTGTAATTAAAAAAGAGCAGAATTTTCAGTTGAAAAGCAAAGTTATTAAAATGAGGTTTTACCATCTTCTTTTGTGTGTATTTGCAAAGGATCAGATTCCACCCCTCCGTCGCCATGTTTTGTATGAGCATGTACAAGAACAGTGTATGAACTATCTGGCTTCAGATTTTCCACCACAAATTCAGTATCAGCGCCTTCAGTTTGAAGTCTGAAATAACATTAAAAACATGATAAATAGAAAACTTTTGTCGGAGGCCATTGTGAAACATAGGTTTTAATTACAATGTCTATCTAATGTCAGTTCATCACTAATTTGCAGTGTTGGGTCCACAAACCGAGTTACGGATCCTCTTCACATCACGGACCATCCGTGCCTCGAGTCAAGTTCAAGTCCCAATAAATTTTTAAATTTGAGTACAAGTCAGGTAGAGTCACCACAGTTCCTAGACCTAAGATCAAGTCGAGTCTCCGTTTTTTCAAGTTACAAGTCACGTCGGAGTCATAGGCAGTAGATTTTATAAACAACAGTGAGCTGACAGAAGTATGATGACACTAATATTTTACTATCGTGTTATCCCAACCCTTTTTACAAAGTAAAAATTGGATTCAATGATTTGTTGACAACCCTTTCGAGGACATCAACGCGGCCTAAGTTGAGTTGTTGATGCCACAAACTAGAGAATTTTCGATTTTTCTGAATACAGCATTTATATATGGGTGAATCGTATTGCGCTTTTTTTGCTATTTTAAAGATTCGCTAAGTTCCATGTCATGTCTCTCTGGCGGTTAGACAAGTCCAATTCGAGTCTATTCACTGAAGTAATTCGAGTCAAATCGAGTCTTTGGAAGTTGGAATTGAGACACTGACTTGAGTCTCAATTTCAAAGATTTAATGACTGGTAGGATATATGAATTACAACTATCTCTCTTTATTCTATCTTAGGATAGGATAGGATAGGATTTACTTATTTATCCCGGGGGAGAGGAAAGCCGATAAGACGGCTTATCCATATGGCGAACCACGGCCTCTCGTCCGGTTATCATTCCAAGTCGGGTATGGGATTAGTTTTACTGTATTATTTGTTTTTCGGAAGCATGGACTTGGTGGTGGAGGAAGCCGTAACCGACCAGCGGTTACGTGAACCACCAAACGACGGCGAGGAGTCCAGCAATCCTCTCGCACATAACCATCCCTGCATGGGATTCGAACCTGCGAACCCACGCAGAGTAATTAGAGGTGCGGTGGCGAGCGTATTCCTAACGCTCAGCCCGTTGAGCCACACCGCCGCGCCATGCGCCAAATGCTTTTATAGAATATAAACCAGCCCTCAAATATTAAAATAAATCAAACCTTAGGTATTCTTCAGAGGAGTCGTGCAATATCTTTATGACGTAGTATTGTATTATGCCGTTTGGTTCAAGAGGTTTTTCCCAAGACAGAATAACACTTGATGACGTCATATTTTTATACGCCAGTTCATGCGGAGGTGATCCCGGCTCCCCTTCACCAGTATGAACGTACAATGGCTCACTCCTAAGACCTCCATCTCCATATCGAGTGCTCGCTGAGATTTGAACCCAGTACTCTCCGTACACGCGTAAATCATCCAAGTAAATAACAGTTGAATTGCTGAAAAAATACATAAACAAATATTTCATGTATTGTTTCAAAGTGCGCAGACACCTTTAAAAATTCGAAGCAATTCGAAGATCCCCAAAAATAAATTATTTTTTGGCGTGTACACACACGAACAAGGACGTAATCCATTGAGAATCGTTTGATACTAATTGAATTTTTTTAATTGTCTCACTATATCACTCCTGACTTATAAATGTGGACAATCGCCATAGTCTTACTGCAATAGCTTCTAACTTAGCAAAGAACTATTTACTTAGTATACGAATAGTTGAAGCTTGATAAGTGACGCGCCATGAGTAAAAATTTAATTTTGTTCAGGGACCGTAAGCAAATTAATTCAATTTAAACGACAATTTATAAAAAAAAATTATTATCATGATAAATAAAAGTCGATGTAATGTATGTATACAAAAATATATAAACATTTCATAAACTACAATGAAATGACTATTTTACGACAAAGAACTCTCCGTGCAAAGGTATGAAGAAAATGGGCATGACGCATCGTTACCGTAAATACTCGCTGAAGTACTAAAATAATAGCACTTATCGACAAAACAAATCATTAACACATTTCAAGTGAGCAGCTGCAAAATGAGGTTGTTATATAATTAGTCATCAATCCCATTAAAATATTTCCAGTTTGATGTCTTAGTACACAAAGATGCAAGCCAGTAATTGCCTAGCCGCGTGATTTTTCTACTTTTTGAGCCGCGCAACATTTTTTATTACAAATTTTCCATACTTGAAGATAAAATAATTCACAAGAAAGCTATTACTTTTATTTATTTTTTTCCCGCGTCTTACAGGGCGCAATATTTCACCACAACTTTTTTTGGTTTCCAATATTAACTGGTACAATTTTTCATGACACAGGGTACAATTCCATGTGTGGCATTTTACTGGAATTACTCTGGCAGTTTTGATATTACTCGTTTTCATTAGGAATTTCTAAACAACCTCATTTGCTGGTAATATCAAAATCAAGATTATAATATAGAGAACGTACGATGGCAGGATAAATTTTTTAACTCATTTGTTTTTAGAAAAATAGTTGAAAATCGATTTTTTTATATTTATTAACAAGAAACACCAATCCAAATCACCTTTTTCTAGAATATTCCTTGGTTTCATTTTTGTAATAAACTGTATAAAATTGTATGACTCCATTTGGTATTAATGGTGGGTCCCATTCAACTTCTGCAACAGTTGGAGTAACATTTACATATCGTAGATTAAAAGGTGGAGATCCAGGAACATCTTCATCAGTAAGCATTTCAAGTTCTTCACTCGGTGGGCCTCGTCCTGCTGAAGTCCTTGAATTGACAAATACCTATACAAAATCATAAAAACTATATCAGGAAGTTTGTTGATATTAACATTTTCAAGTCAAACAATTTTACCTCATAAAGAATACATCTTATAATGATAAGTTTTAATTAATACATCTATCAGTCTCTATTTTATAAAGTTTATTCATCTGGTTCTAACAAAGTATAAACATCGGAAATTTTTAATTAGCCATATTTTAATTTAACGCAAAAACGCTCGTCTCAAAAGAATAGAACCAGAATGGTTCTGTATGGCCTTAGTAGATTTTAGTTTTCAAATTCTGTATGATTTTAAAAGCTATTAGGATTAAAATGGTTGCCGATATTGTAATCAACATTGTATTTATCAATGCTAGTTTGTTTCCTTGTTTTATACTTCGAGTTCGGAAGAAAGGATGATCCAATCCTTGCTTCGAGCAACCGTGTTTTTTCAAATGCTTGCATAGGTTTTTGTTTAAATTACAGGCGTATAAATGGCATAAATATGGCTAATGGCTAAACAAATCAAAGCATACCGAATACAAAGAATATTTTTTCATATTCTTTAATATTGCATACGTCGTGTCAAAAACTTCGAATCTCAATTCTTTTTCCTCCGAAATGTAAATAACTTCATAAGCCACGATTGCTCCATTAGGACTCTCTGGTTCAGCCCACGTAAGATTGACAGAAGTTGATGATATATTTTCATATCGTAAATTGGTCGGTTTCGATCCAGGCTTGTCTTCAGCTGTTTTGACCTGAGTAGCTGAATAATTCCCCGGACCAGCAGAAGTTACCGCACTGATTCGAAACTCGTAGAGGGTATAAGGGTTCAAATGTTGCACAAGATAGTTTATTGTTTCGTTAACTCCTATAGTTATTTTGCTTTCGAGTTCTTGAATTTTAGCTATGACTTCAGGAACGACGCTTGAGTGTGGAAGGTTCTCATTTTCTCCTGTGTTCAGGCTTAAAGATGGTTGCTCTGTTATGTTCCGAGCGTTCTGAATAATTTAATACAATTCTAATAAAAAGAAAATAATCTTTCAGGCATTGTACAACAGTCTTGGCTTGGCTCGAGACACTCACTCGACGTAAGTTGGATAGGAGTCATTGAGTTGAAGATTTAAATGAAATGACTTGGAATCGTACTAACACAAGGGTTCTCAACCTTTTTTCTGTCAAGTACCCCCCAGAGTGACGAAACAATCAACGCAAACCCTCGTAATCAGGCTGCGAACGAAATCGTTATATATTGACTAACAATTTGTTGCAACAACAATTTATTGACCATATGTAACTAAATTAAATCTTCGGGTTGATTTTATTGTCATTGTTGTCTGCCTAACCAATGAATTCTCAAAATTTCCCAAGTTTCAATAAGCGTAATGGCTTCTTTCTTCAGTGCTCGAAGAACGCTGTCTTAGAGATTTCAGTTTGTCTACAACGCGGTGAATTTCACATTGTTGCGTCACAATCACAACAGCGCAAGATCAGAGAAAATCTAAGTTTCAAGTGGCACGCATTTTCCTCTAATAGTAATATATGACATTAAAAACAGCGACACACAAAAACTCGAATGCCGTCCAAGTACCCCTAGAAATCTTCTCGTGAACCCCTGGGGGTTCGCGAACCCCAGGTTTAGAACCCCCTAACATAATCACCAGCGAGACTAAAGTGAGTGATTGAATCGATTTCTACCCAACATTGTTGCACAGTGCATTCAGCAATGTTAAAGTAAGTCACCGAAAAATAACGAAGTAGCAAAGATAGCCTACTTGGAATCCGTTATCACAGTGGTTTGATATGGCCCGCTAAACTTAAGTGAAATAGTTTAACATTCCATGTTTTTTTTTTGTTCAAAATATCACCTATTGTTTCGTGGGAATCAAAGTTTAAGCGCGTGTATATTCGTAACATTTCAATTATACCGGGCACCGGCCCCTTGCGGCCACACCTTTCTCCTGACGTCGACTATCTCCGTCCCTTCTATTTTTAGCCCCACCGCGTTATCAGGTTATATATAAACATTTGAATCAATTAAAAACATAACAGTCTATAAGGTATATCATGTTTTAAAAATCATGAGCAATCGATAATTCAAATTATACGATTCTATACGGACAAGATGACTTTATATAAACGGACCTCGCGTTGGACGCGACTTTCTTGCCATCATGGAGTTTATGATATCGGTCCCAATCCCAACTTTCATCCCCACAATACAACAGAATGAGTAGATATGCCAAAATGAAATAACATGGTTCTCATAAAAACAGTAGATTTTTCCATATCAGTGAGTATTTGTAAAGACCTTTGTTTGGAGTGAAAGCCCGAAAACGTCGTGAATAAATAAAAATTCGCACAAACAATAACAAATTTAACACCAAAGTATGCCATCTAACAGCAGACCTATATAAAAGAATATTAGAAAATGAATTACCGAGTACACAATATCAGTTCTCAACGACTTTTGTTTATCTATATCGTATATGACGACTTGATAACTTGTCACTATTCCTCGTGTACCGCTTGGTGGATACCAACTCAAATAAACAGACTTTGAATTCATCACTTTACCGCTCAATTCAACCGGCTTGTTTGGAACTGTATAAATATAAAGTATTCGTTAAATACCAGTCGTACTGTAAAGTCTTCGCATATGAGCCGACTTCAAAACTTGATAAAAAAAGGTTCTATTTAAACTAAGGGGTCGGCTTATACGCACATAAATATGATCGCACTAAAGGGTCGGCTTATATGATTTGGAGGGTTGACTAATATGCGAATATTTATGATTTCCTCGTTTCAAAGTCGTTTTTAGTTTTGTTTCGGCTAATATGAAGGATATACTGTACTTGCTCCACACCTATTCCACTGTTCTGAGTTATATATTTAAGGGCAAATGGCTAAAGTAAGCATATGAGGTAGGAATCATGCTATGTGCTATGTTAAACAACGTTGTGATAAGAATATTTCTCTTTATTTCCACATAACCCAAACAACATAATCGAAGAATGAAAATTACGGGACAAAATATTTTTCATTTACAAATATGTAGTAGATAATAAACAACTATGTACATATTACTAAATTAACGCTAATATTATGATTGCTCAATTTTATTTTTGAATGGTGAAAGTGAAACTTTTTTTACAACGTTTTATACTCACTTTGTAAGAGTTGAGGTTCACATGATAGATTTAGTTGAAAATTATTGTTTAAATGTAAGGGCTTTATGAAAATACTTCAATAACATTCTCTATTATAACTAACTTAATATCAAATGTTCAATCGAGCAGTGTAAATTTGAAATGATAAATATTTAAGTCATTTTCCTACAATACTATACATACAATAAGGAGTGATACAAGTGGTGAACACGTGAACAAAAACGTGGGGAGGACGGAAAAAGTGCGATACGACATTTGTAAGACACCTTATATATTTCAAATATTTCCTCTCCCATTTAAACATTTATTCAAATATATTCTAATATTCAAACTTATTGTTTAAATAGTGTGAATCGTTTTGCTTGTACAAATCCTTGTTGGGAGTGTACGTAGTGGTATATTTCCTGATACATATTCAAAAAATTTAATATTCTCCCATTAAATTTCCATTTTTCGATTATTTTATTTCGGCAATGTAGAAATAAAGGGCTATTTTGTTATCATGATGTTGTAATCTCAAATGTTCAAATGAAATTGATCAAAATCACAGTAAATGATAAAGTCATTTAAAGTTTTTTTTATAATATTCTCACCATCCTGAGTTGTGTTCAGCAATAAGAAATCGGTCCATTCTGAAGAGCCTGCTTTAGTATTAGCAATCAAATGAATGGCATAGACAGCATAAGGACGAAGATCTTCCATGGTATAGTAGCTTAAGTTGGTGGTAGTACGTAAGACCAGCCCTTGAAAAATGCATATAAATACTTGAAGTATCTATTTAGGTTTGCTTCAAACTAAAGCCCCCAATTAAAAGCAGAATGAATACCGATAGCAAACTTGCAAACCACTGTTGTCCACAATGAGACATATAGAGGAACCTTGCAACAGGGATGTTGGTATAGATAGCGCATGGCAGACAAACAACGCCTGTTATAATAACTATAATATAATTTGAGTGAAGCCATATTTCATCAATGCGTAAGATTTTAGAAGACTTCAGTGAGTTTTGAATCGATTCTATTCATAACTCGTTCGGATTTGGTCAAATAAGTAAGTAAAGGGCAAATGAAGATGTTGGAGTAAACTCAAAAGATTATTTATGAATTTGAGGAAGCAACTGCAACAGCTATGACTAAAATGAAATGGGAATTTTACTCACCAGACCGATCAAAGTAGGAAACAGAATAAGTCAATTCTCCGTTTGGAAAATCTGGTGGATTCCACTCCAACGTTAGGTAAGTAGGTCCAACGTTTTTCACAACAATATTTTGTGGCGGACCGCTTGGGGCTTCTTCAAGTGTTCTACCCGTTGTCGTCTCTGAGATACCTTTTCCAATCGATGTGAATGCTTCGACATAAATTCGATAAGAACTATATGCTTCAAGGTCCTCTAACATGTAAGATACAGGACAGTTTGCTTCAAAGGTTTTCTCCTGAAATATTAGATGCTTTATTTATATTCTGAAATTCCACAATGTCATGTTTTCACTTCAATAAAGGGGTTGCATTAACATTCACTGCTGGGTTAAAGAGATACTTTATTCTGGAAGAACAGCGATCTTATCAGAGAGGCAAAGTCTATCCAATTTAGTCTATCCATAGTTTCCGTTGTAGCCTACTTACTCCAGTAATCAGCCTATCATTGATCGTTGGCAGTGTTTGTAAGAACGAATTTATGGGTATTGGTTGTTGTCCTTTGAAGCACTCAAACGGATTTCCACTCTAGTGAGAAATAATAATAAATAGAATTGAAACATTTTATGAAACATAGTAATCCGATGAACACGAATATTTTTTTTATAAATAAAGTTTTCTACAATTTGTGTCTCTATTGCAAGAAAAAGCTTACCAAATTTCGATCAAATATCACAGAAGCAATTTCATTGTCCATATTGTCTTTTACAGTTAACTCGTATTGCATTATATACCCATTTGGTTGTTCCGGTGTCTCCCATGTTATTGTAAGACTCCGTGATTTTTCAGCAGTGGCAGTCAAATTATATACCGGTCCTGCGTATCAAACAAATACATGTAGGGATTTATTTGCAAGTTTGAGAGCATTGAAAGATTGCGAAATTGGCGTTTTTTATATCAATTGACACTTCATTTTACATAGGAATAATATAATCTCTTTACATTAAATAGCAAGTATATGTGTTGAGGCATTTTTGTTCATACGTATCACTTTATTACAGCCTTGTTCAATCATATTGACAACTGCTTCATACAAATCCAGAGTAGGAAGCTAATAAAAAGAAACGACTTGCAGTTCAATAGACAAATTCCTAGTAAGTTTTGCTATTTTTATTCACATATTACCTGGTAGGGATGGTAAATTCTTGATAAATTCACCGTTTGTCCAATCACCGGGTCCTTTTGAGTTTTGTGCACGAATATGCACTACATACCATGCACCGGGGTCCAGACTTTCCAATCTCCCACTTTCAGCAGTAGCTGTGAAATTCTTGTACGCATATTCTTCATGCGAATGTGGATAAACCTTGTGAATCATTATAAATTGGATTTACAAATTTTCAGTAATGAATTTGATCGTGAAGACAAAGTTATAAAAAATAAATGGGAATATCAACTTTCAGATTATATAAATTTATGATTTTCTTCAAATATACTTTTCCTAATACAATTTAAAACTACACATATCGCAGTGGAAATAATGACAAAAATATTATATTCGAAAAAGGTGGAAAAATGAGAAAATCTATGTTTAATTCAAATAGTTATTCAAAATTAGCTATTTTAGTTCTATAAATAAATCACAATGTAGAGGTAAAATACGAAAATAGCCTCAGTCTTTTTTAATGTACTTTTTATATTCAAATTTTACTTGTTTATATCTAATAGTGTGTTGCAGAATTTTTCCGTTTGGATGGGGCGTCTTCAACCAAAAAATATCAACGGATGTTGGATCAACTGTTGTTATTGATTGAAATATTGGTGATCCAGGTACTGAAATATAAAGAAATTTTAATTGAATGGAAGATGGGTGTTTAAGTAATTGTATAAATTCAATTATAATACTTCAAAGGTTGAGGTTAGAAACGTGACACAAGATTTGGGGCTTAGCGGGCTATTTTATTACCACAATGCCGTTATACTGACGACCTTGATATTACGTTTTTTCATTTTATGCCACAAAAAGCTCAATACTTCATTAGCTGATTTATTAACTGGGATACGTATATCTTTTGAATGCAAAATTTATCGATATCTATTAACTAACACATTCATTCAAAACAATGAAAAGTTTTTTTTTGTTTTGCCGGTTTATAGATTACCGTGTGTAAATGAGTTTTGTCAATAGTGGAATATGAGTACGTCACTCACGAGCTTCCTCGGTTTCTATGGATACTTGAGCAGACTCTTCAGACCTTCTGATGTTATTTTGACTCTTTGCGTATACTTTGATATCGTATGTTACACCAGGAATAAGATCAGACAGAGTCGCTGTTTCATCGATTATTGAAATCTAAACAAAATATTCGATAAAAAGCTCTCAGAAAAAACTTTTATATAGTGTTGGACTTGATACGTGATACACTTCTTGGTGTGATACAAAGGAATTTAAAGTTAACTATGGATTGATTCGACTTGCTTGTGAAACTATATGTCATCAGTATGCAGATAAACATATTTCCCTTTCCCAAATTAATACAACCGTAAATAGCGCCCCCCCCCTCCCCTTCCCCTATAAACTGAAACCAGATTAATTAGAATTGGCAGATTGTAAGTTATATAAAGCCCTTAATTTATAGCCCTATTTTGGGTACAATCATACACACAGAGAGTTTCGGGATTTAAATTAATGTCTTCATATTCTTATAAATAATTTTGATGTTTCGTTTTCATACCCCTCTGTATATTCTACAGCGTGAGTTGGAAACCTTGTTTACAGCATTCCAAGTTACTCTCACAGTAAAAATTGTATACCCTGTCTTTAAAAATATTTTCCATTTAAAAAAAAAATTAAAAAAAAAAATTAAAAATTGAATAAAACTATTATTACTTCTCCATCAATGGGAGTCCATTCTATCGGGTAAGAATCGGCTCTGCCAATCGCTTTGTTCCACTTTACAGATATAGTCGTCGAAGTCCTACCAGTTGACACAAGGTTTGTTGGTGCCAGTGGAACTGAATAAATAATTAGAGAAAAACATAATGAAGGAGATTAATAGTAACAAGTTCTATTTCGATAATAACACTTGCGTAAGGAATTGAAGATAATATGAAATATTTGAGGCTATCTGGGAGTGAATCAAAAAATTTTACCTAAAGATTCTTGATACGTTTTTGATTCTGTTTACATCACTATAGTAAGTATGATTTAGATATATTAATAACAGTTTTACTGATTCATCTATCATTTTATAAAAATGACGCCAAATTCAGATTTGCATTGCCTTGAATTATTGCGTTTGCAGTAACAAAAAAGTAAAACGTATTTTCTCTTCTGAAAGATTCCATCAAGAAAATATACCTGCGCGTATATGACGTATATACGAAAATATACGTCAAGTGCGTCATATAAGGGGACAAAACCCAAATCTAAGAAATTTGTTGCGCCTTATGGTCCGTAAAATAGAGTACTGGGCATGGAGTAAGGATACAGTTTATATTTCGACTGTACATCTAACAATTAACTAACAATTTAACAATTTTTCCTCTTTCAAGAAATAGTTTAACTTACAAAGTGTTGCAGTCGCAGTAACTTCATGACTTGAGGTTTCATTATATATGGCAAATATTTTCAATTCGTATGTTGCTCCAGGAATGAGGTCGGTGAATTTTACATAAGACATCTCGGTAAATTCTTTGCGATCTGTCAAATTTCCAGTTATAAAGGTCAGCATTTGAGCTGTTATGATCGAGTGGTGGAAAAGTGCTGATATAGACAAGATTAAAAGGAAAAGAAGCGACAAAAGAAGCGATTGCTTCTAATGTAATGTATATTCCGGAAAATTTATTTCATTACATTATCTAATAATAAGTTACATTTGGTAAGCGAGACAACACTATAAATAACTGCTGTGTGAATAATCACATCGAGAGAAATACATTAAACGTGTGCTTAAAATCGATGTACGTTCAATTACCTTCCAAGCAATATCTAATTATTCAATACATATTTTTAAGAGCAAAAATACATCAGATTAATACGATGTTTGGCAAAATTTAGGAGCTGAAATGATACGAATTCTGTAAAACGGCCGTAACAGTTGATTTTACCTTCTATGTCGTCAGAAGACAAAACGACACGAAAATTGTCGTAGAGTGATTTTGGTCGATTCCATCGGACAGTGAAAGATTTTTCTCCAACGTCATACACTTCAACATCAGTAACAGCAAGTGGCCCTGTCAAAGTAAAATCATCGATCAACGAGAGATGTTTTATGTAGCCGTTTTCTAAAACGGTGAATCACTTTATTCGTTGTTTTAAAAATAAATATTCTAGCTGATATACTTATCTAAATGCAACTGCGCAAAACAAACATTCACATCAAGTTCCCAACAAACATATTTCAGCGTAAGTTCGCCGTCGAATGAAATTTAAAAGCAAAAAGGTTTATGCAGCCGACTAGAAGTTTTCTAAGTTTAATGTCAACCGCCACATATTGACATCTCTGTAGCATCGAAGACTTAATGTACAGATTCCAGATCTGTGTAGTTGTTAGTAGATATTGCACCCAATCAGTACCAGCACACGAATAAATTATCATGGCTTTACTTTGCAAATTGCACCACAAAAATTTCAACTTAACAATATTATTATTCAGTGTTAGTTCTAATTTTATTCGAGACTATTCTGTCATCGAAACAATATTCATATCTTACTTGATTGTATAAATAATCCTGCGGGAACACTTTGCCAGGTACGGTCTAGTGTCAAGGTATAAATAGACGCGTAATATAAAGTAGCTGGTGCCGGCAATGTGGAATTGTAATTTGATTCTGTAACGTAAGCCGTGTCAACAATTTCTTCGTCACCCGCTAATGTTATTTCAACCTGTTAAAATCAGGAATGAAAAAATATCAGTGTGTAATGTAGTCTCAAGTCTCCAAAACCAGCAAACATCGTAAAAAACTCTATAACAAGTCCAGTAATTTTAATCAATGGTCGTGCAAAGTGAGCTTTGAACTATTGAAAAACAAAATTAACAAAAATTTCATAGTCTGAAAATATCGGCTGATTTACATTTCAAAAAAAGACACATTTCCTGATTTTTACATTAAATTGATATAAACTAAAGATAATATTACCAAAAATTCGGAGTAACCACCAAATCCTGGTTTCCATCTGAGAGTTGACCAATATTCATCTACTTTAGAGGGTTTCACATGAGTTACCGCATTGGGTACTAAAATCAATAAAGTTTTTAGGCATCAAAGTATCCATCGACTAATACAGTAAATTTTCCAGTTTTTAAATGGCATCTAATGTATAAGTATATATATAAATACATTAGTACGAGGTATAAATCTCTTTAGTATAACCAAAAAGAAATTTTAGGAATTTTCACAACTTACGCATTGTTAAAAATACAGAAGCAGGTTCACTGGAGGTATCATCGCTGACTGAAAATACTCTTGCATGATATGCCACTCCTGGAGTTACATCGTTTAGATTTGCTATAATTTTTCCCTGCTCGACAATAACGCTTTCTTTATCTCGAAACCACGATGCATTGGCTGGTCTAGTAGTGAAATATTGGTTTTCCAATGCTACATTTTCAACTCGATAACCACTCTTGGTGCCGTCAACTGGCAACCATGATATTACAGCATATGTCTGGTTGACGAAGTCAATGGCAACGTTTTGTGGTACTTTAGGTTCTAAAATAGAAATTCATTATGTTAAATTAGTTTTAGTAGTTCCGTAATTCTAAATTATATTCACCCTCATTAGCTATATAAAAAAAGTGAAAAGTACGATAAAAACAGAAAATATATTTAATAAAATCGTCGATTTGTGCTCATTTTCTGTATATTTTCATTTACAAATACACCGGGACGTAATTATATTGCTTGCAAGATAAATATAAGAGGTGAGTGCTTCACGTACGTGAATGAAAGGATAGAAACGTAATTCCAATTTTGTTGTTTAAAAGGCAAAACCATTCATAAGTGCTAATGCCACCACGTGAATATCCAGGGAGCATAATGGCTATCATTAGGATTCATTATCTATAAAATATATATATGGTAAAAAGCAAAAACATATCTATTTTGATTGAATAATTAAATTACTGAATTACTACGTGATTTTTAACAAGAAATTACAATTCTTTCATACTTTCAATTGTGTTTATTATGCCATTCATTTTGTAACTTTTGATAATATTTGCATTGGTTTGTAAATGCATATATATTGATCATTAATAAAGATTGTACAAATCTCCAACGATAATCAATATTCTATAAAAAATTCTATATTCTAAATATTCTATAAAATAAACGAAAAGTTAATCAGCATCTATCTGTCTTTTAGAAACCCCAAAACAATTTCGAAAAGAAGTATTTTAGTTTAGATAACCTAACATACAATAATATATCTTGAAACATAAACAATTTTTTACTTGTGCGGGTAACAAGCTCGACTTGCTTGCTGGCACGTTGTTCTTTATTGCTGCTCGTCTGTGAGACGATTGTGAAAACATATTCTGCTCCTGCACTCAGTTTTAAAAACATGGCTTCATTCGCTTTATCAATTCCGATTAATTTTGCACCGTCATGACATTCATCACAGGTCACAAGATATCGCGATACTTCTCCTCTGCTTGAAGACCAACCAACTAAAATTGATGTTTCGTTTCTTGTCAAAACTCGAAAATCTTCAGGTGGTGATAGTTCTGGAAAATAGTGTGTGCTTGAAAATGAGAGATCAGTGAGAACAATATTAGTTAAATTCTCGACTATTGCATTGGGTGGAAGCTTTCAATCATTTTAAAAGACTCAGTCTTAGTCTGGGGAAGTATTCAAAATGAAAAAGAGAGAATTACATTCGTTGAAACATCCTTCTCGTGAATTAATAGACAATAGATTATTTTTTGTAAAATATTGAGTTTCATGAACAGGTGTCGGGAAAAATTAAAAAAATACCAGTAATGATTTTTTTAGACAATATTCATTATTAAATACTGAAAATATAAAATTGATTGTTCCCCTAGAGAGCGATTGTCTCACAACATCAACAAGAACAACAACAAAAACATATCAAAACGATTCATAAGTACACGTAATGTCTGAATAACCTATGTATCTGTCGCAATATGCTACTCAGATAATTACGAATCGCATTCTGAAGCTGTAGAGTTCCTGCTTGCATTAGGCCCCTGTAAGTTCTTTTAATGACGCTCACCCATTGAAATTTTTCCGCGATCAGATGGCATGCTTTTGACATCTCCGCTGATTGTATATGCTTTGAAATCGTATGTAGTTCCTGGAATCAAACCAGTGATTATGGATGATGTAATTCCGCTTTCACTTTTCTTTATAAATTCGTCTTTATCTTGAAATGAACCTGAATAAAAATTGCGAATGACTTCGTAATTATCAGAATTATAATAATATTTTTGAGTTAGCTTATAACAGATGAAATTAAAAAAAGATCGAATTTCAGAATACGCTTACATACAGCTTTCTTTCGCATTACCCATGACGTAATTTTAACAATTATCAAATTTTTTTTTATTCAATTGTGTAATATTTTATTCAAATGACAAACTTCGCTAGCGGCTACAGAAATATGCCAATCAATAATAAAAGAATTGTAACGAATTTCATATTTTAAAATGTACCAGTGAAATATAGGAAAAAAGAATTTAGGATGAAATATCGGGGCCGTAAAATTCAAAGAATCCGAAAAAGTAATAGATTTCCATCGTTTAGTATAGAAAATTTGAAGTTGTTGGTTCATTAGTTGACGAGGAAAGGGATTTTTAAAATTTTGTCTATAACAACAACAACAACCTCCAAAAGAACAACAACAATTTAGTAAATTGATCATTTCGTGTCCAATATAAACAGGTTCTTCAGAACACATGGTGTAAAATACAAAATCTTACTTGTGAAGGATAAAATGTAGCCACTGTAGTAAAACTTTTGGTGATTGCTCCCAGATTCGAATATGTCAATTTTTACACTATCAACACCAATTTTGGTTTGTACATGGACATGACTAATAGGTGGTCCTGTAGAAAAAGGCACGGTAATGTGTTACTGATTTACCAACGATTCTGTGTAATGAATATGAAACGAGCATCCACTTCTTTTTTAACTTCCGGAACAATGACCAATCATGAGGTAGTAATCGAAAACGTCACAAAGAGACGTTTTAGCAGCTCTTGGACACGACCTCCTTGTTTACTTCTATACCATAACCAATCTGGGGGAGGTAATCGAAACGTCACAAAGAGAAGATTTAGGAGCTCTAAGACAAGCTTTTCACTCAGACACACTTTTAGACATGTTCGTGCGCATTGACTCGTTTTCGCAGTTTTGAATGTTGTTCTCAGTTTCAGTTTTATTTCAAATGTATAAGCAAGCACAAGCAGAATAACTCATCAGTAATTTTTTTTTATCTCGGAAGAATACCGGGTACAGAATTAGTTGTAGTTATCTAAAACTGCCGAAAAAATTGAGAATGACCAGGCTAGTAAAATTAGCGACTAATAATACTTCCAAATTGCATTCTAATTAAGATGATTTTGAAGATGAACTAGTTTTCGTGCGATAAATCGCAAAAACACTTATAAAATAAGCATATCAAAATTCGCAATGTTAAAATATGAGAAAGATTTCTTGAGGTCAAGGGTCGAAGGAACATCTATTATGATTACTATTCTCCTTGACGAGGCCAGAATCAAGATTCATATAACTTAGCTTCATGGAGGGGAACACTTTCATTAAATGTTTACAAGTGGCTTTGCTTCCACGTGATACTATTCATACGTGATTGAGCAGATGGCTGATGAGTGGCTCTTATCTCGTTGAAATCCTGGGTAAATCCAGGCGAAGCGACATTAGTGCCTATATAATGAACCAAAGTATAATGAATAGAAAGCTTTAGCATTCATTCAAGCATTTACCAGAAAACACTTATAAAATATTCTGGGAAAATTCCATTTAAAAAAGTGGTGGTACGATTACTATTGTTTTTTATATTGTTATGTCCACAATTATTGAAGGAAGCTACCTATATATTATTGCATTTTTTGTTGATAGAAATGAAATTTTAATTAAGCAAGTCAAATTAATACCGGATAATAGACGAGACACCGTTTATGTTTATAGCTTTGAATATTACTCACTTGTTCTTTCGGATAGCGTCACCGGGTCACTTTCACCATCAAGGCGTTTCGTGATTACAGTAACTTGATATAATTGCCCAGGAATAAGGTTAGAGATGAGAAAATCATTTGCTGTATTTTCAACTTCAATAATTCTTAATGTGCGCAAAACAATAAAATGAATTTAAAAACGATAGGCTAGACAAGTTTCTCTTTATGAAGAATATGCATAGAAATCCGACAAAACGGTGATAAACGGCCGCACAACCCCAAAGAAAATATCATTTACAGAATACTCAAAACTTACAAGAAGTGCGTCAAGAACTAAATGAAAACTTTTATTGCAGACTCAATTTTAGCAAAAATTGGTCATTAGTAAACGCTTGGTTTCTATGTTGATTATTAAAGAAAATTTTTGGTAATTAGTAGTTAAACAACGAGTAACATGCGGCTAAGATGATGATTTAGTAAATTTATCATTTTGGCATTTCTTTACAAAATACTTATTAGGCTTAAAAGCGTGGCTTACCGAGGATTTTGGCCGTCAGACGCGTTTTCTGTTATTTGTATTTCGTATGAATCAACCACTCCTTCAGCGAAGCTCCAGGTTATTGTGAAGTTAGTTACGTGGCGAGACTCCGGAATAAGTCTTAAGTCCTTGACGGGACTTACATCTAAAAATATAATTTGTTGTAGAAAATAATGAAAACCGCAATCATCTTATTCAAGTTCTAACGATAATACAAAGGCAGGGCGATTATATGATTGTTTTCGAAGATTTAAGAATTGGGTTCGAATGTTTGGGCCTTCTTTAGTTTAACCTCTTGAAATAAGCTCTTCGACGGAATAAACAAGTCCACTTCAAAGCTATAAAACGAAATTAGAAGACAAATAATTGAGTCACATCATAAAACGATTTTGCTGTGTGTTTTGTCCTGCAATAACAGACAGGCCTTGTAATAAAAATGAATTGACTGTTGATACCTAGACGAATACTTCATCAAACTGTTATGCCTTTCTATTTGCTATAAATGTGAATTGCTGATGTTTATGTTATACATTTTGAACCTGTGGTGAAGGTATAATTTCTATTTTGGGGGAGATAAGACATTTTTGAAAACAAACATAAATTTTCCGAATAATATTAATTAATTTTTATTGTTAATATTCCATTTGGCGTCAAAATTTTAATTTTAAAATGGCGCTGATGGATTCAGAGGAGCAGTCTAATAGCATTTTGGGTAGTGATATATTTTTTTATTTGATCAAAATTATCACATTAAACAATAGAGTGACTGGTCTCAATCATTTATGTTTTGAACTCTACCTGTTAAAACAGTCAACGAAGTATCAGCAGGGGCTGTACTCAATTTCTCTAAATAGGAAATCTGGCTGACCGAGAATACTTTGATATTGTATTCGGTGTATGGACTCAACTTTTTTAGTGTATAAGTTGTAAAATTCTTGTGCACGTAAATTTTGGTTTCCCCATACGTTATACAGTATCTAAACAAAATGCAAAACAATTAGATAATAAAACATATCAACAACTATAAACGCCAATTTATAATCAAAATATTGAACTTCATGAAAGTAAGTGCTCGCGAACCTTATGGAAAAATGTGTCCGGTATTCAAGTAAATAAAATTGCGTACGTTCTCGTATCCTTTCCAAGTTAAACATACAATTTACCACGTTTATTTAACTTTTGAAGCATCCTATTAATAAATTAATTTGCTGCCTTTCATATCTTATAAAATCGTATTTGGAATAATTTGAATAAAATTATACATATCAAAGATTCAGTCGTAGCCACCATTATTCGAGTAATAACACCAATGCAAAACTTACTTGTCAAAAATATTATAATGGCTAGATTCAGGTTTATTCCATGTAATTGTTATGGTGGTTGGAGATTTATTGATCAATCTTAAGTGTCGTGGAGGATTCGGATCTAGATTTAAAAAGTATATTTTATTTGCAGAACACATACGATAAAAATGTTAGCATGACTTCGTACAATCGTGCGAATCGTGAAAATGTATCACAAGATTTAATAGGATAAGATAAGATTTACATATTTATCCCGAGGGAGAGGAAAGTCGATAAGACGGCTTAACCTTATGACGAACCACAGCCTCTCGTCCAGTTACCATTCCACGTAGGCTATGGGATTATTTAGTGATCGTTTGGAAGCATGAACTTGATGGTAGAGGAAACCGTAACCGACCAGTGGTTACATGCATCCTCGCATAGGACTCAAACCTGCGAACCCACGCAGAGTAATCAGTGGTGCGGTGGCGAGCGTATTTCTAACGCTTAGCACGATGAGCCACACCGCTGCGCCGATTTAGTGATTATTTGTGATATGTTTGTGATATGACGAATGAAAATATTCAATCCATAACGACAAAAAAATATGTTTGGAAGAAAGAAATATTTAAAGATGTTTTAAAAAATGATTTTTCACTGATATTTAACATTTTAAATACAACTTTTCATAACACATTGTATCTTTGTATTTCAATTATGTTTTTTAAATTTCAATTTTCTCGTGTTTCAAAGGGTATCAACTCTATAATAGAAATCATGAATCTGAATATTGTCACTTACTTGTCAGAAATGCATGTGTATATTTTGCACTTTTGCTTTCAAAATGTGAAGTCGAAATGCTTGCTTGAATTGAGAAGAAATACAAATGCCCTGATTTTAATCCAGGCAATGTATAGTTTGTACTCGATCTTGAAATTATGTACTTCTCAGTAACAAAATCTGAATGAAGAATTTAATACAACTTAAAAAACGTTGTTAAATTGATTATATGTATGGTAATTTAGAAATAGAGATTAGTGATCATATAAGTTTTAGATAAACACGGAAGGTAATGATTATCTCATTATCAGCAAAATTTCAGACAAATGCTAAAGATTTGAACCGAATGCCAAATTAATGTGTCTAGTGAATGTCATACCAAAATGTGTCCGTGATATGCAAAAAAACAGCAATAATGAAAAGAAAATATACATTTCTGTATATATTTGATTAGGAAAGTAATAAAAACAATAGTCTTCTGAAAATGTTTTTTTCTTTCAGTGCCGAAATCAGTGAATTGGTTGGAATCAATTGGTTAGTTGAGAAAAAAAGGAAAATTTTCACATCGACAACCCAACCGGAACACCCTGCCCCACAATAATCACAATTTAGCAAAATAAACTTTTAGCCTCAATGAGCTGACCCACTCCCAACACGTTGTTTAGATTAGTTTGGCCATGTCATTTGCCACTATTATAAATTTTGTGCCAGAAGCTAATTGATACCACACTTGTCGATGCGTCCTATTGAAAGTAAAAGAAATTGAAAAGAATATGATATACTTGCCCTTGATCTCTTTGATTTCAATTGTATATTGGCCAAAGTCGGATCCATGTAATGATTTTGGTGTTTTCCATGCTATATCAGCAGATGTTTCGGATGTCAAAATATTTATATTCGTGGCACACTGTGGAACTGAATTGAAATATATATATATTACAGTTGAATATGAAGTGGAGTTAGGATGGATAGGATGTGAGTATGTGTACTATTTAACAAATCGAAATGACTTCAGGGCAACGGACTCATATGTGTAATTTGGATGCTAGTCTGCGCAAGCAAAACCTACATTACTTTTCTATTCTATCTACTTTTCTAAATGTATCGTATCCTTACCTGTATATTCGCAAATAAAATAGGTTTCGTATTCACATTGAGCTTCTATCCATTTATATTCATTCATATTTGATTGAATCACCGCGCAGTTTTCAGACGCTTTGTTGTCTTCCTCTTTGAAAGCTTGAATTTCTTCAGTTACTGGTGACCCATCAGTATAAGTGGCGTTAGAACCGTCCTAAAGTTAATTTGTAAAATTATATATAAACATCGTTGGATTCACAAAGAGAACATAAAAGGCAGACAATCCACCTACCCAGTGTTTACGATGACATCTCGTCCCGAATATTAGTTTGTTGTTGTTGGACACAATTACTGGGAGATATTAGTACGGCGGTAATTAGTCTGATTACTTATGTTTTATACAAATTTAAAGACATTTGATAAGACAGGCGACATACGATTGTTGGACTGAGGCATGCAAATTGCATGAATAACGAATGTTTGATAGCCGAATGATAGCCGATCTCACATAAAAGATGCTGTTCCAGTATTGAGCTTCTTTTTTTCGCTGTGTTATAATGGCACAATTCACATGCTAATGTTTCCAACAATTTGAGTATCGGACGATGAATACAAATTCTTTATGCTAAAATATAAACTTACAAGACTAATACCAATCCAGTTGAGCGCAACCGTACTAGTCAGAATTTCCGCACTGCTGATAAATTCAAATTCTTCTGTCCTACGAGGATCAGCGAGATGAGCTCCCAACACTGAACTACTACATTCAAGGTTTGCTGCGTTCCTGTTTTCTTTTTTGTTAAATCTTTTGTAACAGTTGTTACGTAATCCCATCCATTGTTCTGGGCATTGAGCTATCACATAAATTTATTTGATTGTATATATTTAATTATAAACTACACCTATATGTAAAATGTGAATCTTCGTACCCAAACAATTTAATCACTGATTATACTCATTAGAGCACAAAAGTTGGGAAAAATAATATAACGACGTGGCGGCACTGAATAGATAAAGACATCAGAAATGTAATTGAATGGTCGGTAAAATTTTACCCATGAACAGTTTGCAGTAAGAATCTTTCGATTCGCAATCAAGGGTGAAACATAGTCGTTACCTAATCTCTGATTTACTCAATTTAAATATAATTTTTTTGTTTGAATTATTTTACATGATATGGCTTAAAAATAGTCAAAAATAAAATTTTGAAGTTAGATGGAAAAAATTACAATGAACATCAATGAAAAATATAATACAATAAAAACACGGCACATTCGAAACATATTTTGCTGGCTGTTCAACTTTGAGTATTTATTTCAAAATATTATTTAATTAATCATTAGTTCCAAAATTGTAATATAAATATAAACAGTTTGCAAAGTCATACATGTCACGAAATTCAACTATTCATAAAATATTAATATTGCATAATGTCAATTATTAACCTGTTGTAATACTCGACATCCACTTCCTGTTTCCTGTTCCATTTACTGAAAGTTCATAAAGTCGTCCGTCGAAAAGGTCACGAAATTCAATTTGGTTACCGTAAGTGTAATTTAATACTTGGATCTGAATGTTTTGAGAAAAATAGTTACGACATTTTTTTCAATAACAACGTGCTACGTTTCATTTTTTTCGCTTTTAAAAAATTTGAAATTTGGCGATAGCATGAACCTGTATCTGAATAGAAAGAAAAAACAAAATGCTACCGAAAATTCAAAAATAGACTATTCAAGGTATTGAATCAAGTTAAGTTTAATAGGGACTTAAACTTATAAACTACTTTAAATACATACGTCCAAATCGACATCCAACAACTGTACTGATGATCCTTCGTCTGCAGGGGCTAACGAAATTTTCAAAGTTGTCGTTGTGATTTCATCGATGGAAACATCCAGAGAAGCAGACTCGGCCTGGATAACAAAGAAAGAGTCTGGAATAGATTCACATTTTTAAATTCTACCAAACAAATTTAAAAGTCTTCAATAGTAATTCCAACTTGAACGTTTATAATTAGAATGAGAATTATCTTTCAGTAGTAGAAAACAGCATTTTCATTGATTGCTGCTACAATCGAAATTAACTATTGTGACATAAATAAAACTAGCGATTTTTAATAGTTCGTCAGCCACCTCAAAATCTTTCTGTGGCCCGGCAGTGGGCCACGGCTCACTGATTAAGAACCAGTGCTGGCCTAACAAATCAACTGCTGTGCCATCGCATTTACCCAACTGAAACAGATTTTCAAAAATCGATATTATTTCTCACCTTGCTGGAACCTATCGATGAATATAGGACTAAAAGAAACACAAATAGGTTTTCTTTGAATTTGATCTTCATATCTTATCAGTAAATACTATTTTATTTTTTCAGCATCTACAACAATAATTGATTTGAATTATTGACCACTAAGCATCAATCGTAAAAACGTTACGTTCGAGTGTTAAGTTCTAGAATGAGTGTCCACGAACGCCACTTCATCGGTGATTTAAATATTACCTTTGTAACGCTTCAGTCATATAACTAATCTATGTGAACCAGATTAAATTTTTTTTTTCTAGAGCGTCAATTAAAAATGTATGCCTACTGTCAGAATTAACGCCCTTATTCTTTTGTTGTTGTTCCCAAACAGATGACCTTTTAGTACAGCAATATACTCAAATAATTAACTTTTCTGATTTGCTTCAAAATATTTGAGCTTGAGAGTTTTATAGTTACATTTTATCGTACAATGTTGAAAATCATTATACAATACCCCAAATAAAATTTTTTTATGCTCTGCACGCAATAGGCTACATAATATAAGCAAAGAAATGTGCAAAAATGAAAACAGATAACTTGTTTATATCTATACCTTCATCGTATCAAATTAACTTATAATCTGCTTTTACTATATCATTCCTTTCTGATTTTTTTCATTAATATAAGCTGACGAATATTATATTGGCCATTGTCAAATTCGCATTAATCCAACATTAGCTTGAATTAAAAATTCAAATCCAATCTATTACTGTGTACCCTAAACCGTTATATAGTTGTGTTCCGATCAAGATAGGGAGTCGAGATTTTTTCACAAACAATGGACTTTATGTAGCTTGGAATTTTTAACACATTCCTTTGATATAGCATGAACGAACGATAAATTGAGCTTAACAAATCAATCCAATCCTGGCTAGTATTTAAACAAGTCAAGAAAGTACTCCAAACATCTATAAGAGTTAATATAAATGTTTTTGCTCGATGGTACTCCAACGGATCTCAAATCGCACAGATCATCAATAACATTGAGTCACGCAGCAGTGCGCTCAAGATACCAATACATGAAGTGGCTCTTGTGTAGAAATGAAGAGCGTTGCCATGTTCTCGTTAGTGCGTGCTCAAGACCATGATTCAGGCACCATATAAAAAACATCACGAGAGTGATAACTATACTTACAAAAAAATCTCCCGTAGAAGAATCTTAACAACATCTAAGAATGTTGTCAAAAATGGTGTGATGAAAAATAAAAATGGATAATGTTAGCATTAGTTTGTTCGAATAGGTCAATTGTTCGTTATTTATAGTTCATTTTCATATATATATTATGGTTTTGGATTGAATAAAATTGGATTTCTGCAAATATATCTATTTCAAAGCTTTGCAGAAACAAAAAAAGAATGTATAAATCATACATAAAAATAAAAATGGATGACATCAAGATTAGTTCATATAAATTAATCAAATTTTGCTTTGTATCTTCTATTTTATAAAAAATTGGAAATTTAATTAAATTTGAGTTCTTCCGAATATACATACCAATTTCAAAGCGTTGCAGATCTACAAACAAATGGACAAAAATTCTAGAATTCTTTCCTTCTAATTGGTTGGACTTGCACTATTTATCTCGAAAAAAAACGATAAAAAGATAAAAGGCGTATTATTTTGAGTACTTAAACACTTATTTTTATTCTTTAGATTATCCCCTTTTTTGAATTGGACATTCCCATGGATGGATTGAAACATAACACATTGTATGTCTAGCTATGTCTTCATTCGAGCTCGCATGAGCACAAGATTCGTGATGTTTGAATTTGAAGACGTAAAATACGTATTATAAACAGTTTCGTCTCTTTGTGTGCACTGTCTAAGCCATTTATCACGTTCAAGCTCGTAGAAGCTGTTAAAAAACTAGATATTTGATTCTATTGTCTGTAAGAATATAAATTTTTTTCTGCCGCGGCCGTGTATAAATTGAGAATTGAAACGCACTCTAACTATTTTGTTTATACTCTGCCTTGAATAATTTCAACTTTTGTACATCAATATGTACATACATGTACATGAAAATGCTTGAATAATACCGCAAACTATTCACAGTACAGAAATATATCATATCTTAATCTATGCGTATATATCCATTTGAGTTTTGAACAACGGGCAAAGATGAATACGAAGCAGCGTGTTATTCTTCTTCTGTCCTTGACAATATTTGCTGAGAAAACGATTGCAGAACAATACAAATGTCCATTTTCTGCTTTGAACCAAACTATTGACTGGAAAAGGGTGAGAATTACGAGTATTCTTGTTTTTGTTTAAATTTGAAAGCAATTGAAACAGCGCAACGTAGCTTAAGGGCGCCAGTAGCTACATAATATTTGTATCTACAATTCGAAGAATTTTGAACATTGGAAACATATATAATACTAGGAAAGTTCAAGTAAAATCTAGTTAGATGGTGTGAACAATTTTATTCAATATCATATAAGAGTTGGAAAAATAAAATTATTTTTTTTCATCTTGAATGTCTCCACCTGCAGCGGTTTTTAATAATTGAATTGAATTTAAAATCCAATTTTTAAAATAGCAAGTTTGTTGTATCATTTGATACCAGTACTGTATATTCGCTCACCCTTAAAGATGCAATCATTCAATAACCCAGTTTATACCATTCACCGTGTTTTACTTTAGTTCAGCAAATTAAAGACAACATGGTACGACGTGCTTACTATTCCTATGCTACTCGAACCTATGGATTGTTGGGATTGGTCAGATTTTGTCCCGCTGGAAGGAGGAGAATTCACAACAAAAATACATCAAAATCTAGAAAGGTAACAAGCTTGTGTACAGAAATTGGAATAACAATAATGTGGCATTGTAATAACTATGTGTTCTGTTAAAATAAAATCTGATAATTTGAAAGTTAGCATATACTTGTATATGACAAAATAATGAAAGCACTTAGTCGTAATTCACAAAACCAATAAATTATTATTACCTGCAGCGGAAATGGTGGGGAATATATAATCGATTTTCATATGAAACCAAATGCTGACGGATCTTATACCTTGGTGGAAAAAGAAGGTTCGAGTAAGTACATTGCTGTTACATAAATTTCATATCAATATATTATTCAAAATGCTGGAATATGTAACCTCGTCTATAGTTGCAATCACAAAATCTCAATTGATGCTGATAGAATGAATTAATTCTACGGTGAGACTTGCAGCAAATCAATAAAAAACCGTACAGCTACATTCTAATTTAACGTGAAACGAGGTTTCTCATCGATAGTCTAAAATATTCGCAAATATTGAACTTTTCAATTACTGAATGCAACTCACTCAGAATTGTTGGTCCTGTTTGAATATCAAATAGCAGCTTCAATGCATTATTCCATAAAGGTATCAAATGGTAACTTATTTGGTACAGGATCGAAAATAGCAAACACAACCAGATCTGCACTTTCTCACATTCAAGATAAAGAAAGTATTGAGGACATGGTAGCAGGTAACTACAGTATTTTTAAATCTAAGCCATATTTCATATTCAATTATTTCAAATAGATTTCAAAATTTTCAAGTACATTTTCATGAAGTCAAATTTGCCATAATTATTATATATATATACTGTAATATACACATCATCTATACATACTTTGTTCAAATGATGTTTCATTTATTAGAATAAATGGAGCTTCAGAAGTATGTGTACCAATATGAAGGTAACTAATTTTTTTCGCCCACATTACATAAACTTGACTTCTACAGACAGTCGCCGAAATCGTAATAGAACTAAAATAAGTTAAATCGGAATAAAGTAATGACCAAACTCTAACCTGGTACATATACTAGGGGAGTACCTGAATAATTTACCTTAACAATCGTAGATATTTTTTTAATATTGGAATATATTTTACGTACCTATTTACTCAGCTTCTTTTCCCAGTTATTTCTCTGTCATTTGCACTTCTACATTGTACTATATTGCAAAGTTCATTTATATAAAAAGCAACAAACAAATGTTTCAGTCATATCAAAGAATTTACTTTTAATGCCAAAAGACACGCACATTTATATTAGTTGTATTATCAAAAACACTGAACTGCAGAATAATGTATTAAATTAAAAAAAAAAAAAATGTTCTTGCTTAATACTTGAACGAACAACAAATCATTTTGATGATAATTTTTTCTGCATCTTTTACACTGCTAATAAAATTTTCATGTTGCTGTCAAGTGCTGAAAGTTAGTCACTGTTTGACCATTTACAGCTCCTTGCGAGTTTTTATTATATTGCTCTGGGGAAAGGCCTATGTTGCACATGAAATAATCATTCATGTTTTTTTTCTTCACATTTAATTTTGTTTTATACAGTAACTGAAGGTTTTGTTCTCTTGAAATGGTATTTCATGACAGACTATGAGAATTACCTCATTGTTGGAGCTTGTGGTCCAGGATTTCGTATGTATTTTAAAATCATTTTTGCTTTAAATAACGTCCACATTATCGCATTGATTGGTCTCTTGTGTTCTAACAATTTAATTTCTATAGCAAACCAATTGGATTTTTGCACCCAGTTTATGTGAACCTAGTTTCGTCTATGACTCCGCAAACTTTAAATGCTGAAGATTTAGTAGAGATTTCTCATTAATAAAAGCTACATAATATAATTATTTTCACGTTACAGATTACCAATCTTTTGCAAAGTTCAGAAAACAAAGACCAAATTTTGTTGATGTGGTTAATACTTGGAACAGATTTTCTGCTCTGGGGGAATCCCCAAATGTGGCACTCAGAAGAAAATGTATCAAAAGAAAACACAACTAGAATAAATAAGCTTACGGGTCTGACAAAAACAACTTGATAAAGACAGCATCGAAATATGTTTTTTTGGGGCTCCCGAAGTATGCGAACCAAGATGGCGGACATCGGAATGTAATATGTGTATAGGTTAGGGTAAGGCCATAATTTTAGGTATAAATACTACGGGAGGCTCTTGGCTAGTCTTCGAACTGATAATAGGACTAAAATAAGGAAAATTGGGAAGAAATTATCGCCTAACCCTAACCTGTTACCCATGTTACGTTCCGATGTCCGCCATCTTGGTTCGCATACTTCGGGAGCACCGTTTTTTTTAGTTTTTAGCAATTTTTTTAGCAATATACAAGCATGCGATACAGAGATTTTTATTGTAATTGCTTAGTGTGATTACCAATTTTATGTAAACCGTCGCAAGAGTTCAACATGTTGTACCATCGTCCTCATATCGGCCCATACTTCTTATTTAGGTTATTTTTTCCCAGTGATATATTATTTCTATTTGATATTTGTATTCAAGAAATTGTTTGAGACTTATTAAAAACTTTCATCGAAGTAAAGTTGCAAACGAAACTCATGATCACAAACTTGTCGTTCTGGGTATGGTGTCGATACAGCTTAATCGTGTCTCTCAGGAAAACAAACCTTCGATATAAATTGACCCCGACTTGAGACTAAAATATGAAAATCATCAATATCAACAACTCGGTGGTTCAACTTAGATACCGTCTTTCCGTACAACCGAGATTCCAAACTATTATAAATACTGTATAGTAGAAAATATGATGCCAACAAACGTATTTGGAAACCTGTGTATCCATTATCAATGAATCAAGTCCATGCTTCTGAAAACAATACACTAACTAATCCGATACCCGACATGGAACGGTAACCGGACGAGAGGCCGTGGTTCGCCATATGGTTAAGACGTTTTAAGTGGCTTTCCTCTCCCCCGGGATAAATATGTAAATTCTATTCTAACTATACAATATCGATGAGTCAGCAGACAAAAAGATACAACACATTGCACATTAAACGAATCAAGATATTTATACGCTTGTGTACAAACCCCAGTGTACTTCACACAGAGATCTTCTTATTAAAACAGTGTGATAGTCGTTATATGAATCATGCAGAACAAATGACTTTCGGATGTAAGCACTAACACAATATGTAATATGCTATAAATATATTTTTTAAATTCAGCGATGTGAAGAAGTCAAAGCTAGATGGTGTCAATTTGCCGCGGTCGCCATATAATTTTTCAGATGCAATAATGTGGATAACGGAGGAAGTCGAACTGATCAACAATCACGTTAATGAAACACTCAGACAAACAACAAATTTAATTTACTTATAACTTTGAGCCAAAAGTGCATTCTTAATTAACAAACCATTCAGGTGACAAAATTGATGAGCAATCATTGCAAGGAAAACACTGGTGAAATGTGGAACTTTCATTGGCGTGAATTGCAACAATGTTTCATTTGTTTATAGTATGTTTAGGTCATTTAAAAGAATATGTGATGGTCTCAACTTCCATATTTTCACTTGGATTTATTTAGATATTTTTTATTGACTCCGAACACCTATGTCCACGTGACCTCCCTTTAGGATTTCATCATTCTTTTTGGGTTTACTGCTGATAAGGTTTGTCGTATTTTTGTTGCTCTCTATTCCATCCGACCGAGCCGCGTCTTTCTGCTGGGTAAATAAAGTTCCTCAGCTGTATAATAAAAATAAACCTATTGAATTTCTTGTGTAACTTGCACCGCACGAATTCTTCTGGCATGGTTATAAAACTTGACCAGTATATGGTCAGGACTTGCAGTTTTTGTTGCGTTTCGGTAAAGAAGCTACAGTGAAAACTAAAATATTCCACTTCTAGGTTGTTCTAGTCCAGGCTTCAGTACTATGTCTCGTTAAAGTACGTTACGTTATTTTATCAACGGCTATCCTTTTATTAACGGTTTCCTGAAGTTTTTGTTGAACGTTTTTACTACGGCATTGATTCTACTCTAATCCAGCATTGGGTATTCTTCATAAAGGTTGACATAAGGTGTGTAGGAGAGACGCCTTACTTGGGTTATTCAGCATACCTTCGTTATTCTGGCGAAAAAAGGTTTTACACGTTGCCAGATGTATTCAGGTGCTTCAGAAAATAAAAGTGGATTCAGAGCACTGTTGATCGGAATCAATATCAAGCCGACTACAACGTAGGTATCATTCGGTATATCGACACCTAAAACAAGTATTATCATTATTATTTCAACAAAACATACTTGAAAAGATTGCTGAGTGCGGAGGACAGCCGAGACAGATTCGGTCACGCTTGATGGAATGCAAAAGTGCTCTCATGAATTAAAATAATGTAATTTCGGAGAAAAATAGGATTTCCAACAACTCATAAGAACTTTGAAAATTAAAAAAATATATCTTTTAGCGACTCCTTGCATTTTAAACTTCTAAAGGATTGAAATCGAATGGTCTATAAGTTTATAATAATTATTCAATTTCTCCAAAAAATGCACCAAAAAATGTCAACAACCCGGATATTATTTCCGCTATTGGCATGCAACGTTAAATCAATATAACTTACCACCATCCTAGGAAATTCATGTCAAAGATTGGTTTGTATAAACCTCCCGCCCCAGTCGGAATCATAAAACAGGCCAGTATCACCAAAACAACCCTCACAACAATATATAGACTAACCTGCTATCTGCATAAACGCCATGAAGCAAATGGACATCCAGGACAAGAAATCCTTTACTATGATGCGAGTTATTTTTCGTCTCATTTTTTTACCTCTTTCTTTTTGTGTATCTGTATTGGTTGCGGTTTTGCCTTGCTTCATAGCTTTTCTGTTACAGAAGTGTTCGCCATATTATTTGTGTGGAATTTTGTCTTCCCTATCTAGAACTTGTATCTAAATCAGTAAAATCACTTAAAAGTCAATACACTGCTAACTCAAAAAAATTCCAACAGGATTAATCAAATTTAAAAAGTATTGATATTATACACACCTGTATATGAATATGTAGGCGATCACAATGAAACTAAAAGCCACTAAATTCACGAAGATAATCAGAAGAGAATACATCCAAGCAGTATCTTGTTCACGATCTGGAAACAAGGTTGGAAGACAAACCCCATGTGTAGAATAATATCCAAATTTTCGTTTCATTGTGTAAGATGGATTCAGAGTTTTCATCAACGCGTTCAAAGTTTTCCATGAGTTTACCGAGTTTCTGGAAAATAAGGACTGAAGGAATGGCAATCAACGCAATGGGAATGAAAACGAATAGACTAGGTAATTCAAACTAATGGCTCGTTTGATACTATAATACAAGCTTGCATAAATGTTTTATAAAATCTTCTAGAAACACGCTTACCTGTAAGAAGACACATTATTAAGCATTGCGAGCATCCGATGGGACTGAATGTTCACTTCATGTTTACTAATAGTTGCAACAAGTGGATTTTGATCATACCTTGATGAAAGCAGTTTTTGTTACATGGCAGCGAAATTTCAAACAAAATCTATCGTAAGCTAGCCTTTGATGTGAACATGGAACAAATTAACTTGGAAGGACCATAGTTAAGATATACAAGAAAGCATTATTCAAATATATAGACACGAAGTCTAAAACGAAATATTTAATCCATGATTTCCCTAGACTCATAAATATCCCAAACGAAGATGTGGATCAACTACTATAATTTCCAGTAGCCTATCGATAACATCGCGGTGTAAAGGCGTTCCCAGGTTCTGTGACGATAATGATTCATGCGTCTAGTCTCAACTTGAATCGGAATACAAAATGCTTCGTTTACTGTGCGGTAGTCTACCTCCGATTTTTGTTGAGCACGAGATCGAGGGTTGCAACCGCGGAGCCGCCAACGGGTCGCAAGTTTTAATTTTGATGACGTCAACAGACAAGATTTCAAAGTAAAAAACGAATCTCATAGAGCCTACACAATTGTTTGAATAAATGAATCAATAGCGACAACAACAATCTTCAACCACTAAAAATTTCGAAGTAATTGGACCAGTAGTTAAGTAGAAAATAAAATAAAATTGGAAACATGATTAAATTTGAGTTCTTCCGAATATATATATTTCAAAGCGTTGAAGAGTTACAGAAAAATGGACAAATATTCTAGAATTCTTCCCTTCTAATTGGTTGGACTTGCACTATTCACCTTGAAAAAAAAACGATAAAAAGATAAAAGTCGTATTATTTTGAGTACTCAAATAATTATTTTCTTTCATTAGATTATCCCCTTTTTCGAATTGGACATTCCCATGGATGGATTGAATCATAACACATTGTATATCTAGCTATGTCTTCATTCGAGCTCGCATGAGCACAAAAGTCGTGGTGTTTGAATTTGAAGACGTAAAATACGTATTATAAACAGTTTTGCCTCTTTGTGTGCACTGTCTAAGCCATTTATCACGTTCAAGCTCGTAGAAGCTGTTAAAAAACTAGCTATTCTATTGTCTGTAAAAATATACATTTTTTCTGCCGCGGCCGTGTATAAATTGAGAATTGAAACGCACGCTAGCCATTTTTTTTATACTCGGCCTTAAATAATTTCAACTTTTGTATATCAATGTGTACATACATGTACATCAAAATGCTTGAATAATACCGCAAAGTATTCACAGTACAGAAATATATCATATCTTAGTCTATGCGTATATATCCATTTTAGTTTTGAACAACGTGCAAAGATGAATACGAAGCAGCGTGTTATTCTTCTTCTGTCCTTGACAATATTTGCTGAGAAAACGATTGCAGATCAATACAAATGTCCATTTTCTGCTTTTAACCAAACTATTGACTGGAAAAGGGTGAGAATTACGAGTATTCTTGTTTTTGTTTTTAATTTGAAAGCAATTGAAACAGCGCAATGTAGCTGAAGGGCGCCAGTAGCTACATAATATTTGTATCTACAATTCGAAGAATTTTTAACATTGGAAACATATATAATACTAGGAAAGTTCAAGTTAAATCTAGTTAGATGGTGTGAACAATTTTATTCAATATATATCATATAAAAGTTAGAAAAATAAAATTATTTTTTTCATCTTGAATGTCTCCACCTGCGAAAGTTTTTATCAATTGAATTGAAAATCCAATTTTTAAAATAGCAAGTTTTTTGTATCATTTGATACCAGTACTGTATATTCGCTCACCCTTAAAGATGCAATCATTCAATAACCCAGTTTATACCATTCACCGTGTTTTACTTTAGTTCAGCAAATTAAAGACAACATGGTACGACGTGCTTAATATTCCTATGGTACTCGAACCTATGGATTGTTGGGATTGGTCAGATTTTGTCCCGCTGGAAGGAGGAGAATTCACAACAAAATTACATCAAAATCTAGAAAGGTAACAAGCTTGTGTACAGAAATTGGAATAACGATAATGTGGCATTGTAATAACTCTATGTTCCGTTAAAATAAAATCTGATAATTGGAAAGTTAGCATATACTTGTATATGACAAAATAATGAAAGCACTTAGTCGTAATTCACAAAACCAATAAATTATTATTTCCTGCAGCGGAAATGGTGGGGAATATATAATTGATTTTCATATGAAACCAAATGCTGACGGATCTTATACCTTGGTGGAAAAAGAAGGTTCGAGTAAGTACATTGCTGTTACATAAATTTCATATCAATATATTATTCAAAATGCTGGAATATGTAACCTCGTCTATAGTTGCAATCCCAAAACCTCAATTGATGCTGATAGAATGAATTAATTCTACGGTGAGACTTTCACAGTAAATCAATAAAAAACAGTCCAGCTACATTCTAACCTAATTTGAAATGAGGTTTCTCATCGATAGTCTGAAATATTCGCAAATATTGAACTTTTCAATTACTGAATGCAACTCACTCAGAATTGTTGATCCTGTTTGAATATCAAATAGCAGCTTCAAGGCATTATTCCATAAAGGTATCAAATGGTAACTTATTTGGTACAGGATCTAAAATAGCAAACACAACCAGATCTGCACTTTCTCACATTCAAGATGAAGAAAGTATTGAGGTCATGGTAGCAGGTAACTACAGTATTTTTAAATCTAGGCCATATTTCATATTCAATTATTTCGAAATAGATTTCAAAATTTTCAACTACATTTCCCAGGAAGTAAAATTTGCCATATTTATTATATATATATACTGTAATATACACATTATTACAGTTTTTATTATATTGCTCTGAGAAAGACCTATGTTCCACAAGAAATTTTCATTCATGTTCTTTTCTTCACTTTCAATTTTGTTTTCTACAGTAACTGACAGTTTTGTTCTCTGGAAATGGTATTTCATGACAGACTATGAGAATTACCTTATTGTTGGAGCTTGTCGTTCAGGATTTCGTATGTATTTTAAAATCATTTTCTCTTCAAATAACGTCCACATTATCGAATTGATTGCTCTCTTGTGTTTTAACAATTTAATTTCTATAGCAAACCAATCGTATTTTTGCACCCAGTTTATGTGAACCTAGTTTCGTCTTTGACTCCGCAAACTTTAAATGCTGAAGATTTAGTAGAGATTATTCATTGATAAAAGCTTAATATATTAACATAATATATTTATTTTCACGTTACAGATTACCGATCTTTCGCAAAGTTCAGAGAACAAAGACCAAATTTTGTTGATGTGGTTAATACTTGGAACAGATTTTCTGCTCTGGGGGAATCCCCAAATGTGGCACTCAGAAGAAAATGCATCAAGAGAAAACACAACTAAAATTAAAGGTTTACGTGTCTGACAAAAACAACTTTATAAGAACAGCATCGAAATATTTTATTCTAGTTTTTAGCAATATACAAGCATGCGATACCGAGATTTTTATTGTATTCCAAAAATTGTTTGAGATTTATTAAAAACTTTCATCGAATTAAAGTTGCAAACGAAACTCATGATTACAAACTTGTCGTTCTGGGTATGGTGTCGATACAGCTTAATCGTGTCTCTCAGGAAAACAAACCTTCGATATAAATTGACCCCGACTTGAGACTAAAATATGAAAATCATCAATATCAACAACTCGGTGGTTCAACTTAGATACCGTCTTTCCGTACAACCGAGATTCTAAACTATTATAAATACTGTATAGTAGAAAATATGATGCCAACAAACGTATTTGGAAACCTGTGTATCCATTATCAATGAATCAAGTCCATGCATCTGAAAACAATACACTAACCAATCCGATACCCGACATGGAACGGTAACCGGACGAGAGGCCGTAGTTCGCCATATGGTTAATTAATGATCGGTATGGTGAATATCTGTGACACTCACTCCCTGACTTCAATCAGCCAGTAGCCTATTTGTTGTGCCAGGAATCCTTCTGATAAGTCAACGATGGGAGCTTGTCTTCTGGGTTTGGATACGCTTAACCTGACTGCCGCAGAAATTCCAATGCACTAAACCAGACACAGTTCCGAATCGAACTTGTTTTATTTTACCACTCAACATAAAGTGCTATTGTGGCCACTCGTGTAAGGTCAGGTGATTTAAAAATAGTTTGGACTGCAACGCATCCAAATTCTACTTAATCAGATATACATATGTAACTAAATGCAAAAATAAATACAGTTTTAGGTACAATCCTAATAACTTAATCTCTATTTCAACACATGTCTACATAAAACACAACCCTAAGTTCCCTAAAATACAACCCTAAGTTATTATTGGCGGCCCTTTTATAAGTGCTGATAAACCAAGAGACTGTCGCAACAACATGTTGCCACAATATGCACTATATACCAATTACGAATGGGCACTAGATTGCAATCAGAAAGTGTTATGTCAATTGAATGCGAGTCATCAAAAGTGGATCCTAAGTCTATACCTAAAACAGTTCTAAATAAATGAAATAATATACAAATACCAATGTGCAGTGACAAAATACATCAGAATACTTGCATAAGAAAAACGATATGTGGCAACACTATATTCACTGCCTTATTAGGAATGAAACGGCAATCATCCTCAACAGTTAAGTCGTTTTAAGTGACTTTCCTCTACCCCGGGATAAATATGTAAATTCTATTCTATCTATCCAAAATCGATGAGTCAGCAGACAAAAAGATACAACACATTGCACAGTAAACGAATCAAGATATCCATACGCTTATGTACAAACTCCAGTGTACTCCACACAGAGATCTTCTTATTAAAACAGTGTGATAGTCGTTATATGAATCATGCAGAACAAATGACTTTTGGATGACTAACATAATATGTAATATGCTATAAATATTTTTTTTAAATTCAGCGATGTAAAGAAGTCAAAGATAGAAAGTGTCAATTTGCCGCGGTCGCCATATAATTTTTTAGATGCATTAATTTGGATAATGGAGGAAGTCGAACTGATCAACAATCACGTTAATGAAACACTCAGGGAAACAACAAATGTAATTTACTTATAACTTTGAGCCAAAAGTGCATTCCTAATTAACAAATCATTCAGGTTACAAAGTTTATGAGAAATCATTGCAAGGAAAACACTGGTGAAATGTATGTTTCATTGGCGTAAATTGCAACCATGTTCCATTTGTTTATAGTATGTTTAGGTCATTTAAAATAATGTGTGATGGTCTCAACTTCCATAATTTCTCTCGCATTTATTTAGCTATTTTTTGTTGACTCCGAACACCTCTGTCCACGTGACCTCCCTTTAGGATTTCATCATTCTTTTTGGGTTGACTGCTGATAAGGTTGTTCGTATTTTTGTTGCTCTCTATTCCATCCGACCGAGCCGCGTCTTCTGCTGGGTAATAAAGTTTCTCAGTTGTATAATAAAAATAAACCTATCGAATTTCTTGTGTTACTTGCATCGCACGAATTCTTCTGGCATGGGTATAAAACTTGACCAGTATATGTATTTGTGTGGTCGTATTGCTGCACTACATTGTTAGCATCTAGGACTAGCAGTTTTTGTTGCGTTCTGGTAAAGAAGCTACAGTGAAAACTAAAATATCCAACTTCTAGGTTGTTCCAGTTCAGGCTTCAGTGCCGTATGATAAAAAGTTGAATATTGAAAGCCGGTACTGAGTGTTTTAAGATATATATAATACAATACCCCACAACCACCAATTGCACAGTTACTATGTCGCGTTAAAGTACGTTACGTTATTTTATCAATGGTTGTCCTTTTATTAACGGTCTCCCGGAGTTACTGTTGAACGTTGTTACTACGGCATTCATTCTACCCTAATTCAGCATTGGTTATACTTCATAAAGGCTAACACAAGGTGCGTAGGAGAGACGCCTTACTTGAATTATTTAGCATACCTTCATTATTCCGGCGAAAAAAGGTTTTACACGTTGCCAGATGTATTCAGGTGCTTCAGAAAATAAAAGTGGATTCAGAGCACTGTTGATCGGAATCAGTATCAAGCCGACTACAACGTAGGTATCATTCGGTATATCGACACCTAAAACAAGTATCACCATTATTTTTTTAACAAAACATACTTGAAAAGGTTGCTGAGTGCGGAGGACAGCCGAGACAGATTCGGTCACGCTTGATGGAATGCAAAAGTGCTCTCATGAATTAAAATAATGTAATTTCGGAGAAAAATAGGATTTCCAACAACTCATAAGAAATTTGAACATTAAAAAAATATATTTTTTAGCGACTCCTTGCATTTTAAACTTCTGAAGGATTGAAATCGAATGGTCTATAAGTTTATATTACTTATTCAATTTCTCAGCACCAAAAAATGTCAACAACCCGGATATTCTTTCCGCTATTGGCATGCAACGTTAAATCAATATAACTTACCACCATCCTAGGAAAATCATGTCAAAGATTGGTTTGTATAAATCTCCCGTCCCCGTCGGAATCATAAAACAGGCCAGTGTCACTAAAACAACCCTCACAACAATATATAGACTAACCTGCTACCTGCATAAACGCCATGAAGCAAATGGACATCCAGGACAAGAAATCCGTTACTATGATGCGAGTTATCTTTCGTCTCATTTTTTTACCTCTTTCTTTTTGTGTATCTGTATTGGTTGCGGTTTTGCCTTGCTTCATAGCTTTTCTGTTACAGAATTGTTCGCCATATTATTTGTGTGAGATTTTGACTTCCCTATCTAGAACTCGTATCTAAATCAGTAAAATCACTTAAGAGGTTAATACAATTCTAACTCAAGAAAAATTCCAACATGATTAATTAAATTTTAAAATATTGATATTATACACACCTGTATATGAATATGTAGGCGATCACAATGAAACTAAAAGCCACTAAATTCACGAAGATAATCAGAAGAGAATACATCCAAGCAGTATCTTGTTCACGATCTGGAAACAATGTTGGAAGACAAACCCCATGTGTAGAATAGTATCCAAATTTTCGTTTCATTGTGTAAGATGAATTCAGAGTTTTCATCAACGCGTTCAAAGTTTTCCATGAGTTTACCGAGTTTCTGGAAAATAAGGACTGAAGGAATGGCAATCAACGCAATGGGAATGAAAACGAATAGACTAGGCAATTCAAACTAATGGCTCGTTTGATACTATAATACAAGCTTGCATAAATGTTTTATAAAATTTTCTAGAAACACGCTTACCTGTAATAAGACACATTATTAAGCATTGCGAGCATCCGATGGGACTGAATGTTCACTTCATGTTTACTAATAGTTGCAACAAGTGGATTCTGATCATACCTTGATGAGAACAGTTTTTGTTACATGGCAACGAAATTTAAAACAAAATCTATCGTAAGTTAGACTTTGATGTGAACATGGAGTAAAATAACTTGGAAGAACCATAGTTAAGATATACAAGAAAGCAATATTCAAATATATAGACAAGAAGTCTAAAACGAAATATTTAATCCATGATTTCCCTAGACTCATAAATATCCCAAACGAAGATGTGGATCAACTACTATAATTTCCAGTAGCCTATCGATAACATCGGGGTGTCCTAGCGTTTCCAGGTTCTGTGACAATAATGATTCATGCGTCTAGTCTCAACTTGAATCAGAATACAAAATGCTTCGATTACTGTGCGGTAGTATTTTCGCTGAGCACGAGATCGCGGGTTGCAATTTTTAATTTTGATGACGTCAACAGACAAGATTTCAAAGTAAACAAGAGAGCAACGCTCAAATATATGGACACGTGGACTAGAGCGAAGCAGGGTTTACCTTTGACGTTACCGGTACCGTACCCTCAAAAAGTGACGGGTTTTCAGTCGCAAGAATTTTCACAGTCAGCCGTCACGCTTGGCGGATTAAAAACCGTGTTCCCATAATTAAAAATTATTACAGCGCAATTTTGGATGAAATATTAGATCTTATAAGATTCATAGAAAATTCAGGAATAAATGAAAGTAATAGCCTTCTGGCAAAAAAATCAATCTTGAACCACTGAAAATTCCAAAGCAATTGGTCCAGTATTTGAAGAGAAAAGCGATTTTTTAAAGATAATAATGACGAAAGAAAATAACAACAACAAAATTTTGAAACGATCGTTATGGCCACTAAACGTGCCCAAAAACGAATCTCATACACAAATGTTTGAATAAGTAAATCAATAGCGACAACAACAATCTTTAACCACTAAAAATTTCAAAGTAATTGGACCAGTAGTGACGGTAAGTAGAAAAGCAATTTTTTTCCACAACGTCAAGAAGAAGATAAATACCAAGAAGAATACTAACAACAACAACACAATAACAAAGCCACCCATAGGCTCACTCCGTGTCCAAGAATACATATCAAAAATGTTTTTCTATACATTTTAGAGGATAATTTAACAATCTCTCACCAGACACTATCAATAAAATAATCCTCCAAAAACGTTACCAGAGGAAGTAGTGCAATCATGCCAGACAAAAGCCAGGCAGTTCCAATTACAGCCATAACTCGTTTGATAGGCGTCGTTTGAAATGGTCTGAAATTTAAAATTTCGTATTTAATATTTGTTTCATGTGATTGAATTCTTGTCATATTTATCAATTTAAAACTAATAACGCTTGTTTAATTTTTTATTCATTCTTGAAGTACGGTAAAAAGTGACTCATGTAGATAATACCTAGGTCTACATGCCTGATCTTTAAAGCTTGTTGAGCGGCTTTGTTCATTAGAAAGAATTCGATCAATGTACGAGTTTAGGACATAGCTCTGATTCATGTACTATATAAGTAACTACATGTTAGTAGTGACTTCATATGTATCATATCCAGGTGCAACCTGAGGTCTACCCCGTGAGGAATAATACAGCGGTAGACTTCACAATAAAGTAATAACGGGAGGTAGATCTCGGGCTAAACTAGCACCTAGTTAAAATTCCATGCTGTTGGCTTAAAGTATTTTGAGTTTCATATCAACCGCTAAATACTAATTTCTTTGTGATGAGATTGAGAATATATTTACACATAACTCCTTAATTAAGTATCAATGGTAGCATACATCTCTCCCTCCAATACTTTTCCTATTTTTAGAGAAGATTTGGTATTTTGCTCCATGCAAATACAGAAAGCACATACAAATAAAAAAAAAAAAAAATTATTCAAGAGGGACATATATCATGTACCTTAAAATTGAATACAGTCTGAAGCTAGCAAGGATTATGAGAGTAAATACAGAGGTTTCTGATCCGATCATTAAAATTGCTCCAAGTGCTGAACACAAAAGTCCACTTCTCCATTGTCTGCTTTCTCGGCAATAATTGCCACTTAGCATAACGTTTTTAATGCAAATAGAACAGTTATGAATCTAAATACAAAATGCATTATCATCATACTCAAAGGATTTATAATATATATATATCAATCTGCAAAATTAATCTCACCCCAACAAGTAAATCAGAAATTGAGAGATTCAGAAGCAACATTCTGTTTATCACTTCATTTGTTTTCAAGGATTGTCTCTGGTGAATTAAGCCACGAATGCTTGATCCAGCAACTATAAGGTTCCCCATTATGGCGATGCTACCTACAGATACAAAAAATTAGTGTTAACAGTTGATGATTCTATATTTATTTGATAACACATGATGCATGGTGCGTTTCAATATCACGTTGCTTCTATTCTGGATATTTAAACTATCATTTTTTTACGCATTGTTGGCCCAACGAGTTTCACTATTAACGCTTGGGCATTTGTTTGCTGCACAGGATTTCAATGATCTTTCTCAATATATTTGAATTGTAATTGTTTCTCATTGTATTGCCTTTAACATTAAAAATAATATAGTTATGAGAAAGCTGTATTAATGTGGACTTGCCAATAATCCAAGATATCACGAGCAAAGAAGTGTTTTTTATTAAAGACATCGTGTCAGAGAAGGCACTTGTGATACACTCCTCCAAACATTCATCGTTTCCACTCTTACAATCTTCACTGCCGTCACAAACCTGGTAAACGAATATTGAGAATACATCAATAAAATTTAACATAATATGTACTTCGCATACCCAATATTACTGGGTGGAATTTTTATTACGTGATATTTATCTGATCCGCTAAACTTAAAGTATATATTCCAAATGACTTTAATGCATCGGAGTTAGACTTGCATCTCTATGTGGTTGCTTAACAATATCAAGCAACTTTCGCCGCTGTTTATTTATGCGAACTAGATAGCAAAGCTCAAATATGTGGTAGTAGCTACGAAATCTATCAAATCTTTCACAATACCGGTACGGTTCCGTCGGTTTCCCGACTTCGACTGACCACTAGAACGCAACGAACGCGAACGCGGAAAGGCCACAGTGTGCGCAATGTTAAATTTCGATGACGTCACTACACTAAAATTCCTCATGAAAATTGAATCCCATAAATCCCACAGTGATTTTTGAAAGGAATTAAAGTTATAGACGTCTAGCTACATGAAAAAATATTTTATCACTGAATATTACAAATCAATTGATCTTATAGTAAAAGGAAAAAGCGATTTTTTTCACAACAACAAGAAAAAGTAGAATACTAACGACAAAAACAACAAAATAATGGATAGGTCTATTTTGTGTCCAACAAGCAGGCATATATTAATTCACGTTTTGCTGTATATGCAATAGCCATACAGGAATGTGCAAGGTATTTCAAATATATATTTAATATAACCTGCTTTGAGTCGACGAATTTGGTGTTTCCCGTATCATTGCAATAAAAATGAGTTTGAGAACTGCAGTTTAGTTCGTCACTGACGTCGTGACAATCCTGTAATAACATTTAATCGTTTATCATAAACAGTTTTTTTTTGCTCAAAGATTTTGAATTAATATATTTTACAATGACATTATTCGTATGGCATATGTATAGCGCATTCACAACAGGTAAACGAGAATATCGGTCGGAGACCGAAGACTTATCGATCGAAACTGTGGTTTCGATTCATGACTCTATAGCGACACCGCGTGCTCCATCACTAATTAATCAATACCTCGCTAACTATACGACATAATTAATTCAAAATCAATAGGCTTCTGGTCAGAGATATGATGAATGCACATGCAAAATCTGGAGCAGATTCAATCTTGCTTTCGTGAGATATTGCGTGCACCTAACAGACAGACAAACAGACAAATACCTATCAACATACTTACCGATCTGAAGATCGTTAAGTAACAAGTCATTTTTTAAACTTGTACTTAACGCTAAATCTTGTTTTTACTTACCTTTTTTCCATTACAAACATTCGATTCAGGTATATGAACAGCAAATTCATTTGTGCAGTAAAATCTATATTTACCATAGATAAAATTTATTAATTAACTTTTATATACATTTTTACAACATAACAATAAATGAACAATTCGCCACTTTTAGGACAAGCCGAAGCCAGGAGCTTGCAGAGATGAGTATAGCGCAAAACTTAGATTATTTAGTTACTGTTAGATGTTCGTCAACAAATTGTTTCATTGAATACATTTTCGAAACCTCCTTGACACTCAACAAACTTTATATTAGGGCATTCAGACATCATTTTGAAATGTATGTGTAAAAATGTAAATGTATGTTGATTATCTTTTGATAAATGTAGTAAAGAAATACCTGTCTGGGCAGTTTAACTCGTCTGTGCCTTGAGGACAGTCTATTTTTCCATCACACAATTCACTCGATAGTATAATTTTCGGAATTGCAGAATTGGATGGATTTAATTCACAAAATTCCTGATCCAATGCCCTAAAATTACAAACAGGTATTTTTTTCCCAATCATTCAGATAATTTAATAATGATTTAATTAATTTAATTAGCCTAATGAACTTATCTTTCAAACAAAATCATTTTCATTTATAAAAATCGTATGTTTAAAACCCTTCACCCTTATTCACACAACAAGTATTGTAATATTTTTTAAATATTCACAAATTTTATCACATACTTTCTCACAGAGAACATGACACACCATTTCATTGGATTCCTACATCCACATTCTTCTCGTAATCTAGAAGAAAAAGTAGAACATTCCACTATCCCATCACAAAGAGTTGCCCAAAAGCCGTCACAGAATATTTTTTCGCAATTGCTTTCATCAAGTGCGTTTTTGCAGTCTGGTCTGAAACGGTGATATATTGTTAATATTTATATCCAATCAACGTTTAGGAAAAAACACATTCTTTTTGAAAAACTCACTTTCCATCACATCTTGTAAATTTTGATACGTTCAGTGGATTATCGGAATCAAATGTTTGACATTTCATATTTCTACTGTCATTCACCTCTAATAAAAACAAATGAAAATTAATAAGTAGGCTGCGGTGTGAATGTGCGATTGGAAATAATATATGGAGATATGATAAGATAAACTACCCCATTTGACTATTTTGCAGATTTCCGCAGTTTCTCTTTTTTGACATAAACATTCGTCAGATAAATCTGGACATTGTACTATTCCATCACAAAGCTGTCCGATCGGAATTATTAAAGGGTGATTCAAGCACCGAAAACATTCTTCATTTATGTAAACTGCATAACAAAAAGAAGTAATACCATGTGAATGCCTTTAACTAATTACCTAACTTTAAAATAACTTACTTTGTTGGGTGAATGAAGAATTGTTGTTTCCACAAAAACATTCGTCAACATCTGAAATATTAAAACACATTAGATGTTTCAACAGAAATTGCACATGTTTTAACAGAACCTTGTTTTAAAGTTGAATGAACTCTTTTATATATATTACTTTGAGCATTAAATAACTAGAAATTTATGGAAAAAAAGTTTGGATTTAACAAACCGAAACGATTAAAATTTATTCAGAAAATTTGAGGATACAAGTTTATTTTAATACGAATTTACAATTTTACCTCCGACGCAGTCTGTTTTTCCGTCACATATGTATTTATTTCTTACAATGCATTTATTTGTTGAAAATCTTTGGTCTTTCCAATCACATACTATTCTTCCATCAAGATTCTGATCTGAGTACTGTTCCTCATCACTTCCATCACTGGAAAATTTTAAAATTAGTATTCTCTATTTTTGTATTACCCTCCTTGACTTTATAGACAACAAGCTAACAAATGGAAAAAAACGGAAAAAATTAAACAATAACAAATATGAGTTAATGAGTAAAATAAAATAAAAAGACGTTACTAGCATTCTTTTTTCAAAATCACAGAATCTTCAGTTTTCAAACACTTTTTTCTATCAGAACAGAGAAATTCGTCAGGCGCAGAGCAATCAACATCTGTAATTTGAGTTGAATATGCAATTATACCATTATCCAAACAAAGATGTCCGAATTCTACTGTTCGTTTTCTAACAATTATCATACTTTCTGTGCATATGCTTTGCTTGTACGTCATCAAGTATTTGGGTAGAATACATAAATGATGACGTTGTCGACATAGATACTCAGGTGTGTTTGTAGGCAAATTGAATTCACGATACACCTCGTCACTGTCATCACTGGTATTAATAAAAATACAAAAAATGTCAAAGAGAATTTCAATAGCAATCAGGCATGGCTGTAGAGTAGAATCAAGTTTGGCAAAGCAAGTGTTTATACTATCAAAAAAAGACCTGCATGTAACAAAGATCTTGTAATCAAAATTTGTTTTTATCCGAGTTTGGAGCAGTGGTCAAAATTACAACAGACGAACAGTCTTTTGAGAATTTCCCTGGGGTTGGAAATATTTTAAAATATACAAATTGCAGGTTTATTTTTTAGACAATACACTATTTATCTTGATTGTGGTGATCAAGTCAGAAATCTTACTAGCAATTTTTGCGTCCATCGCAGAATGCTTGTATAGAGTGACATCTTTCACTTCCAGTGCATCCAAATTGACCGAAATAGCATTTTCCTAAAACAAGTAAATGTTTAACTAAACTAGGGTGATCATACGTCTTTCTTTTGGATTTGTCCTTCTTTTCCGTTAAATATGTCATGTCCTTCGAGAACACTCTAGAAGGTTAAAACGTCCTACTCTTTAGGGGAATGAAAATTTAAAATTGTCTCCTTATATAATCAACATTTATTGATGGGTTAATAAGGGAATTTTAAAGTAAGTAGAACATTTTAATTATCATATGACAAGCAATGCATTGCGTTGAGATACCATATAGGTATTTGTCTGTTTGTCTGTCTGTCTGTCTGTCTGTCTGTTAGACACTTTTGTATGTTACGCAGTATCTCACGAAAGCGATGTTGAATCTGCTCCAAATTTTGCATGTGCAATTATTATATCTCGGAACAAAAGTTTATTGATTTTGGATGAATTATGTCGAATAATTAGGGAGCTACTGTTTAAATAACTTTTTTTTTATGATTAGCGAGATATTAATCAATTAATTTTTTTTTTGCGGAAGATCGATAAGTCGTGGGCCTGCGATCGATATCTCGTTAAAGCTTTGCTAAATTATCATCCGTTCTGGACGGCTCAAAATAAAGTTTAGTCATAAGGTAGAATATGTCAATTCCGGCAAAAATTCCGAAAAAACGCTTCAATCCGCATTATAATGCAGTTTGCAGGAGAGACGACAACTGATCTACCGATCTCCACTGTGCAATTATTATACAACAAAAGATTATTGCTACCATCAACACTGTGGCCCAGCAATGACTATTTTTTGCGATGCATTCTGGTTACGCCACAATGATCATTTTCTGCACAAAATTAACTTCTCTATTGTGAAGTTCTAATTGCGCTCCTAATTTCAACCGTTGAATGGGGTTCAACTGGAGCATGCACAATAGCTTTCGGGTTTTGGCAGACCTGCAAAAGACCTCAGGCTAAATGCATTCTTATTTTACATACTTGTTTATCACGTAAAAATCGTGTTTGGAACTATGATTTTTAATGTACAAATTGTACAGAATCGAATTTTGATGCCCGTGAAATACTTTAATGATTCAATAAGTATCGAATAAGTAGCTTTGACTCTTTGTTTGGTATAATGTTTTACATTATCTTTTTTTTTACTTCTGCGACAAACCGCTAACTGCTTCTCCAGCTGATTTTCTGGCAATATGCAAGCGAAGTCCCTCTGACATGCAATTCCACTTGTGGCATCCTCGTCGCTTTGGTCTCTGTCAAAATGCCAATCTCAAAATAAAAAGAGCAATGCTAAAATATAAGATCATAAAGGCCAAATGAAAGTCGTGATACCATCAAAGTTTCAGTCAAAAATAAAACGTTTTGTATCGAATAATATTAAAGCTGTAATGATGTCATATGAAGACATTGTCGTGAACACGCAAACAGCAATATTGGATGTGAGAAATTCGAGATTCGAAGGATTGAAAAAAATTAAAAAAAAAGAAAATCAAGATGATAGCCTCAAGCGATTTTTTCGTTTTTCAGATAATAAAAATTTAAAAAAGATTTGTCCGTGACTGCTAGAAAGTGAGATTTTTCATAATTTAAACGACTCATATAAGAATAACGACAACAATTCAGCAAAAACTATTTACGGGGAAACTTTTGACAAATCGCAACATCTAGACTGAGATTTTACCACATGATTGATTGCCAAACGGATTGTGCAAATAATCTAACAATTTTGTGTTCATCTGTTTGAGCATTACTTAAATACTTCTTTGAAAATGAGTTCAATGTGGTATGTTTTATCTAAGTAAACACGGTACGTTTTATTCCCGAATGTTTATATTGTTACAGACAAAGTTTCTTTGTTTTATTTTGCATATATTTGACCCGGGGTTATTTCGAGAGAAATCGGTCATTGCACTTTTGTCGAATGACCGCTAATAAACTACTCCCTTCAAGGCGATTGCACCATCTGTTCGTGGGTAGGAATAGGCCTGTCGGCGGGAACAAAGTCTTTTATCGATTTTTCTTTTCTCTCGTTTTTGTGTTTGTTTATTATTTCAAATCATTGCCAGTCGGCTGTTTACAATTTATTTGTGCTAAGAGTTTGCCGGTTAGTCTGTTAGTAATGCTAATTCATATGCCGTAATGAGCGGATTTATTCGCTTGTCTTTAAGTTAAATAGTAGGGTTTGATTTGTTTTCATATTGTAATGTTGCTATTGTTTGCATCTTTAGAACTAAGTATGTTATTAACCTGCCTGTTGGGTTGGTCGTAAACTTTAGCAACCCTCAACCTCAACCTCAACCTCAACCTCAACATAACTTTATTTGGACGTCTACATTCTACAATACTGTGATCGTTTGTGTCTCTACAATACTGGAATTATTTGTTCTTATCATCACACAATTTCGTCGTTTTTTTTATTCGTCTATATCGTACTTGTGCATGTAGACTGGTATTTTATCGACTGCATTACATTTCGTTCATATTCAAAGTTGTGGAGTTGTTAATTATCGAGAAACCTGGCAGGTTATACATCAGGGGAAGTTAATAGCGCGAAGTGTCACCGCCCAACACGTTATAGGCTTCTTGTAGAGCCTCATCATAAGTGTTAAGTCGCTTATAATCTACATTTGTTGCTAAATATTGGCTTCGTGACACTCGCCGTTCGTGGATACTTCGATCCTGTGAACTCTATATTCGATTGAAAGGAAATTTAAGCGTCTCTGCATTTATCGAAATGTCGTCGTCTCGGACATCTAGTACATCGTCGTTGAAGTCTGATCAAACCATGTCCGAGCGTAATCTACGTTTAGTGCAATTAAAGTTGGAGCGGGCGAAGAAGGAAGCTGCGCTTGAGAGCGAACGTGTCGAACATGAACTTGAGCGCAAACGTGTCGAACATGAACTTGAACTTGAGCGCAAACGTGTCCAACATAGACTTCAAATCAAACGAAGTATATTGGATGCCGAAACGGAAGCAGAACAAGCGAAGATAGAATTGGAAAGCGTCGCGGCAAGATCAAGCAAAGGCTCAACGCGGGATGATGAAGAAGAAGATGTGGAATCCTTTACTACCTTATCACCGAAGAGATTGATGGAATACGTGAAGACACCAGGGGGGAAGGGACTGTTTTCTGTGCCAAGTCATGATGCACAAATAATAAATAAACATGATGATAAATCGGAAATATTAGATTTTAATGAGGATTGTAACAGGAGTATTTTCAAAATTGTAAATACGGATCAGGATAAACATTCTACTGCGGAAGAAATTGTACAGCGGCCTATTTGCATGTTGGATCCAGGCATACCTATCCATTACTCAAGCCCGGAGCATGAGGTGCCTGTGACTCAGAAGATATTGGTGAGTCCTATTTTACCTGATAATTGCGAGCAACCACTAGATCCACAGATTAGTGCGGAGCAATTATTGTTGCCTAATTACGTCAAGCCAGGGATTAAGCCTGATTTCAAATCTGCCAAGCATGATATCGTGTATGATGATGTTAGGGCAGGCATGAGGGCGCCAGATGTGGCCAAGCCTTTTGCTACTGAAATGCCTAACATGACACTGAATGCTGTAGCGCAATTGACCAGGGCGATGATGGCGGGCATGACTGATGTGGCAAATATAATCAAGCAGGGATTCACATTACCTCAGATTAAGCTTTCTGTATTTGACGGGAACGTACTAAAATATCCTGAATTCGTTCGTGAATTCAATAACTATATTGGATCATGCAAACTGGACACTGCTACAAAATTAAATTATCTAATATCTCATTGCACTGGTGAAGCAAAGGAAGCTATAAAATCATGTGGAAATTTACCATCAGAAGAGGGATACAATTTGGCTCGTAATATTCTTCATAAAAATTATGGTCAAACTCATTTAATTATTGACACACATCTTAATTTGTTGTGTGAGGGACCTGCAATAAAAGTTAATGACATTGAAGCTTGGGATAAATTGCTTACTCAAGCAAGAAGTACATTTATAACATTTTCACAATTCGGTATTAGATCCAATTTGGATGACTTAACTGTACTAAGGAAAATTGTCAAAAGGTTTCCATCTCAGCAATTGTGGAAATTTGCAAATTTGGCCAACGATCGTTATAATGCTGGAGATTTGGTAAACTTCGATACACTGTTATCATTTATGGAATCTGTGTCAAATGTCAATCGATCAGGATTTGGCAAACTTGCTCGTGAATCACAAAGGAAAAAGAAAGTTGACGACTTGGGAGGTACTCGTAGTAATCGCAAGGTGTCATCCTTTCTCATATCCGAAGAAAACTCTAGTAAGGACATTCCAAAACGTAAAAGTCATGAGTTGAAGTGCATGATGTGTGACGGTAGTCATCGATTGTGGAATTGTGCAAAATTCAAAGAAAAAGAAGTTTCATTCAGACACAGGTTTGTGCGACAGAAGAATATCTGTTTTAATTGTTTGATTCCTGGTCACTGGACAAGCCGGTGTCAATCTAAAATCCACTGTAGAGTGGAAGGCTGTGATCTAAAACATCATACACTGTTACACTTTAAGCATTCAAAAAATGGACAAACAAACTCTAAAGTTGACTTGCGTAACTCAACTGACGACACTCAGTCTGAGAAACATGAAGTCAGTAGTTATTCATCATCGAAGGAGGCCGGGTCTGAACCAGCTGAAGAGACTGGGGCTCATGTTTCATCATCATTTTGTTCATCAAGGGAGACAGCATCACATATTCGTAGGAAGGTAGTACCAGTTAGATGTTGGGGATCGGATGGCCGATCTTGCGACACGTATGCCTTTCTGGATGATGGTTCTGATGTATCGCTATGTACAAATGATTTGATGAAGAGGCTTGGCATAAAAGGTATCAAAGATGAAATTGTTTTGAAAACCTTGGGTGGTGTCGTTAAGACTGACAGTGCTCGAGTATCATTGAATATCCGTGGATTGCGTGAAGTGCATTCAATTCACATCAAAGGCGTCAGAGTTCTGGATAGACTTCCATCCGATCTGGAGATTAACATTCCTTCGAATGCTGATTCGTTAAGATGCAATCACATTCAGGACTTGAATTTTCCAACGCTGGAAAATGCCAAAGTTGAGATTTTGGTAGGCGTGGATGCTCCAGAGGCGCATGTAATTTCTGGAATGAGACGCGGGAAAAAGGGTCAACCATATGCCGCAAGAACGGCTCTAGGCTGGGCGTTGTTCGGTCCTGATGATACTTACAATCAGTGTGATGAATCTCATGTTGACAACGTTTCATGGATTTCTTTGAACAATGAGAGGCTACATGAGCAAATGGAGAAAGCGTTTGAAACGGAGTTTTCAGGTTGCAATGCATACGATACTGCTCCTTCAATAGAAGATAAGGCTGCATTATCAATTATGGCAAATACCATCTGTAAAGTGGATGGTCATTATCAAGTGAGCATTCCGTGGAAAAGGAAAGACGCAGAATTGCCAAATAACATAAAAATTGCTGAGTCACGTCTCAACAATTTGAAGAAAAGATTGCTTCGTGATCCAGAATTGCATGATAAATATAAGAAGAAAATGGAAGAATACATATCGAATGGTCATGCAAGCAGAATTTCGGATAACAAGCTGGAACACACCAAAAAGACGTGGTATCTTCCTCATCACTGCACAGGAGGAAAGTTTCGGATTGTTTTTGATGCTTCTGCTAGATACCAAGACACGTCTCTTAATGACAATATTCTATGTGGACCTTCTCAAACTAATTCGCTAATTGGTGTCCTGTCAAGATTTCGACAAGAGAAGATTGCTGTGGTTGCTGATATCAAAAGTATGTATCACCAGGTTCTGGTTACACCTGAAGATCGCGAAGCTTTGAGATTTTTATGGTGGCCAGATGGTGATCTCAAACAACCAGTAGCGGAGTATCAAATGAACGTTCATCTTTTTGGTGGAAATTGGTCGCCAAGTGTTGCATGCTACGCTTTAAAACGAGTAGCTGAAGATAATGCGAACCATGAAGATGAAGAAACCTTGAATGCTATTAGAAAGAGTTTTTATGTCGATGACTTAGAACGATCTGAGCCGACTGTTCCTCTTGCATTAAAACGAATTAAGGAAGTTTGCGGTTTATTGGAAAATGGGGGTTTCCATCTTTCGAAGTTTTCCAGCAATAGCATTGAAGTTATGAATTCTATACCTGAAGTTGACAGAGCTGTTTCATCAGTGAATTTAAATCTTGACAAAGTGTCATCACAGAAAGTACTCGGACTGTCGTGGAATATTCCACTAGATTCCTTTGTATTTGAAGTCGATATTCAGCAGAAACCACATACTCGGAGGGGATTGCTCTCAATGCTGAGTCAAGTCTTTGATCCGTTGGGTATGCTGGGCCCATTCCTGTTGCCAATGAAGAAGTTATTGCAACGTTTGTGTGCCCAGGATCTCAGCTGGGATGATGACCTTCCTATGGATGCAATTAAACTATGGGAGAATTGGATTGGACAATTATCTGAATTGGCAAAAGTGAGGGTACCAAGATGGCTGCATGGAACTAGGTGTGAATCATGCAAGATGCAGTTGCATACCTTTTGTGATGCCAGTGAAACTGGTCTTGGAGCAGTTTCTTACGTAAGAGTTGTCAGCACTTCTGGAGCAGTTCAATGTGAATTTGTCGCAGGAAAATCTAGAGTAACTCCTTTGAAGGCGGTATCAATTCCTCGATTAGAACTGCGCGCAGCGGTGGTTGCAGCAAAACTAAGTGCTATGATTCAATCGGAATTGGAATATAAATTTGAAAGGATCGTCTACTGGACAGATTCAATGTCTGTTTTACAGTACATCAATAATGTGTCAACCCGATTTAAAGTTTTTGTTGCAAATCGAATTGCAACCATTCATGACTTTCAGAGCCATCGCAGTGGCGTCATGTGGGAACGAAGGATAATCCAGCTGACGTTGCTTCGAGGGAGTAATGCCTAGCAAATTGAACAAGTGCAACATGTGGTTTCAGGGACCAAACTTTCTTTGTGATTCGGAGGAAAACTGGCCTGAAAGACCAAAGATATTACCACAGGTTTCAGATAATGATCCAGAAACAAAATCGACACGTCAAGTGTGTGCAACAACTGGAAAATCGAAGCCAGCTCTATTCAAATCTTGGAAAGATATTCATCATGGACGAAGCTATGTAGAAGTGTTGCCTGGTTGTGTCGCTTCAAGAAATGTTTTCTGTGGAAGTATGGTAAGAAGGATAAACCTAAATTTCATCAAATTGGATTGAGTGTTGATGAACTCAAGATGACATCAACTAATGTCATTCGACTTGTACAAGATGAAGCATTTTCTAGTGAAGATGTGAAACTGACTAAATCATCAAGTTTGAAGAGTTTGACACCATGCTTGATCGATGGAGTAATTTGCGTTGGTGGAAGACTTCAGCGCTCAAGTTTATCTCGAGAATCGAAGCATCAACTGATTTTTACCATATCATCATCATGTTACAGACTTGATAATCGACCATTATCATCATCAAGAAGGACACAGTGGTGTATTGCACATTTTGTCTGTGATCAGGGAAAAGTTTTGGATAATCAAAGGGCATTCTGCAATCAGAAATCGAATACGAAGATGTCTAAAGTGTAAAATGATGCATTCTAAGTCTGGAACACAAATTATGGCACCATTACCAGAAGTTAGAGTAACACCAGGAAATTCTCCTTTTGCAAGTACAGGAGTAGATTTGATGGGACCGGTATTGATCAAGTCTGGCCGGAGTGAAGTCAAAAGATGGGGCTGCTATATTCACCTGCATGGCTACTAGAGCTCTCCATATTGAAGTTGTCAATTCTTTGGACGCATCAGCATTTCTTGAGGCCTTTGATCGTTTTACTGCAAGACGGGGTTTGCCTTTGGAAGTGTTTTCTGACAATGGTACAAATTTTACTGCATCTAACAAATATCTGAAGAAGGGTGTGCAAAGATGGAACGAGTCGGTTCATCAGAGTCTCAGCCAAAGAGAAATAAAGTGGAATTTTAACCCTCCTGCTGCCAGTCATTGGGGCGGTTGTTGGGAACGCATGATACGCTCTGTCAGAAAAGTGTTAACTGCTCTTGTTGGGGAACGGCAGCTGACGGAGGCATCTTTCTACACATTCCTGACACAAGTAGAAAGGATACTGAATAACCGACCAATCACAGCCGTTGGAGATGACCCTAAGGATTTGAAAGCGTTAACACCTGGAATGTTACTGACTGGACGTCTAGATCCTTCATATCCATCTGATATATTTCTCAAGGCTGATGGATACAGAAAATCATGGAAGTTGGTTCAGTGGATGGCAGATCAATTTTGGAATCGTTGGGTGAAGGAGTATTTGCAAATACTACAGACTCGTCAAAAATGGCAACAACAAAAGAGGAATTTTGCTGTTGGAGATTTAGTGCTGGTTATGGATGAGAACTCTCCTCGTGGGTCTTGGCCTAAAGCTCTTGTGGAAGAGGTTTATCCAGACCAATATGGAAATGTTCGTCGAGTTCGCGTTAGAACAGCGAAGTCGACTTACATTCGGGACATAAGGAAGCTATGTTACTTAGAATCACCTTGATTTGTACATATTTTGATTTACACATTTCGTTTCGAATTGCACCAAATGTTAACTAGCGATGGGAAAGAAACTTGTCTGTATTTTGTTTAAATGTTTGAAAATAACTTTTGTTCAATTCGTTATTTTGAGGCCGGGAATGTTACAGACAAAGTTTCCTTGTTTTATTTTGCATATATTTGACCCGGGGTTATTTCGAGAGAAATCGGTCATTGCACTTTTGTCGAATGACCGCTAATAAACTACTCCCTTCAAGGCGATTGCACCATCTGTTCGTGGGTAGGAATAGGCCTGTCGGCGGGAACAAAGTCTTTTATCGATTTTTCTTTTCTCTCGTTTTTGTGTTTGTTTATTATTTCAAATCATTGCCAGTCGGCTGTTTACAATTTATTTGTGCTAAGAGTTTGCCGGTTAGTCTGTTAGTAATGCTAATTCATATGCCGTAATGAGCGGATTTATTCGCTTGTCTTTAAGTTAAATAGTAGGGTTTGATTTGTTTTCATATTGTAATGTTGCTATTGTTTGCATCTTTAGAACTAAGTATGTTATTAACCTGCCTGTTGGGTTGGTCGTAAACTTTAGCAACCCTCAACCTCAACCTCAACATAACTTTATTTGGACGTCTACATTCTACAATACTGTGATCGTTTGTGTCTCTACAATACTGGAATTATTTGTTCTTATCATCACACAATTTCGTCGTTTTTTTTATTCGTCTATATCGTACTTGTGCATGTAGACTGGTATTTTATCGACTGCATTACATTTCGTTCATATTCAAAGTTGTGGAGTTGTTAATTATCGAGAAACCTGGCAGGTTATACATCAGGGGAAGTTAATAGCGCGAAGTGTCACCGCCCAACACGTTATAGGCTTCTTGTAGAGCCTCATCATAAGTGTTAAGTCGCTTATAATCTACATATATAATCATTCATTTCATCACCTGCAATGATAATGACCGTCACAAAAGTTTACCATTGGTATACAATTTTTGTCGACAGAGCATTGAAACTGATTTTCTTTGCAAATTTCCCCTGTAAAACGAAATATATGAACATGGTGCGCAAGTTTCTTTCACCACTGCAAATTTCAAAGCCATTGGTCCAGTAGTTAAAGAGAAAGCGAACAAGAAAAAAAATACTAACAACAAAAACCTAATAACAAAACGATCTATAGCTACATTTCGTGTACAATAAATGACTACTCTCTTGCACGATAATTTTTTATATCATTTAATATGAACTTATGTTTATATTTTTGCCATGTAAAAAGACTATTCAATTCCGGTTAGATAACATTCAGATAAGCTCGTCTATATCAAACTCGTAGTTTCAAATGGTAGAAAGCCGGATGAACATGAACTCAAAGACAACCCTCTGAACTGCGGATATTATGGAAATCACCTATGTTGTAGTTAAAAGTCGTGTCTCAGTTGAAAAAAGCTGAACGCGGATAGAACCTTACGTTTAAAGCTATGAAGCCTTAAATCAAATTGTACAAAATAAAAGAAACCATTTGAAGCTAAAGAAGAACACATCACTTACTTGTTCAGTTCATGAAGTCGCTTAAAGGTAACCTAAAGGTTTTTATGAAGACATGAGATCACTATGAAGCAAAATAAACATAATATGATTCTGATTCCACTTATTCCAAATACTTGATATGTTTGAAATATAATTTGAAATAGTGTCTAATAACTATAAACACATAATATACAATATTAAAACACTCCAAACCTTTTGCTATTAGAAATAAGTTGAACCATGAAACTGCCGACGATAAAAAACAACAAATCTTCATGCTTCAGTTTTCGTTTTCTATTCAAACTACTTTTGCAATGCAATATACCCGGAGAAGGTTTTAAAGATTTGAAACGCCAATAATATAAAGATAATATGCGTTCATTACAGCCAATTTCAAAAGCTAGTGACCTGTAACCAATAAACCACTTATTTTGGATGAATGCTGAAACGGCACGCAATGTTACCGAACTTTGCCTTACTTTGTGTCTAGGAAATTAGCTGCTTTTTTATAATGTCTATAACGACATTCAATTTAACTGAATTTCATTTGAAAAATACTTCAATCTCTACCTAAATTTAAGAATATTTTTAAATGTTACAAAATACGAAAAAAACTCAAAAAAAAAAAAAAAAAAAACGATTAGCAATATATATCTTGAGAGTGAATCACTATTATTTGTTGAGACATCATTCCCATTAATTAGTTCACTATACATAGGATTTGTTTTCACCTGGAAATCATTTTAATATTTTCTTCCTCGTTAATATGGCTAAGATGAAAAGTAGTTGAAATTGATATAAACCAGATGAGATGAATTAAATCAAATTATATTTTATATGATTTCCTCGGAGAGAAAAATATGTAGTTATGTACATATCATTTTGATAAGACACTAAAATGAGCATTTACTAACTTTGTAACTTATTTAACTCAAGTTTAATTTAGGTAAACTTCGAGATGGTCGAAAAAACGATTCCTAACGTTTAAAATATCGAAAGCGACGTCAAATAAAACTATTTAAGTATCAATGGTAGCTTACATCCCTCCCTCCAATACTGATCCTATTTTTAGTGAGGATTTGGTATTTTGCTCCATGCAAATATAGAAGGCACATACAAATATAGAAAATTATATTTTATTAAAATGGGACATGTATCATGTACCTTAAAACAGAACACAGTCTAAAGCCAACAAGGATTACGAGAGTAAATACAGAGGTTTCTGATCCGATCATTAAAATTGCTCCAAGTGCTGAACACATAGGTCCACTTCTCCATTGTCTGCTTTCTCGGCAATAATTGCCACTTAGCATAACGTTTTCAATGCAAATAGAACAGTTATGAATCTAAATACAAAATGCATTATTATCATACTCAAAGAATTTATAATATATATAATAATCTGCAAATTGAATCTCACCCCTACAAGCAAATCAGAAAGTGAAAGATTCAGAAGCAACATTCTGTTTATCACTTCATTTGTTTTCAATGATTGTCTCTGGTGAATTAAGCCACGAATTCTTGATCCAGCAACTATAAGGTTCCCCAATATGACGATGCCACCTACAGATACAAAAAATCAGTGTTAGCAGTTGATAATTCTATATTTATTTGATAACACATGATGCATGGTGTGTTTTAATATCATGTTGCTTCTATTATGGATATTTAAAATACAACTATCAAATTTTCACGCGTTGTTGGCCCAACGAGTTCTACTAACGCTTGTGCATTTGTTTGCTGCACAGGATTTTAATGATCTTTCTCAATATATTTGAATTGTAATTGTTCCCCATTGTATTGCCCTTTAAACATTAAAAAAATATACTTCTTATAAAAAATCTGTTTTAGTGTGGACTCGCCAATAACTTGCTAATCCAAGATATCACGAGCAAAGAAGTGTTTTTTTTATTAAAGACATCGTGTCAGAGAAGGCACTTGTGATACACTCCTCCAAATATTCATCGTTTCCACTCTGACAATCTTCACTGCCGTCACAAACCTTGTAAACGAATATTGAAAATACATCAATCAAATTTAACATAATATATATTTTGCAGACCAAATTTTACTAGATGGAAATTTTATTACGTGATATTTATCTGATCTGCTAAACTTGAAGTATTCCAAATGACTTCAATGCATCGAAGTTAGACTTGCATCTCCATGTGGTTGCTTAACAATATCAAGCAACTTTCGCCGCTGTTTATTCATGCGAACTAGATAGCAAAGCTCAAATATGTGGTAGTAGCCACGAAATCTATCAAATATTTCACAATACCGGTACGATTCCGTCGGTTTCCCGACTTCGACTGCCATTAGAACGCAACGAACGCGAACGCGGAACTGCCACAGTGTGCGCAGTGTTAAATTTTGATGACGTCATTGCACTAAAATTCTCGTTGAAATTGAATCCCATAAATCCCACAGTGATTTTCAAAATGAATCAAAGTTATAGACGTCTAGCTGCATACAAAAATATTTTATCACTGAAAATTTCAAATCAATTGATCCTATAGTAAAAGGGAAAAGCGATTTTTTTCACAACAACAAGAAAAAGAAGAATACTAACGACAAAAACAACAATATAATCTATAGATCGATTTCAAGTCCAACAAGGAGGCATATATTAGGTTTTTTGGTGAATATAGGCATACGTGAAGAAATTAAACAAAAAATATTAAGAACGATAATTTTCTAGCAATTTCATCCATCAATTTTTTCTGCAAAAACGATCTCCTTCACAACAACTATAACAACAATTTAGCAAAATGATCAATAGAGCCATTTGGTGTCCAATAAAAAGTTAAGATAAATATAGAAACAACTGGTATATTTCAGAATGGTGTAAAAGATTTATTTTTCACATTTGCGTGAAGACTTTTTGCTGTGAATGCTCGCCTGAATGTTTACAGTTGGTATTGATAATGTAGAATACGGCTTCAAATTTCTCGGAATAGAGCCGCATCATTTTACGACGATAACAAAACGTTTTTTTGCGTTGCGTCTTCCGTGGGCGTTTTTATTATATGTCAGCTTTAAGTTCACGGATTTCATATTAACTGGAAAAGTACTGAGATAAATTTTGTGCTTTTCGTTTATCTGGCCGTGGTCGTTTGCTGGGAGGCATCCACAGCTTGAGCGGGTATTTGTCCAAATGCAACGGTGGGACAAGTCATTAACTCGAAAAATATATAGTTTATACCACTATTTAATACGCGAGAAAAACTCACTTTCCTTGTGTTTACTTTCAATAAATATATAAGTCTACAAAAAATTATTTAAATGCAATAAGACTTTTTTTAATACAAAATAGAATGTGACTAGTGGCTAATGATTTTTTTAAAAATTACTCTGATTCGTGATGACTGAGTTACTTGCACCTTAACCAAAACTTTGTTTTGGAACATATTTGAATTAGCGTGTATATAAGAAGAATCATTGGCAAATATTTTTAAATCACTATTTTTATGAAGAAAATTGTAAAATCTGTATCATGTCTCAGATTGTTCGTATGCGTTTGATGACAGCATATACGTCAATGATAAAGGCATTATTTGACACGTGCTACTACTTACAATTGTTGCAAACCGGCGCTTATCACAGCGATAATATATCTGCATTCTGGCATTACTTGAGTAATGCTTACTTGAATTGTTGGGACACAGGCGAAATTTAGAAATGCTTGTTGACTTTTTTTTATTTTATATCGATACAGCAGATCGTGCTCTTGTTTCCGACAGAATGCAGATATTTTGTCTCATATTCAAGCTACAGTCTGTATAACTGTCTCGAATGTAAGCAAAGCTTCTCATTCCAGTTTGATTTAGTGAAGCACCAAGATGAAAATGAAGAGGCTTCTTTGTCTAACTCTGGCTGTTTGGTTCGAAATATTTGCAACTGAAGCAAGCATTTGCCCGAACGCAACTGATGGTCAAGTCATTGATTGGGAAAAGGTAGTCTACATGTTTCTTTTACAGTCATTTTATACTTTTATAATACCGTCATAAATACGATCTAATAGGTATTCAATCTATGATATTCACTTCAAAAAATAAATAAAAATGTCTTTTACTAATGAAACAACGAACCATTTTTTTTTCACGAAGCAGATTCATCAGGTACTACATCTAGTTTTAGGGTATTATATTAGGGTATTCACTATCAAAGACTTTATTAATCTATTATAATAAATTCGTATCACTCTACCTTTTTGTAGCAATATCCTGGTCATGTCTCTTGGTAGATAGTATTAAACTAAGCATTTAATACATCTAAGTCATAAATGTTCTGTCTGCAAATGAGTTTGAAAAAAAATAAAAAATACTAAATCTCGAGCCAAAACCCACTAATTTAGAATACTTAACCCAACCTATATACTAGTGGACTTTCAATTTGTTCTAATTTGAATGAAACATTAAATTTAAAATGTTCCTGACAATTTTCATCTATCTTGTTGAACACGTCAGTGTACATAACGATCGTTTTCAATATTATGTTGTTGTTGTTGTTATTATTCTTCCCTTCCGTCATGATGAAATCGCTTTTCTCTTGGAATACTGGACCAATTGCTTCGGAAATTTCAGTAGTTGAATATTGATTTTTTTGCCTGAAGGCTATTACTTTTATTTATTTCAAAAATTTCTGTGTACTTTAAGAGATTCGTTTTTTGAGTGCAAAGATGAGATCAGAATAAAAAAAGCGGCACCTTGTGGCGATTTCGCGTGGACAGCTGAGAAGCGAACGTAATTCTCGCTTCGCTAAGATTTGTTTGTGGGGAACGGTGATCTGCGCGTTACCGGTAACTGGTGTTATTGTATAGTGTGACTCGGATCGCTTGTGTTACTACATTTATGAGTTAGACGTGTCCATATATTTAAGCATAGCTCTCTTGTATTTATTGTGCCTATTTATTTGTGTTTGTGTTTTTCATATTGACATTCGGTCTGGAGTAATAAACTAATTAAAATAAACTAATTGAATTGAATTCTTTGCATTTTAGTTGGGAAGTTTGAACACATATTGGTATGATGTCATCGACATTCCAAAACCAGCCACCGATGTTGATTGCTGGGATTGGAAAAACATTTACCCCGTGCAGGATGGATTAAAGGCTACATTAGTCCAATACGTTGAAGGGTAAGAAAATCCGCTCATTGTTGACCAACTGCTGCTTGTCCATGAAAAATAATAGGTTCTATATGCAGATGATACTTGTAACAAATGCAAAGTTTAATGACAAATTATATAGATTTAAGCTATCCCAAAATATTTTTATGCATGGATCATATAACATTAACTTTTCACTTGTATAGTTGATCATTTTTGGTGATGTTTTGCATTAACCAGAATTTATTGAATACCATAGATATGGTTTTTCTAAACAATATAAATCCAAGTACATCCTTTGATAATTTAATACCTTGGAATTGTTAATGGAGTTTCTGTGAAAAGTAAAGGGTGTCGGCAATTGGTTTATTTCAGTGTGGTAAATTGAATTTATAATAAACAAGAAGAGCGTCGGATTTTTACACAATTTCCAATTGCGCATTACTTCAATCTGGTGTAATGGAATTTCTGTGAAAAGTAATAGGTGGCAGCGCATTGTATTTGGAAATTGGTTTTATTAATTATAAATAATATTGAAATTTTTTGGAAATAAAAAGAGTATTATGTTGCTGTACTTTGGTCAATAGTGTAATCCCCCAAAAAAGAGGAAGAAATTTCTGCAGGTATTGATGGAGTCATGATGGAATTATAATATTTGATTGCTGTCTTCAGAGAAAACTTGTTTGAAGCAATGTACATCCAATATAAAATACAAGTAAAACTGAAGAACCCTAATAACGTTCTTGTAAAAATCGCGTTTTAAAAATATCGCGGCAGCGATTCCAATGAATTTGGAAAACCTGAAAAAGGTTTTAAAATCCCTTTTTAGTGTTTATTAATAATCTTTATGTAACAGCGGTACAGGCAAACATCTGATGAATGCACACCTTATATTGAATGAGGATGGCTCCTACACCTGGGATATTAAAAACAGTGAGCATTTTTTTTTCAAACTGTTGAACACCCATATTACAAAATATTGGCTATGAAAAATAAAATTGCTTAAATTTTAGGAAATTGATAAAAAAAAATTCATGGGAAAACATACAATAATCGACTTTTCCAACGTATAATTTCCATCAAAACTACTTGGAAGTGTTTAAACGAAAAAAATTAATTAGAGAAATACTGGTAGTGGTATGTTGGCTACAGCTAGTGATATTCGAAATGGCGCGAAAGACTTGAATGCATCATTAATTGTCTAACTAATTTAATATATATTTTTTTTTAGAAAATCTTTTCAGAAAAAAGACTAGAAAGGCTCTGCGGCATAAAATTAACGATCAAATGATTGAAAACATAGATGCCCGTACGTCTGATAAAAAACTTATTATTTTATTGCTGTCATATATTATTTGACAACAAAGATCATTCTTATATATTATTCAAGTAGCTTTTCAATAGATTGCCGGTTATATAGATAATACCGCTGCTATAGTAATATCATGAGTCAAAGTGTATTGGAGTTGAAGAAAAGCTGGAAAATCCATATTTGAATATTCCATCAAATTATCGAAGGTATAAAAAGGTCGCACAAACTAGATGTAACCGTGTTTTTGTACCTGACCACTCAAATGTTTTTGTTACCATGGGTATTTCAGGAATTTCTTGTATTGTATTTGCACCTATTTAAAACCACTCATATGTTATTCTTCAGAAGCGGACCTACTTTTCAAGCTGAAATTCTGGTTTATGACTGATTACGAAAACTACTTCATATTAGGAGCCTGCGCTGCGGGAGAAGGTATATATATTTTTTTCATTGTCAATTGCAAACGCAAGTAAATCTATGAAAGTATTTATCTATATATCTACAATAGTTACACTTACATATTACCTAGGCACATCAATATTATTTTTACAAAAAAGTTTTGCTTATTACTAATTACTAGTACTACTAATTACGCAGCATATTTTTTCTGAAACAAATATCAAACTTCAAACTTTTTATTTGCAAATAATGCTCTATTTCAGACCATATTTTTGGCTCGTATATAAAATCCAACAAAAAAAATCCGCCTCTTTCCGATGTACTTGATGTCTGGAACAGATTTTCTGATCTTGAGGAGTCACCACAAGTCTACTTGAAGACAGCTTGCATTAATAGAGATCCTGATTTTTTTAATTATTGAAAGTGTGTTTTATTTCTTGATTTCAACAATTGACTAACAAAAAATATCACACATGACGCAGTAATAATTATACAAAAATAAAATATTTGACCAGTTTTAAATTTAGTATTTAGTTCTAAATATATTTGGTATTATGTTTTGATTTTCATGTATCTATATTATAATATAATATTGTTGCATCTATATGATGAGTCAATGTTATAACATCAAAAGAAATCTTGACTGGCTGAAGACCCGGAAGCATGTATTGTAACAAGAGAGAAATTTGTGGATACGAAAGTTCACAATCGCAGTCCCGGTATAGCCCATATGCGACTCACATGAGAAGGTGTTTTGAGCACTGAGTTCGCAAATTTAACAGAAAAATAATTGTGAAATTAAATGAAACAGCAGAAATTAAATTTTGGCAAATTATTGGGTCTCGTAAAACTGAAAAGTATTTCATCTAAGAATTTGTAATGGCTTGGTCCATTAATTACACAGAATAGCAACTACAGAAAAAGTTGCATCAACAACAACAACGTTTAGCTAAACTATGTTTTAATCAATCACTTTGTGTTAAAGTGAACATGACCGCCAATGTACAGGTAACAAGACATTGGGAGAATGCCATGAAGTAGTGTCGTCTATGAAAAGAGTCACCTCGCCAACTAAAGTTTTAATGTTAATTCAGAAGCTTGATCAGGTCAAAAGTATTAAAAAGCACTTAAATTATTTTCTAGTAATAAAAATGTTCACGTTCAGGGTGGGCTATGAAATCAGAAAACTATACGAACATAGGAATTTATGTTTCAATGATCACATTTCTTATAACAGCAAATGTTGAAGCTGTTTTGTTTATGTCGCTTTTATTTTTCCCGCGTTAAATGGCCTCTAAATTACTCGGGTCTATTTGGCATATAAAAATAAGTGTTGACTTGTGACCAAATGTTTCCGTTACGATAAACTTGTGGTGATATTATAGAATACGGTAATTCAAACATATCGTTGACTGAAGAAAGAAAAAGTTTATCAAAATTTGCTTAAATAAGAATTGTGTCATTTTTGCATAAAGTTGTGAAGTATATTATCATATCATCACTCCTAGAGGCATTTTCAGTACCATAATATCCCAAAATATTAGAATTCTTGAGCGTAACCTTGACATCCAATGTATATCCAGTCACATAGGGGAGGTAGGGCGTAGGCTACATGCAAATGCGAGTGCCGCATAAGCCTAGGTATATATCCAACCCACTATAAAAATATAATACAACTAACTACTTTAGTGATAGTAGATACAAATTTACATGCCATATGCATAGGATTGGCGGATAATTGGTACAATTTGTTACGTGCAAGTCCTGTACGCCAAGAGGGTTGCTGGTCAGCCACATTTGCGGTAGCCTGGCAATTGTAAAATAAATACAAAGTAACCTTTTATCAGATTAGACTTGCGGTGCTGTAGGCCTAAAGGACTATTTATTGAAGTCTCACTGTATTTCTTAATGTGAAATCAATACTGATTGATGCAGCTCTGACCTTGAAGAGAATGTAACATTGAACAACGTCTTTTTGAGGAATGTGTTGTCTACAGAACTGTATGATTGGGCGAATAAGTAATTTCTCAATGCTTCAAAACGGCGGGCATTTTATTATTCTTTCTTTCTTTTGTTGTAAAAAATCTAAGTTTAAATTATTTTATATCGGTAATGTCAATTCCTTTTTATTTTCGAACTGAAACAAAGATTTAGACAAATATTATTCACATGAATTTTTGAGGACAATATTGTCAATAAACACATCCGGAATGGCTTCAAATGTAGGTATGTAGTAAAATCAGATATACAATCGGAAATAGACCTTAGTCATTTAAAACTCGAATGCGCGAAAAATAGAAATGGCTATAGACAAAACGATTTTAACATTAGCTCTTATGGAAAAGGTGATCACCTAGAGAAATATGCATTTTTTCTTTTATATTTTGTTGTTATCTTTAATTGTAGACAATTTAATTGCAGTTTTAAGGATAGAATATTTTTTTTTATATATTTCTATCCTGATAAACATGGTCAAGATTTTTGATAATCGTTCATTGAAATTGTAATTTTTTAATTTTAATTTGTACAGCGTCGTGTTCCCGCTGGCGGTTTTCTCGCTATACCATGATATCCGTGGGTTCAAATATCTGTAGCCACTATACGGTATTCAGTGGACTGTCACTGTTTTGTTCCATGCTTTCATTTTGTAAATTAATTTAATAACTTTTTTCTATTTTTAAAGTTCATTGTGTAATGAGCGATGAAATAAATAGTCGATTGTGGACCATACATCCAGGCGTTTTCATGTAATCCCTTTTTAATATTGTTGAACTCATTGTGGAACAATTGAACTGTATATTTATTTGTGAGCCATACGATAATATTCCAGTCTTTTTGAAATAAATATAAATACTATTAAATGTTGGTAGCACTTATACAATATTTTTATAATATTATACAATATTATACAATTTTTTTGAAAATATTTGATTGTTTTTATTTATTCCATTGTACATGTCCGGTTTTAAACAATACATGACCTCTCAAAATCCCAAAACCCCAACTCTTATGAAAAATGATCAAAGGTCGTTCTAGGACTTATATTCAACGTATTGTACTAATTTAGCATTTAATTCATCTCGCACGGGATAAATGTTTTTCCAATCCCAGCAATTAATATCAGTAAGTAATTGTGGAATGTCAATGGCATCATACCAACATGGGTTCAAACTTCCCAACTAAAATGCAAATTGGTTTATTTAAATTAGTTTAATACTTTAGTCCGACTGTTAATATGAAAAGCAAAAATAACCACTGAAACAGGACACCGCTATATTTCAGGTATCTAGTTAAATAGTGTTTAAAACTTATAGGAACAAGGCCATTTTCATGCCGATACATGAACTTTGCTAATTCAAGTGTATGAATTCCACATAGCTGTAAGATATTTAACTGACGATACGGCTGGAAATTGGTTATGTGAGTTCTTTCTGAAAATGTCATACACCTTAAAACTTTATTTTGCAAAAATCGTATCGGCTGCAATAGAGACTTATTTATCGACTCCCAGCTAAGTATATCATACTGTAATCGAGAGTGAAATAAACTATAGTAGACTAATTTGAGTGTCTCGGAAATATACCTTAGTCTGTAAAATATTCCAACAGTTTGAGATAATTTCAAACAATTACAAGCAAACTAATGATGTTAGAAATAGACCTAAATGTAGCAGTGCACCTGGTGACTGAGCTATCAAGTACTCTACGTGTGATATTCCTTCTCATAACTAGTAAGCATGTATGTGTGTAATATTTTTTGGCAATCGACGTGTTGGCCACCCCCTAGATCGATCATAACCGTACATCAACACAAACTGGAAAATGTTTCATTTGAAAATAGGAGAGAAGATTAAGATTTTCCACTGTCGACAACAATGTCTGACAAATATTCCTGGTTATCTAATAATTTGCCGAAATCCAACTTTCGTTATTACACAATTGTCTTCTGAATTTGCGAACTCAGGGCTTACACACATTTCTGGAGGAGTCGTATGGGATATACCGGCACTGCGGTTGGTTATTGAACTTTCGTGTTCATACATTTGAGCATTTTTCTCTTGTTGAACACGGAGTCTACTTATGAATCGTTTCGTTATTTTTTGTTGTTGTTCTTATTCATTACAGAATTGTTGTTATGAAAAGAATCGCCTTTCTCTATGACTACTAGACCAATTGCTCTGAAATTTTCAGTGGTTAAAGATGGAATTTTTTGCTAGAACGGTATTATTTCTGTGAGCTCTATGAAATTCGTTTTTTTGTGAGGTATGACGTCATCAAAATATTATCTCAATATTATTCGTGTCCATATATTTAAGCCCCTCTTTTTTTGATTCAATATATACTGCTGGGTCTTCGGACTTCAGATTTCTTATCTTGTGATGGTATACCATTTACTTATTATATGAACTCATAAATGAAAGTCAACACATAATGCCAAATTTATTTAAAACGAGGAAAAACAGTAATACGAAATTTAAAACTAGTCATTTATTTTATTTTTGTATAATAATTATTACTCAGTCATGTATAATATTTCAAATTAGTCAAATTGTTAAAATCGAGAAATAAAACACTCCTTCAATTATTAAAAAACTTCAGGGTGTCTATTAATGCAAGCTGTCTTTAAGTAGACTTGTGGTGACTCATCAAGATCCGAGAATCTGTTCCAGATATCTAGTACACCGGAAACAGGCGGATTTTGTTTGTTGAATTTTATAAACGCGCCATAAATATTGTCTGAAAAATAAAATTATTTGCGTATCAAATGAAGTTTATCAAATGAAGCGTATCATATTTTTTTTTTAGAAATTTATGCTTTGAAATTATTATTAGTAGTAATGAGCAATGTATAAAACTGATTTGAGTTTTAAAATTTGTCTGATGAAAAATTGATCTGCAAAAGTAATATGCAAACGTAGTAACTATTGTAGGTATTTTAGTATTGTACTTTTATATGTTTCTCTAAACTTGCGTTTGCGATTGAAATAGAAAAGAAAAACAAATTTACCTTCTCCAGCAGCACAGGTCCCTACTATGAAATAGTTTTCGTAATCAGTCATGAACCAGAATTTCAGCTTAAAAAGTAAGTCCGCTTCTGAGGAATAAGTATATGAGTTGTTTCAAAATAGGGGAAATACGAAATTTTCAAATAGTCGGTTACATCTATTTTGTGCGTTCTTTTTATATCTTTGCTAATTCAATGATTTATTCAGATATGACATTCCCAGCTTTTCTTCAACATTTCAACAAATTGAATTATTATATTATTATAGCGGTGATAGTAACTGTATAACTGGCATTCTATTGAAAAGCCACTTGTGTAATTTTTGCAACCACTATATTGAATGATCCTTCTTGTCAAATAATATATTATGGCAATAAAATAATAAACTGTTTGTCAGACTTACGGACGTCTATGTCTTCAATCATTTGATCATTGATTTTGTGGTCCAAGGCCTTTTTCGTCTTTTTTCTGAAACGTCTTTCTGAAAAAAAAAATGTATATTAATTTAGTAAATCTCACAATAATTGATGCATTCTTTTGCGCCATGTTGAGTATTATTACAGCTGCCGCTAACATAGTGTTATATCTCTCATTAAATATGTTTAAACACTTCCAAGTAGTTGTGAATTGTAATTACACGTTGATAAAGTTGATTAATGTATGTTTTCTCGTGAATTATTATTGTTCATTGATTTCCTAAAATTTAGTTTCACAGTCGATATTTCATAATATATGTGTTTAACAGTTTAAACAAATATGCTCACTGTTTTTAATATCCCAACTATAGGATCCATCCTCATTCAATATAAAATGCACTTTCATCTGATGTTTGCCTGTACCGCTGTTACAGAAAGAATATTAATAAATCCTAAAATGTATCCTAATGCAGTTATTGAGATTTTCCAATTTTATTCGTATTTTATATTTTTATAATGGATGTACACAGTATCCTTAAAAAAAATTATTTTGAAGACAGCGATTAAATATTATAATCCCATCATAACTCATACAAAAGCAAGCAATTAACAAATATTATAAGTTGTGACTTTTGTACCCGCATACATTTCCTCCTATTTTCCGTATAACACAATTGACTTACGTACAACAACCCAATAGCTTTATAATTTCCAAGAAACTTTAACAATATTCATATTTAATAAAACCAATTGCCAAATACAAGACCCTGTCAATCATTACTTTTCATGGAAATTCTATTACATTAGATTTAAGTAATGCGTAATTGGAAATTGTGTAACAATCCGCTGTTCTTTTTATTTATTATACATTCCGTTTATGTCTATACTGAAATAACCAATTGCTGGAATTCTTTACTTTTTACAGAAACTCCATTAACAATTCCAAGGTAATAAATATTCAAAGCACTTATATTGCTCAGAAAAAGCATATCTATATTATTCAATAATTTAGGGTTAATGAAAAATTTATATGACCAATACATGAAACATGCTTCGGGATAGTTCACAACTATATAATGCGTGATTGAACTTTGCATTTGGTTCGTGTATCATCTGCATATAGCACCTATTATTCTTATCGACAAGAGTCGGTTGGTCCAAAATGTGTGGATTATCTTACCCTTCAACGTATTGGACTAATGTAGCCCTTAATCCATCTTGAACTGGACAAATGTGTTTCCAATCCCAGCAATCAACATCGGTGGCTGGTTTTGGAATGTCGATGACATCATACCAATATGTGTTCAAACTTCCCAACTAAAATGCAAAAATTTCAATTAGTTTATTACTTTAGAGTTTAGACCAAATGTCAATGAAAAACACAAACACAAATAAAAAGGCCCAATAAATATTAGAGCGATAATAATTGTCACGAATATTACAAATTTCATGTGTTATTCAAAAGAAAAAAATTGAAAGTCTTCTTTCATGTACGTTAGGTAAGTTATTTTAAATTAGTCGTTTTTGGCTCGATATTTATACTTTTTATATCAAACTCAATTCCAATAACAATTTTTTTTTCAATCCAACATTTATTGCTTAGGTGAAATAAATTATTAGTTTGATACTATCTAACACGAGACAGAATCAAGATAATACAACACAAAAGTAGAGTAGCAGGGTTTTAATAAAGGAGATTGAAAACGGTCTTATAGTGAATATTGTATTACAATGGCATAACTAGGCGTGGTACTGATTAAATTTGTTTGTGAAAAAAATGTTTTGTTGTTTTTTCAGCGGAAAGGACCTTGTATTTGTTTCCTGGAGAGATTCAAGCAATTATCGTAGAGTAAATACTTTTTAGATACTAGTTCTGACAGTAGGCATATCATGGATGTATGGGAGTATGAAATAACTAAAAAATATAAAGGTACCTTCTCCCAATCAATGACTTGACCTTCAGTTGCGTTCGGACAGAGGCTTGCTTCTGTGGTAGATGTCTGAAACCAAACAGTCAGAATTAGAACAAGAAGAGTCTTCATTTTCACCTTGATACTTTGTAGAATCAAACTTGAGTGAGACGCTTTGCCTACATTCGTGTCATTTATACTGACTGTAGCTTGAATAAGACACAAACATCCGCGTTTTCTCGGAAACAAGGGCACGCCACGCTGTATCGATATTCCAACAATGAGTCAACAAGCGTTTGCAAATTGCGCCTGTGCCACAACAACCCGAACACACGCTCAAGTAATGAATATACTACGTCATTGTCATAAGCGCCAGTTTGCAACACTTGTAAGTAGTGACAAGTGGAAAATAAAGCCTTTATCATTGACGTAGATGTTGTCATCAAAATCATAAACCTTTAATTTAACAAAAAACTTTAAACATTTTGATTTTACAACTTTCTTCATGATAATGATTTTAAATATTTGCCAATGCACACGAGAATTAGACTCTCTATATAAATGTGCAAATTCAAATATGTTTCAAATATAATTTCGGCTGACTTCTCAACATTTAGACAAGAAAGCGATGCAAAAATACAAGAAAAGACAAGCAAGAAAGCCAAAACGATGTAGTACATGTATGCAATCTTTCACGGTACACATCACGACCTTGCCGGACCACCAAATTGCAACGAACAAGGAAACGCCACAAGGTGTGTATTTTTTTATTCGACGACTTCATCACACACAAAAACAAATAGTAAAATAAATGTTAAATAATAGTAAATAAATGAATAATAGTAATGGCCTGCTAGCGACATCCATTTAACCATTGAAAATTCCAAAGCAATCGGTCCAGTAGTTGATGATAAAAGCGATACAAAAATGATAACAAGAACAACAACGCAAATCACAAGTCTATTTCGTGTCTAAAAACACAAAAAGTGTGGTCAGTAAGAGAGAGATTTATTGCCATAAAAGAAAGTCTTCACTATTATAAACATAAAACAATATAGAAAAAATTTCAGCAGTAATAACAGTGAATAGTGATTGATCATTCTTTTGTGTGGGTCAGTGTACAGGTCATCTAGGAATTCTAGGCCAGTCGTTCCCAAACTTCTTTTTTCGCGACCCCAATTGTCATAAAATTATAACTCGCTACCCCACAACTAGAAATGTTCAACAATTTCAAAAACCAGCTATCAGTTTATTTATTTCAATGGGAATAATGTACCTGTATATCGACTGCAAGTAGACGTTGACGGTTAACACTTCCCCAAAAAATATATGAACGAGTCCGGCAATGCGCCGGAAAACGAGGAAACCTCAGAAAATTTGACAATACATGGCATCGTATAAAAATCACGGTATAAAATCGGCCACGGTCGTAGATCAGAATCATAACGGTTAAAAAAAATAATTTTGTATATATGATTAGCTGAAATAAGTGTTGATTTGTAAACAAACGTTCTCGTCACGATAAACTTGTGGTGGTATTATAGCATTCTGTGGTAAATTAATCGCTAGCTGAGAAAAGAAATCGTTTATTGAGATTTGCTTGAATAAGAATTGTGGCATTATTGTATGAAGTCGCGAAGTACATTAACATCACATCCCCCCTAGCGTCATTCTTCAGTACCATAATATCCAAACATTATCAGAATTCTGAGAGTAAGCTCCACATCAAGTGTATATCCAGCTATACAAGTAATGTATATGCGAATCTAAGTGTCATATACGTATATATCCAACTCAATATGCATATACAGTCAAATATATATAGAATACCAAAAACCAATGTCATATGCACATACAGACTAGTCATATAAGTATAGAAGCAAATATGCATAAACAGGTCATTAGCCATTGGAATATGCATATAAAACAAACTTATATACAAAGAAAGCCAAGCAAGTTTGCATGTACAGCCAATTTCATATTTATATATAGCTAATATCACATACACACATTAAATAAACTCAATTCTATGTACATAGGCATTCATTTAATAAAGTAATGTACAAATAAAACTTAATGTCATAGGCATATAGAGTTAATGTAATATGCATGTACATCCATTCAAGTAATATAAATACACAGCCATGGTCATATAGTCAATTGAGTATACAAATACAATCACTAAAGTGATGTGTATACAAAAGCCAATTCCATAGGCCCGGCTAGGCGGCGTGGCGCATCGTTCCAGGCGTTAAGAATACGATCGCCACCGCACCTCTGATTACCCTGCGTCGGTTCGCAGGTTCGAATCCAATGCAGGGGGTTGATTATGTGCCAGAGGAACTTCACTTCTCGATTTCGTATGGTGGGTTCAAAAAACCGCTGGTCGGTTACTTCTTCCTATACTATCAAGTCCATATTTGACTAACTTATTCCACACCCGACATGAACTGGTAACCGGACGAGAGGCCGTGGTTCTTCATGTGAATAAGCCATTTTATCGGCTTCCCTCTCCCCCGGGATAAATATGTAAATCCTATCTTATCCATATACATATAGAGTCAACCAAATACACATATTAGGTCAATACCATATTCTTATGACATCAATGTAATTTACAGCAAGTTATTACACAGCCAATAAAGCTTTATTTAAAAAATGCATTGGAATAACAAAGCCTCGAGGATTTTACAGGCAGCACAGGTTTGTATATGTAAAACCGTTACTCGTGGAAAGCTTGCGGTTTCCAACCATTTGCGCGCTATACGACGTTGAAAGTTTTTATTGAAAGGGATATGCCAGTAAATAAAATTTGACAGAAAAGTTTAATCTGGTATGCTTAGATGAAACAAGAGAGCAATGCTCAAATATATGGACACGAAAATCTTATGCGCTAACTTACTTGTACCTGTATCGGCGTACCGTAATGGATGGTACAGGGAAAAGATCATAGTTTTTTTTAGGTCCTGCGACAATGATCCATTTTTCTTGATCATGTTTAAACACCAATTGAAATATCACTTGATCTGAGTCACTTCAGTATTACGGTACCGTACTGATCAGGTACCAGAGTCAAACATTTCCCATAAAAAAGTCCCAAAATCATATGCGTTAACTTACTAGCATCTGTATCGGGGTACAAATAATGGTACATGGACTGTCATAGCTTTTCCATGTCATGTGGCAATGATCTATTCTTCTCCATTCAATTTCAACGTGAATTGAAATACCAAGTGATCCGAGTCACTTCTCCATTACCAGGGCAAAATAAAAAATATCGATTCCCCGATAGTCATATGCGGTACGGTTACTTACCAACTTAATTAATTTCCTCTTATCAAAATAAACAAAACAAGGTAAGCTACAAAATTTATGTTGTTTACAGCAGAACTGTAACAAAAAGATGAGACATCTTCACCAACTGAAAATTTTAAGGCAATTGGTAGAGTAATCAAGGAGAAAAGCGATTGCTTCATAACGATAGGAAGAAGAACAAGAGAGCTATGCTCAAATATATGGACACGTAGCGCCAACTAGTGGCAAATTCGGATGACGTCATAGCACACAAACAAACGAATCCCATACTATTTATATATTTAAAATAAATGAAAGTAATAGCTTTCTAGCAAAAAAATTAATCTTTGAGCACTGAAAATTTCAAAGCGATTAGTCTAGTGATCAGAGAGAAAAAAAATTTTTTTGTGACAAAGAACAACAATAACAAGAAGAAGAAGAGTGCCAGCATAATAATGCAAAACGATCGTTATGTCCACTAACGTGTCCAATAATAGCAAAACGATCCAAAGGCGCACTACGTGTCCAATAAATATTGATTGATAAACATGTAACTATTCCCATCAAGATAAATTTGTGGTAGTTGAACAGATTTTAAACCGCTGTTTAATTAAAGAAAAAAAAAACGTTTACTTAAATAGGGAGAAATGTATTTGGAGAATCCGACTACACAACCAAGCCAACATTCGTTCTCACGAAATCAGTTAAAATAACATTAAAATAATCCGCATTCGTTCAGTAACGGATTATCAACTGTATTAAAATCAAAGCTATATCTTCTGTAAAATGTATTTTCGATTTTCATGATTTTGCAAATCAATTAACTGATCTTAATGTCCAACTTTTTGATCTGCAGGTCTAGCAGAAAAAATGGTTGAATTATCCATCGTGGAACAGTGACGTTAATGAGATATGTGTAAATCTAATTCAGTCTTTGCTTAATATATATTGTATATGCACTCGAGGCGTCGTTTTAAAACTTAATCTAAAATGAAAATCTACAAAGCATATTTTATTACGGTATGTCTCTGTGATTTCTCATATTTGTTTATATCGCAGTCCCTTGAGGTGTTCCGCTGGATTAATTACTATCTGAACAATTGCAATCAAGACCGAACAAGTTTTAAGCTATTTATTATGAAGTATTAGTTGTAAATTTATAATTCGAAAATTCGAGCAAACCAATTTTCTGAAGTATGCGCACTCAGATGGTACACAACCTGAGTTCAGGTTATGCGACATCTTGGTGCGCATACTTCAGGAGTACCCCAATAAAAATTTGAGCAATTTTTATTTATTCATTTGATGAGCAAGATATTTGTTTTATTTGACAGTGATTTTATCTAAGAACTCACTAATATCAAGGAAGAGCATGAATATAATTACTATTATTTGTTTGATGTTTATTTCTGAGATAACTGCAAACTATACACCAAAAGAAGAATTCGTACATTCGGAATTCTTTGAACGATTTGAAAAAAGGTTTGTTAAATTACACCATTTCTTCATTTCTAGCTTGAATATAATAATATATTTTTTTCTTTGCAAAGATATCTCTGATTGAAGCAAGTAAGTTCAAATTTCCGAAACAAGAGGGATTCGTGTCAAAAAAACACCCGGAATGTGATCGAATCAGGTTTGATTTTTGATAAATTATATTATTTTTCTTAAATTCTAAAATAAATAAATTTTATATAATATTTGAAAGGGTATAATCAAATCTTTAAGCGATTTTTAACTTATATATTCAAAATTTAATTTGAAAGTCAACACATGTTAGATATGATTTTTGTATTTACTCCGGGAGAATGAAAGCTGATAACGCGACTCAATCATGCAACAAGTCGCATATGTTGCGTCGGCATAATTTGGGAACAATACTTGAAGTACCTTGTCGTTATAGCTTGATGTTGTTACGATTCCGATTTATCTAATTACCCAGATATACTTCCGGCCCAGATGAATTTTGTTCTTCGTATGACGGAGAAAAACACTCAACTTGTGGA